ACAACTGCTTCCTTGCCTCCAGGGCCTGCCCAATGCGTTTTGGTGCCTAAGGCGAACCACAAAACCCACACCCTTCATGCAACCTGACTAGGACATTTTCCATGTTTGTACAGCACCAAGCACTCACCAGCTCCCAGCAGGGCCAGTGGTCAGGGATGACTTGACTCTGCAGTGTTGTGTTGTGTTTACACTGGGGCCTGGGAGACCAGAGTTCAAATCCCCACTCAGCCATGCTGTTCATTGAGTGACCTTGGGCCAGTTTCTTTCTCTTTCTTTCTTTCTTTCTTTCTTTCTTTCTTTCTTTCTTTCTTTCTTTCTTTCTCTCTCTCCCCCTCCCTCACACACACACACTTTGCCTAAACCTACCTCACAGGATTGTTGTGAGAATTAAATTATGAGGGGCAGAACCTATGCACACCACCTAGAGCTCAAGAGATTAGAAAGTGGGGGCACATGAATGCAATAGATCCATTGTAGTCCTGTAATAGGGACGTGGGTGGCGCTGTGGGTTAAACCACAGAGCCTAGGACTTGCCGATCAGAAGGTTGGCAGTTCGAATCCCCACGATGGGGTGAGCTCCCGTTGCTCGGTCCCTGCTCCTGCCAACCTAGCACTTCGAAAGCATGTCAAATTGCAAGTAGATAAATAGGTACCGCTCCGGCAGGAAGGTAAACGGCGTTTCCGTGCGCTGCTCTGGTTCGCCAGCAGTGGCTTAGTCATGCTGGCCACATGACCCAGAAGCTGTATGCCGGCTCCCTCAGCCAATAAAGTGAGATGAGCGCCGCAACCCCAGAGTCAGCCACGATTGGACCTAATGGTCAGGGGTCCCTTTACCTTTACCTTTAGTCCTGTAATATTTGAAATATGAAGTCAAGTGGAGGAGGTGACCAAGGCAAAAATCAAGGAAACAGGTGGTGGGAAGCAGAAGGAAGGCGAGAAAGTGAAAGGATGGGCAGGCAGAGGAGGAGATGGCAAGGTGGAAGAGGAAGCTGCTGCCCCACTTGGACTTTATAAGGCAGGATTGTCGTAGGCACTGTGTGAAGCTGTGGCAGAAGTGGGGCAGTAGCTTGCTGCTCTCTTATAGTCCTGCTGCTCTCTGGGAGCTTGGCGAATAGGCTTGCTGCTCTCATGGCCCCTTGAGGACAAAGAAGGGAAGTAGCTATGGCAACCTCACCATGCAAAGCAGCATTGGGTCAGCAGCTTCCTTTTCTTCCTCAGTGCCACTTCTCTTGGGTACCGCCTGAGGCAGCTGCCGGTTCTGCTTGTCTCTTTGCTCTTGAACTGGAGGTCACACTGACACCTCACCTGGTTGTAAACTGCTTAGCAATCTTTGTTGGGTTCCTCTTTTATGTCCTTTTAGATTGAACAAATAAAGAATTCACCAGTGAATGCTAGGGTTGCCAGCTTCACTGTCCCTGCTCTGCTGCCTTTAAGAACAACTTGACACACACAAATTTAGCAGATGAAGCTCTTCCTGGCTTCAGAAAAAGCTCCAGCTACTTACTTTCTGTTTGTCAGGTTTAAGCTGAGGCTCCAATACTTTGGCCACCTCATGAGAAGAGAAGACTCCCTGGAAAAGACCCTGATGTTGGGAAAGATGGAGGGCACAAGGAGAAGGGGACAACAGAGGACGAGATGGTTGGAGAGTGTTCTCGAAGCTCCCAGCATGAGTTTGACCAAACTGCGGGAGGCAGTGGAAGACAGGAGTGCCTGGCGTGCTCTGGTCCATGGGGTCACGAAGAGTCGGACATGACTAAACGACTAAACACCAATAACAACAACAGTAGCAGGACCTGTTAAAACTATTGACAGCCCTAAGCATGATGGAAACTCAAGCCGTTTAGCCTTAGAAGCCTTGGCATAGGAGCAGGGCCAGGGGAAAAAACAAGTGGCAAATGTATTAATATCAGATCAAAGATTAGAGCCACATCTGTACACCATCAACATTTTATAAAAAAACAGTACGCCTTTTAGCTCTGCTATGTTCTTTATTCATGAATTTGCCTTTTCCATACCCTCCAATATTTCTCCAGTGAAAATAAGGATGTCCCATTCCATAATGATAATTTTACTATTTATACCCCACACATCTCACTGGGTTGCCCCAGCCACTCTAGGCAGCTTCCAACATATGTAAAAACATAATAAAACATTAAACATTTTTAAAAGAAACTTCCCTATACAGGATTGCTTTCAGATGGCTCAGGGGTCGGATAACTCCATATCCTCCAACATTTCTCCAATGAAAATAGGGACATCCTAAGGAAAAGTGGGACATTATGGGATCAAATCAGAAACTGAGATGGCTTCTCTAAACCAGGGACATCCCTGGAAAATAGGGACACTTGAAGAAAATAGGAACACTGCTTTTCACATCTGTTCCACCCCATGCTAACTGATCTAATGAACCCTCCCAGTTGTCCTTTGCAGAGCTGTAGAACAAGCAGCAAATTTGCATGTTCACCACTCACTCAGATGGACCTTTTTAAAAAATTGCTTTCAAGAATGAGATTTGTGATGAGTCAGCAAAGATGATTAAATGCAAAGGACAGTTTCCCTGTACCTTTAAAAGTTGTAGAAGGTTGGGAGGGGGCCAGAATTACAGCTGCAGTTGCCCTCCACACCCTTTTATGGCACATAGAAATTCTGTCATTTACGTAACAAGTGAAATAGGGGTGGGAACCTGTGACCTCTTACTTAACAAAGTCATCACAGTCATGTTTGATTTACAGCTCTGGTAAAGAACATTCCATGCTTTGAGGCATTGCCACTGGTAGCTATATTATGAGTTTTATTTAAGGCAGGACTGGGCAGCCCCTGCAGTTGTTGTTGGACTCCCAACTTCCCTCTGCCCCGGCCAGGTATGTCCAACAGTCAAGCACAATGGGAGCTGTAGCTTCCCCATCGCTGTACGGTGGTACCTCGGGTTAAGTACTTAATTCATTCTGGAGGTCCGTTCTTAACCTGAAATTGTTCTTAACCTGAAGCACCACTTTAGCTAATGGGGCCTCCCACTGCCGCCATGCCGCTGGAGCATGATTTCTGTTCTCATCCTGAAGCAAAGTTCTTAACCCAAGGTAATATTTCTGGGCTAGTGGAGTCTGTAACCTGAAGCGTATGTAACCAGAGGTACCACTGTATTAAAGGTATTGGAGCCTTGAAACCCTTTGCACCTAAGTCTTTCAACTCCCAGAAACTGTGTGACTTTAAGAATGGATCTTGGCTCCAGTCTTTGCACCTGAATCCATTTGCAATGCAGAGGAGGAGAAAGGCCTGAGCTGATAGGACAGTGACTGTAGAAAAAGCCTGCACTAAGGCTGCTACTGAAATCCTGCTTTTTTTCTGGAGTTCCAAAGAACTCTGCAAATTGGTTTGGTCTATTAGGTAATGAACTATGAATATAGGAGTTGCAGGGTGGGTGGGATGCTATGCCAAGTAACCTAGTTCTGTAGATTTTAAGAGAACAAGTACTTTCTGAAGGACATTAATTTAAAGATAATTGAATGCTTTCTAAATGATGCATTTTGAAAAGTTTTTAGTGCTGATATTTTGGCATAATTGCGTGTTTTATGTGATGGGTTTTCAATTACCTGGGATTAGACATCATTGCTCTAGTTCATAGGCAGGCAAACTAAGGCCCGTGGCCCCATCGCCTTCTAAATCCGGCCCGCGGAAAGTCCGGGAATCGGCGTGTTTTTACATAAGTAGAATGTGTCTTTTTTGTTTAAAATGCATCTCTAGGTTCTTTGTGGGCCCTGCGTGGTGTTTTTACATGAGTAGAATGTGTGCTTTTATTTAAAATGCATCTCTGGGTTACTTGTGGGGCATAGGAATCCGTTCATTTATATTTTTTTTCAAAATATAGTCCGGTCCCCCACAAGGTCTGAGGGACAGTGGACCGGCCCCCCGCTAAAAAATTTGCTGACCCCCCACTCTAGTTTAACTAGTTCCCATTCAACAAAGAGGGTATATAAGCTGTTGGGGTTATTAACCAGATTCTCACTCCCCATCCTGCCTCAGCTGATTTAAATGAGAAGGTAAATCAATGGATTCCTGTTCCATACAACAATGCATTTCTACTCCATACAGGTACTCCTGGTGCCTTCCTTTGTTGCAATTCCCAGCGTGATAGCAGTGTTGATGTAATGCAGCAAAAAAAAAAGTGTTATGGGAATGGTTGTAGCTCAGTGTCAGAACAACCGCTTTGAATGTAAAAGGTCTGAGAGTCTCTCCTAGGCAGAGGTGCCAGCTTCTCCAGAGGATTGAGAGGGCCCAATGCGATATTGTATGGAGCTAGGGGCAGAGCTGAACATCCTATGAAAAACAACTACCAGACATTTAGAAGACATCTGAAGGCAGCCCTGTTTAGGGAAGCTTTTAATGTTTAATAGACTACAGTATTGTATTTTAATATTCTGTTGAAAGCTGCCCAGAGTGACTGGGGAAACCCAACCAGATGGGTGGGGTATAAATAAATTATTATTATTATTTATTAAACTGAGAGTGGCTGGCCCCTTCAAAAAATACTTGGGGGGGGGGGACAAAACTGCTTCAGTCCCTAGGAGTCATCAGCTTTTCTCCCAGGCATCTCCAAGGTAGCACTGGGAAAGACTTCCACCTGAAACCATGCAGAGACACTGCTGGTCAGTGTAGACTGGGTCTGGGCAATCTCAGGTATTCGTATGTATGGCTATCTTCTCCTCCCCCCCCATCTGACGCATATCTCTGATCTCAGGTGTAGGGCAGGTAAAGGTGTGGCTCAAATGAACAAGTGACAGTGAACTTCTGATTGTGTCTCTGCAAGCAGGAATAGGAACTGGAATTGGCAGCACTTGGCACTGAGCAGAACTAATCCCTGCCCAAAGTGGGGCTTCCATTTAGTAGGAATTGTGGTAGCGGGGCATAAATCAAAGCCAGGGCTACAAAGGAAGATTTTGGAATGCGTTTAGAGGCTGCTCCCAGTTTTTCCTTTGAAGCTGAATCACCTAGTGTCCTGTGACATGACATCAGGAAATTCAAAAACTGTCCTCAAAAACGTGTGTGATAATAAATTAGCAAGGCTTCATTGTAAGATGCCACAAGACTTTTTTACTTTTTCCTTGTGTAGCTCCTTCTTCCTGCATTGGAAGCCCAGCATAGCCTGTTGTGACAGTCAAAGCTCAGCTCAGGAAGAAACCGTAAGTTTTTGCTCTTTGTGTCTCAGGTTCTGGGGTGTATCGGGCCTTGCCCAAGTACCAAACTTCCAACATATAGCAACCCAAATTCCAGACAAGTTGGTGCAGGGGCATCCCTACTGTTTGGCAAACTGAGACAGTCCCCCACAGTGGCAAATGCTGGGAGCAGGCAGAAGAAGCCCCCTGGGTATTACTGTCTGGATAACAGAGCTGTCTGTATGCTACACAGCCTGCCTAGCCACACCCAAACCATCCAGTTGCCTCAAGTGCAGTGGATTATACTATCCTGTAATTAGTGCTTAAGTAAGATTCAATTGCGCCTGGGGAAGGTGTCTAAGAAAAGCCCTGCTGGATCAAGCCAAAGTCCTATCCAGTCCAGCATCCTGTTTTCATAGGCAGCCAGATAATCTCTTGGTTCATCCTTTTATGCTTTTATTCCTAAAACAAAGATGGCCAGATCAGCAGTACAGCAGACACCTGTAAGAAAACAACTCAACAATGACAAAGGAAGATTGGAGCCAAAAGGTACGTTGCTTGCCATTTCATACTGTATGTTCTGCATCCCATTCAGTTTTGACACAGAGCCATAGTCGGGTATCCTGGTAAGCTTTCTGGGCTGGCCTGAGATATTTTGCTGTCAGAAGTGGAATACAAATGGATCCTTCCACCAATCAGTTGTACACCAGAAGAGGGAGATGGCCTTATTGTGAGAGGCTTTCTGTTTTTTCCATCTTAGCAGAAGTTTATGCTTCTGTCTGAGGGAAACATATTCATTAATTAAGAGGGGTAAATTAGAGTTCCTATATTTACTGTAAACTCTCTTCAGCTGGCTTTTAGCTTGCTTGCACTCTTTGTCGAACCACCTGGAAGATCCCACTGATCTTCTTGAGCCACTGTTCTTGATCTCAGTTCTCAAGTGGTCTTGCAACCTGTTATTCAAGATCTTAAATAAATCCATAGGCGCAGCAGCAGAGGTAGCTAAGATAATAGCAGTATGAATAGCCTTTAAGTCAGCAGTATGAAGAAGCTGGGTCAGTGCTAGATTGAGTACTGGGGTCCACGTAATAGTATTGCCTGCAGTCACACCTAAGTTTGCATTACAGATTGAGTTTTGGAGGAAGAATTATTAAATACTGGGCCTACTAGTACCACTGTTAAAGGTAAACGATCGCTTTCAGTATTATGGCCCACTTCCAACTCCATGACAAACTAATATGCAAATTGTGAGGTCGTAATATAATCTATCACACTGCTTCCATGCTTTGTAAAGTCGGTATATTCCCCGGGCCAATCGCCCTCTATCATACCATTTAATATTAGCAAGTCCCTCCGCCTTATAACTTGGGCTAAACAAAGCCCATGATCTTTAGACAGAAGGGAGGTACCTCTGGCAAAGTAAATATCTGGTTCCAGAATTTGATTGTAATGGGTGTACAGTACAAATTTACATTGTTGACTCCCATGTGTGCATTAAAATACCCTGCAATGATAAACACTGCAGTAGGACATAGGGATTTGATGGATTCTATATAATTTTCTAGTTCTGTCCAGATAGTATTTACAGTAGTTTTGTTGTTGTTGTTGACAAAGTGGTATGTAGACGTTAATCAGCATTAAACATACTTTCAGAACTATAACCAAGACAGCAGTTGCAAACGGGTTGCATGGAATCACGGCTGCTGTAGTTGCATTCAACTTTGTGGAGGAAACATGTTAGACCCCCACTAGCCCTACAACCTTTCGTTGAGGGAGTGGCTGTCTGAGTGACATTTGTATCCGTTAAGCAATATGGAGACATCTTGCCATGTTTCTTGTAGCAGAACCAATCAGTTGCATCAATGTCATGGCTGAAAAAGTTATTTCAGCACTTTGCAGCAGAGAATCCCATAAAAGTATCTCATTGTGGGCACAATAATAAATGAAATAATGAGCAATTTGCCTTTTTATGATACTCAAAATAAGCTTCCTGAGGTAACTGCCTCATTCTGCCTGAGCTTCCTCCACCTTATGATGCAACTTCCACCTCTCATCCCAATAGGCCCCAAACTTAGTAGGAAAATATGGCTTCCCTTGTGCTTCATGGGCAAGGGGCAAGATGAATTAGTTACTCCTTTCTTGAGAACCGTGTAGGAAATTTTAGGTCCACTCTTGCGTTTCTTGGCTCTGTTCCTTTTCTTCTGCTTCTTCATGTCTTCTTTAGGATATCTTTCTTCTCTCCTGCTTCCCAAGCGCATGGTTAAACTATGGAGTCCACTCCCACAAGAGGCTGTGATGGCCAGCAACTTGGATAGCATTAACAAAGGAAAAGACAGATTCAGGGAGGATAAGGCAATCAATGGCTCCTAATTCTGATGACTATGTTCAATCTCCACTGTTGGAGGCAGTAAGCTTCTGAATTCCAGTTGCTGGAAACTGCAGGAAGGGAGAGTACTGTTGCCCTCGGGTTCTGCTTGCAGGCTTCCTATAGAAAACAAGATGCTGAAACCGATGGCCTCATCCAGCACTCCTTGTGTTCTTAGTGCTGCACTTACTAGTTCTTTCCAGAACTGGAGATCTTTTTTCTGCCTTGATTGCTTTTATAATTCTCTAATTCTCTCCTCCTTTAGTACAAAATTATGTGCCAGTACACTGATTTCCTTATTGCTCCCTTCTCTCCTAAGCTGTGCTTTACGATAGCAATCCTGTAAGCAGAGAAACAACGGCATACCTTCCAGCATATTAACAGTAATGGTTGGTTTGTAATGCTTTTGTAAAACCACTGCAGTGCAATTTAGTGTTTCCTCGGGAGGCTTAAATCACCTTGGAGCCTCTTGCACTGTTAGTGGAGGAGAAACATTTGTAATTTAGATTTTTGCATTCACTTGATAAAGCTAATTGAAACAAGAACTCCTTAGTTGCTTATGTAGAAAAGCACCCTGAAAAAGGATACTGAGTGTGAAGCAGCAAACATGTGCAACCTTTAGTCTTGGATTGCTTTTATAAAGCTATGTCACTATGTGTGTATGTGTTTTTATTGTAGGCAGAGCAACTATGAGTGGTAGTCATGGAATGGGTGGAGATCGCCACACCTTTCTGCTGATAATTTCAAACATGCTTGTTTTCTTCTTAGTGACTGGTTTTGTGTATTTCTGTTTGTAGTTATATAGAGCTTTCAGTATGATAGCGAGTTATATAAGCAAGTTTGCCCCCTCCCAAATGGAGGAAAATAATTCTTAAATTATGCTAGTTAAGGACGAACGAAAGCAGTTCAATTACAGAGTCTGAACAGCTTTTGAAAAAGTACTTGTTAAGTATACAGTGGACCATCTAGTTATGTACTGCTCCGGATATGGAACTTTCGGGTTATGAATGCGGCAAACCAGGAAGTGTATTTTTCCGGGTTTTGCCGCATGCGCATGCACGCTCAATCATGCCATGTGTTTGCACAGAAGCGGCACCTCTGCTTATGGACTTTTCAGGTTGTGGACGGATCCCCGGAATGAATTTACAGTGGTACCTCAGATTAAGTACTTAATTCGTTCTGGAGGTCCGTTCTTAACCTGAAACTGTTCTTAACCTGAAGCACCACTTTAGCTAATGGGGCCTCCCACTGCACCACCGGAGCCCGATTTCTGTTCTTATCCTGAAGCAAAGTTCTTAACCTGAAGCACTATTTCTGGATTAGTGGAGTATGTAACCTGAAGCGTATGTAACCCAAGGTACCACTGTAATTCGTATTTGGAGGGTCCACTGTACAGCAATTCAGTTACATGAAAATTATTTTAACTAGATCTATAACTACTGCCCATCACATTATGCCTCTAAGTTGGTGCAATTGTTGTTGCAGAAGAAAATGCATCTCAAGAAAATGCATCTCAAGCAAATGCCAAACGTGACTCTGGTTCTCTGCTTCCCAGGTAACTATTTAAAAGTGTCTGGTGATGACTAAAAGTGTCTGGTGATGACACTGGAGGAATCTTCTGCCATGTTGCAGTTAAGAATGGCTTTGATACCGAATTAGAAACTAGGTGTATGTATCTTGTACACACATCGTGCTTTTTTCTGTAGTTATGTACCTTTTGTCAACCTTTGCCTTTCTTCTAGTTTCTTTACAGGTGCAATATCTTGATGGATGTTTGTTTAATCTTCTCAGTGGCATATTTTAATCATAATGCCCCTGATCAGTCATAAGAAAACTGCCTTGCATCTACATGTCAGTCTACTCCAGCATGTCCTGCTTGGACTACCTGTGACACCTCTGCCCAAGTCTTCAGAGTTCTCCCCCTTTACATGCTACGCACCTGTGCAGATGATGCGAGCATGATCACTGAGCGCATTGGCCAACCTGCCCCTGAGCACATTCACGTGGGTCCATCATCTTGGACAGCAGCAGTGCTACATCGGAGATGGGGATTATCCAGATATTATCATGCTGGTAAAGGAAATGTATGGTTCTCTTGGTTTAGTAATTGATTTTAACTGCCCCCTTTGATTTACAGGAAAATGTGGGGCACCTCAGACTTTGAATTTGGCAAGCCACTTGGCAAGGGGAGATTTGGAGCGGTGTACTTGGCCCGGGAGAAAAAAACTCACTTCATCTTGGCCTTGAAAGTCATTTTCAAATCATTGCTGGAAAAATCTCAGCTAGAGCACCAGCTCAGAAGAGAAATAGAAATCCTAAGTCACCTCAGGTAAAGCAACTGAATGCAGAGGCAGCTGCCTCATACAGAGTCAGACCATTGGATAGCCATCTGTCATGGATGCTTTAGCTGAGATTCTTACATTGTAGGAGGCTGGAGTTGGTGACCCAATGATTGGTTCATCCAGTACTATGTCTGTGTTAACTGGCAGCAGCTCAGAAGTTTCAGACAGTAGTCTTTCCTAACCCCACCTGAAGATGCTAGGCACTGATTTTTTAATGTGTCTCCTCCCCCCCCCCCCTTTTGTTTTAATGTATCTGTGTGGTTTGGTGAGTTGGTTGGTTGTAAGTCACTTTGTGTTTCCTTGGGCAAGATAAAGCGGCTAACAAATTTAATTAATTAAATTATCAGCATCAGCATCATAAAAGCTACAAGGTAGGGCCTTCTGCATGCAGTGCAGATGCTTACCGCTGAGCTAAGGAACCTTGCTATGGTCGAGTATGTTGAGGAATTATAGTCCATCAGGATCTAGAGGGCCACGCAGTCTGCATACCTGCTCTGTGCTAAATCTGTCAAAACATGGAAAGCCTCATTATCACCTCTGAAACATTGTGTAGATGTTATGTAGTCCAAAACATCTGGAGGACACCAGGTTGGTGCACCTTAGTTACAGCTGCAATCTTATGCCCGCCACCTGCCTAAGAGTAAGCCCCACTGAACATAATGGAGATTTGCTTCCAAGGGAGCATGCATTGATTGATCCAAAAACAACTTGTATCTCAATAGTATCTTCTTCCTGGATGGGGCAATTGCTTAGTACATTCATTTGTAGACCGTGTGTCTACCTATCACAGCCGCTTACTTCTTATGTGACCTAAACCACAGGTCCTCTCCTTTTTTCCTTTAAACAAAAAATCTCCCTAGACACCCAAATATCTTAAGGATGTATAACTACTTCCATGACCAGACCCGGGTTTTTCTGATGTTAGAATATGCTCCAGGAGGAGAACTGTACAAGGAGCTACAGAAGAAAACACACTTTGATGACATCAGAACAGCCACTGTGAGTACAAATGCAAAGGCTACTGTTCTACACAAGGAGCTGGCTGGAGATGAAGTAATGCAAAACATAGAACATATGGCTGGTGAGCTTGGAGTAGTCAATATTTATTGGCGGGGCAGCCTTTCCCGTTTTGCCACCTGAGGATTCAGTCACCCGAGGCCGCTGCTTCAGTCCACCTCATGGGTGAGCCAACCCTGTTTGTTGGCCTAATGTGCCTCAGAGGGTGTAGATATTCCTTAAAGAAAACCTGGTAGGTAAATGTATTGTGAGGAGAGCAAAGCCAAGCCCGTTTATGTGTGTCTGTGTCGTCTTCTGATTTGGTTCTACAGCTGCAAACCAACATACCGTCTATGATGTTGAAGCAGCTTTGACTGGCCCCAAACATTGTGAAATAACCAAGCCATGGCTTTCAGAGATGGAGAAGGACATTTGGGCATAAAGGATGGGCATAAAGCCCATTGCACCAGTGCTTAAGGTCCAGCCTGTTAGCATATGGTGTTTTTATGCAACAGCAGAAGTTGCCTTTAGTGAGAGTCTTTGATTGGAGCATGCCTTTCATTGGAAGGTAATCAGATTGAGACGGAGTATAAAATAAGAAAGCTTATGCTTATTAACAGAAGGACATTCTGGAAAGGAAAGAATTCTATAGTCCTAGCTAACTAACTAGTTGGAGAAACAAAAAAGCCATACTTGCCCCTTTGCTCTCAGAAGATACATCAAGGATGGCCTCATACTCAATCCAAGTGTGAGAAATAAGTTGCAAACAGGATGCAACCTAAAATGTATCAATCTAAACTGTAAAGGACTTTGTTTCAGTTGAAGAAGTGGACTAAAGAGATTCCTTTTGAGAAGAGGAGGTGCACTGAATTTAATATTTACTTCCAGACCCCATTAGTAGTTCTCCAAATGAAGTTCTAGCCTAAGGATGAGAATCACCAAAAGCCACATTATCTTGGCTGGGGGGGAAGAGGTTGGAGTCTGCCTACCAGTGGTAGGTGGAGCCAAATCACGTGGGTGGGGTCAGAACATCATGTGCAATGGTCAAGTACCTTACGCCATGGGATGAAATACAGCCCTCCAAGCCTCTCTATTTTGCCCTTGTAACTCTCCTGTGCAACACCCTATTCCAGGGATTTTTTTCTGATACTGACTCAATGGTTGGCCAATCAGCGCTATGTAAACCCAACTCTTTCTACAGTGGGAAAATCATAAGTTTTCTACCCAGACTCATAGAGGAAACCTTATTGTGCATTACAGTAGCAGTGAGTGCACTTTTAATCCAGTCTCACTGCTAAATTTATGTACAGTTGCATGCAGTCTTGGTTAACAGCCAGAATTAACTTACCTATTTTTTTTATTTTCTGCGCATCATACATCTACAGTATATGGAAGAAATATCTGATGCTCTGATGTACTGCCATGCTCTAAAAGTGATCCATAGAGATATTAAGCCAGAAAACCTCCTGTTAGGATTAAGAGGGGAGCTGAAGTTGGCAGACTTTGGATGGTCAGTGCATGCTCCATCACTTAGGTATGTATACATATATATTTTTAAGAATTCAATACTGTTGGGAAGAGTCATGTGAGCAAAAAAATTCACCTGCTAAATTTCTATTTGGCAACCGTGAAATGCAGAATGTGTCCTGTTAAAAGTGAACCCATTTTAAACTGGATTTCAGCTGGCAATTTTAAACTGAACCCATTTATTTTTTTAAAAAATAGGAGGACAACATTCTGCGGCACTGCAGACTACCTTGCTCCAGAAATGATAGAGGGGAGTCCACACAGTGAGAATGTCGATGTGTGGTGCGTTGGTGTCCTCTGTTACGAGTGTCTTGCAGGATATGCACCATTTGAAGCACCAACACAGATGGAGACTTTCAGAAGAATAAAAGATGTATGTTCTTCTGAACAAAAAGCTTTGAGAGTAAATGGAATTTGCAATCTACAGCTTGAAACTTGGGCCCAAATCTTGATGGTTTATCCTTGAATGGGCACATTAGGTTATAGCATCAAGCTTAAGAGCCATGAGCCAGGATAGCTAACCCACAATCAAGATCTGCCCCCACCCGCCAGATCATGTGGCCTGCCAACCCTTGATGCTTTTTCCTCAAAATCTAATCAAGAGATAACATCCTCTATTATTTAGAGCACACTTTTTAAAGGGCAGAGTGCTTAATCTTCCGATTAGGAAATAAAAGAGCCCCCAGCTGCCTTTTTACATAAGTTCTTTGATCTCAGATCATAGCACTAAGTGCCACAGAAGATGAGCCCTCTGCCTGCTCTTGAAAGAGTAAAAGGCAGGGTTTCCTCCCACCCCCAACACTGGAGTGGAAAGAAATGTGTGTGTATACCAGAGTTCTGAGAGACTTCGTGTCTGGTGAGTGTGTGTGTACTGCTTGTTTAATGAATGCCCATGCCTAGTGTGTGGCTGCTGGTACATATACATGACCCGGAAAGCTGTCTGTGGACAAAGGCAAGCTCCCTCAGCCTGAAAACAAGATGGGTGCCACAACCTCATCATTGCCTTTGTCTGGACTTAACTGTCATGGGGTCCTTTACCTTTTTTTACCTTTTATACCCTGACCATAGCCCCACAGACATGTCGCCCTTTGAGGGATGGCAGTTAACATAACCCTATTTCTAGAGGTGCTGTACAAGATACATAATTGACAAGGTCCTTGTCCAACAGTATGAGCATCTTAGGGCAAAGCTGATGTGCAGATAGGAAAGCTGCATGGGGGTGGAGAAGCAGATAAACTGGCACTAATGCATTCAACTTTTTTTTAAAAAGCAGAAGACACAACTAGCTTCATAAGAAAATGTAACTTAAAACATTCTTTTCTTCCAAGGTTAACTTTTCATTCCCTTCTTGGGTGTCAGATGGAGCCAAGGACCTAATATCCAAAGTACTCAACCGTACACCTTCCCTGCGGCTTCCCTTGAAAGAAATAATAGCGCACCCATGGGTTAAGACCAACTCTAGGAGAATCTTGCCACCTGTCTACAATGAAACAGAAGAGTAAATGCCTGTGTATATCCAGAAGGCTGTTGATTACTCCACATGTGCATCTGTCTTTTTAGATAGTTGGCTGCAATGTCAGACAGCAGATGAACCAGAATATCAAGCTTCTGCTTTCTGCTAAACCAGGTGTGAGAAGCCAGTGCCCCAGCAGCTGATGTTGGAATCCATCTCCTATCTTCCCTGACCGTCGGCCATACTGACTAGAGATGGGAGTTGGGGTCTAACAACATCTGGAAGGCCACAAGTTCCCATCCCTCCTAAACCACTCTTTTACAAAGAATTATTGTCACTACTTAGCTTGTAAATTTACTGTTAACTGTGGAACTTTTATGAACTGATATAATGAGGAAGAAAAAAAGCTAAACTTTGTATAATTTTAAACTTTGTATAATTTTAAAGAAATAAACACTTGCTAATGAATCTCAATCTAGCTGCAAGTTGGAAAGATGGTCCAGAGCTAATGTTTAAGTATGCAGACCTTTCTCAGGATCGCTATGTTGAAGAATTGATGTCGAAGCACATACAGTGGTACCTCGGGTTACATACGCTTCAGGTTACATATGCTTCAGGTTACAGACTCCACTAACCCAGAAATATTACCTCAGGTTAAGGACTTTGCTTCAGGATGAGAACAGAAATCATGCTCCGGCAGCGTGGCAGCAGCAGGAGGCCCCATGAGCTAAAGTGGTGCTTCAGGTTAAGAACAGTTTCAGGTTAAGAACAGACCTCCGGAACTAATTAAGTACTTAACCCGAGGTACCAATGTTCCTTATTGTACTGCGGCCAACTCAAGTGTTTTAGTATTCAGAAAGCTTTCAAGTGCTCCAGAACACTTATGTCAGAATTAGATGTTCAGTTTTCAAGGAAAGGTGGAGGGTTCAAGATATAATGAAAAGGCCAAACATTTGCTTTGCAACAGTCTTAAGATGGAAGACACAAGGTGTTATGTGTATCTAGTTAGGACAGGTTGTACTAGGTGCAAAATGATTTCAGGTTCTATCAAGGGCTACTGCAAAGGGACAATTGGCCACTCTTCCTTTGAAAATACAAAGCCAGCAGTAAATCGGATATTTACAAAAGTGAGAAGCAAAGAATCAGAAGGAAGAACTATTGGCTCCCTAAACCTAGATGTGTGTTTCAGTCATTTTCATTTTGTATGATCACCTTCTCTGGTCGATTAGGACCTAATGCTGACAGCTTTCTGCTGGGATGGTGTCTGGTCAAAAAGATGGCTAGTGAAGACACCCATTTATGTTGCTCAGAGTCTTAAGATGCTGTATAGCAGGCAGAGGCATACCTAGGGGTTAGAAAAACTGGACCATGCTGGTAGCACAGGCCAGAGTGGATGCAAAAATTCCGTTAGGCATTTGAGTCCTTCCACAACACCTGGAGTGCGCGCACACACACTGCTCAGCATTCCAGTGCAAGGGATCCTAGGTACATCTCTGATACGAATGGGAAAATTCAGGCTCTCCAGCCTCACCACCTCTTTTACCAGTCCTGCTTTGCATCTTCCTTGAGTGGTTTTGCCTGCCTGGAATGTTTCATTGAACTCTGATAATGCTACTTGCTTGCCTGGGTGCAGGCTAGAGTGGAATGTGTGTAGAAACTAGTGTACTACTCAAAGGTAAAATTTGCATTCACTGATCTGTCCACTTTTGACTCCTGCCCTATGCACCTCTGGCATGTGGTCCTCAGATGATAGTCTGGAAGGACTGCAGCACTTAGTGAAAATGGTTCTGTCAGTGCTCTCTACTAGATGCTAGAAGTGGCCAAGGTCTGCCATCTCTTCCTGAATATCATCTTTAAAACAAATGGTAGTTGTACTGGCCTAGTTTTTAAAAAAATTAATTGAAAAACCATATTAGGTCTAATTTATTTCTATTTGTTTTATTTCATAAAATTTATATACTGCTGGATAAAATAAGAATATTACTAAAATATTTACTACCGTAGTTTAAAACATACAGAAGGTTAAAACCACAATAGACTAAAAGGAATTAAAATGCCTACGAACTTTCTACAAAATGAAGGTATTACCCTAATATAGGTGTTGAAATGCATCTGAAAACTAGGAACAATTCAGACTTTGTGCCTTCAATTTCAGCCTGATTTCCCATTCTCCTTTCTTCTACCTTTCCTTGATATCCAGCCTACTAAGGAGCTCTGTAGAACTCAAAAGGCTTGCTCACTATTTGATAACATTTTTAGCCTAATAAAGGCACTGCCCTACTGTGGTTTTTAGAAGTAGGCAAGTTCTGTTCTGACTGCACTCCACTCTCAGGTATGTGAAGCATCTGTGGAAGAAGGCTGATGACATGCCAAATAACTCACATGAACAATGCCACCTGTGAATGCAGCCTTAGACACCAGACTTAAAAGCCAAGCAGAATGACACAATATCCCAGATCCAAAGTGCCTAGAAGAGATGATAAATAAGAAATGGAAGGCTTCTTGACCCACTACCCTTAAACCTTTCCCACAGGTAATTCCATAGAGGTTACAATAGTAAAAACATATTATAATAAATAATAATAAATTTTATTTATATCCCGCTCTCCCCAGCCGAAGCCGGGCTCAGGGCGGCTAACAACAATAAAACAGTACAAAAGTACAGCATAGACAACAGTCTAAAATCATTCATTATAAAATTAATTAATTCAAGCCACTGGCAACCATTGGGCCAGAGCTCCGCGAAGATTGCCGAGGGAGGAGTCAGGCTGTGCCCTGGCCAAAGGCCTGGTGGAACAGCTCTGTCTTGCAGGCCCTGCGGAAAGATGTCAAGTCCCGCAGGGCCCTGGTCTCTTGTGACAGAGTGTTCCACCAGGTCGGAGCCACGGCCGAAAAAGCCCTGGCTCCAGTTGAGGCCAGCCTAACTTCTCTGTGGCCTGGGACCTTCAAGATGTTTTTATTTGAAGACCGTAAGTTTCTCTGTGGGGCATACCAGGAGAGGCGGTCCAGTAGGTACGAGGGTCCTAGGCCGTATAGGGCTTTAAAGGTTAAAACCAGCACCTTAAACCTGATCCTGTACTCCACCGGGAGCCAGTGCAGCTGGTATAGCACCGGGTGAATGTGATCTCGCAGCGAAGACCTCGTAGGGAGTCTCGCTGCAGCATTCTGCACCCGCTGGAGTTTCTGGGTCAGTCTCAAGGGCAGCCCCACGTAGAGCGAGTTACAATAATCCAGTCTGGAGGTGACAGTCGCATGGATCACAGTGGCTAGGTCAGGGCGAGAGAGGTAAGGAGCCAACTGCTTAGCTTGGCGGAGATGGAAAAATGCCGCCTTTGTTATAGCTGCAATCTGCGCCTCCATGGAAAGGGAGGTGTCGAAGATTACACCCAAACTCTTAACGGACGGTGCTGGCACTAATTGCGCCCCGCAAGAGATGGGAGTTGCCCCCAATCCCATATCGCCCCGTCCCAGCCACAGGACCTCTGTCTTCGAAGGATTTAGCTTCAACCGGCTCCCACGTAACCATCCAGCCACAGCTTCCAAACATCTGGTCAGTGTGTCTGGGGCCGAGTCAGGATGGCCATCCATCAACAGATAGAGTTGGGTGTCATCGGCATACTGATGGCAACCCAGCCCAAAACTCCGAACAAGCTGGGCGAGGGTGCGAATCAAGATGTTGAAAAGCATCGGGGAGAGTATCGCACCCTGAGGTACTCCACACACCAAGGAGTGGCGCGATGACAATTCCCCCCCAAGCGCCACCCTCTGTCCCCGACCAGAGAGAAACGAGCGCAGCCATTGAAGGACTGTGCCCTGGATCCCCACGTCGGCAAGGCGGTGGTCCAGAAGTTCGTGATCGACCATGTCGAAAGCTGCTGACAGATCTAGAAGAATCAGCAGCCCCGACCCGCCTCGATCCAGCTGTCTACGAAGATCATCTGTTAGGGCAACCAGAGCCGTCTCGGTCCCATGACCAGTGCGGAAGCCGGACTGGAATGGATCCAGAGCCGATGTTTCATCCAGAAAACCACCAAGCTTGAGAAGAAATTGAGAGCAAAACCAAAGTCCCAGGAGATTTTGAGAGAAATAAAATTATATCAAGTACAATATATGGAAATGATGAATCAGGAAATAGAATGGAAAATCAAACAAATGAGACAAAAAAACATTTGAATCAGCTAATAAATGTGGAAAACTGTTGGCCTGGCAAATGAAAAAAAGACAAAAATTAAATACTATTATAAAACTAGAAGTGGAAGGAAAGAGTATACATAATCCAAATGAGATCAGAAATTGCTTCCAGAGGTACTTTAAACAACTATACACACAAGGGCCACAGAAGGAAATGGACATAGATCAATTTTTGAAGACAAATGGCCTACAAAAAATCTCTCAAGAAAGTAAATTAATGCTGAACTATAAAATATCTGAACAGGAAGTAGAAGGTGCCATACAAAATATGCAATTGGGCAAATCTCCAGGACCGGATGGGCTGACTTCCAGATACTATAGATCTTTGAAAGAGTGGTTATTGCAACCTTTGAAGGAAGTCTGCAATGAAATTTTGGAGGGGAAAAGGGCACCAGAATCGTGGAAAGAGGCGTATATCACACTTATACCGAAAACAGAGACTGAAAAGACTCAGCTTAAGAACTATCGCCCTATATCGTTACTTAATGTGGATTACAAAATTTTTGCAGACATTTTGGCCAAGAGATTGAAAAAGTATTGATGAAAGAGATTCATAAAGACCAAGCGGGCTTTCTCCCGGGAAGACACTTGTCTGATAATTTGAGGAATATAATTGATATTTTGGAAAAATTAGAAGTGAATATAAACACCAAAGCAGTATTGATATTTGTTGACGCGGAGAAAGCTTTTGATAATATCTCTTGGAGTTTTATGAAGAAGAATCTGCATGGGATGGGGGTAGGCCAAGGTTTTGAAAATGGTATAGGTGCAATATACTCTGAACAAAAGGCTAAATTAATTGTAAATAATGTGGTTACGGAAGAATTTAAGATAGAAAAAGGGACACAACAGGGGTGCCCAATTTCCCCACTGCTTTATATATCGGTCCTGGAGGTTTTGCTAAACATGATTAGAAAGGACCGGTTGGTTAAGGGCATACAGGTCGGAGCTAAACAGTACAAACTGAGAGCATTTGCAGATGACTTAGTATTGACGTTACAGGAGCCAGAATCTAGTACTAAAAGAGTTTTAGAATTAATTCAGGAATTTGGTCAGGTGGCAGGTTTTAAATTGAACAAGTTAAAAACTAAGGTTTTAGAGAAAAACTTAACACCGATTGAAAGAGAGAGGTTTCAGAATGAGACAGGATTGAATGTGGTAAAGAAAGTGAAATACTTGGGGATTAATATGACAGCCAAAAATGGGAACTTATTTAAAGATAATTACGAAAAATGTTGGACGGAAGTGAAAAAGATTTAGAAATTTGGTCAAATTTGAAACTCTCGTTGCTGGGCCGTATTGCTGTGATAAAGATGAATGTATTGCCTAGAATGTTGTTTTTGTTTCAGACATTACAAATTGTAGATAAGATGGATTATTTCAAGAAGTGGCAGAGAGATATTTCTAGATTTGTCTGGCAGGGCAAGAAGCCCAGAATAAAATTTAAGATATTAACTGATGCCAAGGAAAGAGGTGGATTTGCCCTGCCACACCTTAAACTTTATTATGAATCAGCAGCTTTTTGCTGGCTGAAAGAATGGCTACTTCTTGAAAACACAGACATTTTGGATCTAGAAGGTTTTAACAATGTATTTGGATGGCATGCATATTTATGGTATGATAAGGTCAAAGCACACAAAGCATTCAAAAACCATATTGTTAGGAAAGGTATGAAGTTTACGGCATGTAATGCCTTAAGAGAGAATATTATGAAAATGATATACAGGTGGTACATGACCCCAGTCAAGCTTGCAAAAATTTATCATTTGCCCGATAATAAATGTTGGAAATGTAAAGAAACTGAAGGTACATTCTTTCACCTTTGGTGGACGTGCCCAAAGATTAAGGCTTTCTGGGAAATGATATATAATGAACTGAAAAAGGTATTTAAATATACCTTTCTGAAGAAACCAGAGGCCTTTCTCTTGGGCATTGTCGGCCAACTGGTGCCAAAGAAGGACAGAACCTTTTTCATGTATGCTACAACAGCAGCAAGAATACTTATCGCAAAGTATTGGAAGACACAAGATCTACCCACTTTGGAAGAATGGCAGATGAAGGTGATTGACTACATGGAATTGGCGGAAATGACTGGCAGAATCCGAGACCAGGGAGAAGAGTCGGTGAAAGAAGACTGGAAGAAATTTAAGGACTATTTACAGAAATATTGCAAAATTAAGGAACTTTAGGAAGATGTTGGATAGAAACTAAGAGGTTTTTAGCTGTAATGCTTTAAGAGACATGGAAAAAAAAGGTTAACAATTGGGTAAAAGATTAATGGTAAGGATTTGCTGAACCAACAAATTGAATTGGAATACAAAGAAGGGAGGTATGAGGAGGTCCGGGAAATAAGAGTAAGGAAGATAGGTTATGGAACATTATTGTGTTTTTAACTGTTTTATTTTGTATGTTTTTTCTTATTTTCTACTTTTTTGCTGTATTTTAAAACTTTATACTTTTTTCTTTGTTTTGTATTTTCATGTATTTTTGTGAAACTTTAATAAATATCATTATAAAAAAAAAAAAACAGAAAACCACCAAGCTGTTCAGCAACCGCTCTCTCAATCACCTTACCCAGGAACGGAAGATTCGAAACCGGGCGGTAATTGGATAGATCTAAAGGATCTAATGATGTTTTCTTTAACAGCGGGCGCACCACTGCCTCCTTCAGTTCCCCTGGGAATGTCCCCGTGCGAAGGGACAAATTGATGATATCCCCCAGGAGGGCCCGCACCTCGTCTGGACACGCTCTAATCAGCCAAGACGGGCACGGGTCGAGAGGACAGGTGGTGGGCTTTCCAGCTCGGAGGAGTCTGTCCACATTGGCTGGGGATATCTGGTCAAAGTGGTCCAATACTGGACCCGAGGACAGCCAAAGGGCCTCCAGTTCCTTTATTGTATCCAAATTGGCCGGGAGGTCATGGCGGAGCAACAAGACCTTCTCCGCAAAAAAGCTCGCAAATGCCTCACAGCTGTGTGTCAAATTGTTATTTAAATTTGGCTGTCCCTCAAGGGACGTTAAAGACCTGATTATACTAAATAATTGCGCCGGGCGAGAGCTAGCGGATGCAATGGAGGCCGAGAAGTATGACTTCTTAGCAGCCTTCACCGCCATCTCGTAGGTTTTCATAAAAGCCCTATAAGATGTTCTTGAGGCTCCGTCACGGGCACCCCGCCATACTCGCTCTAGCCGTCTGAGGTCCCGCTTCATTTTCCGGAGCTCCTCGGTAAACCAGGGAGCCCGGTTTCTGCGGGGTCGCAGAGGGCGCTTAGGTGCGATCTCATCGATGGCTGCCAGGAGCTGGGTATTCCAGCCCTCAACAAGCTCAGTCAATGAGTCGCCAGGGGGAGCAAGTTCCCGCAAGGCTTGGCGGAATCTATCAGGGTCCATCAGCCTCTGCGGGCGAGCCCAAATCGGCTCGCCACCTAAGCAGGGTGGGGGTGGAAAGTCAATCCTGGCTTTCAGGGCGTAGTGATCAGACCATGGCACCTTCATCGAAGGAGACATGATCACATCTATACCTACGCCAAAGATCAAATCCAGCGTGTGGCCTGCTTGATGTGTGGGGCCCGAAACAAACTGGGAGAGCCCTAGTGTCGCCATGGAAGACACCAGGTCCAGAGCCTGTGAGGAGGGAGTGGCATCAGCATGGATGTTAAAGTCCCCAATACCAATAGGTTAGGGAACTCCAAGGCCCAGCCGGCCACCGCCTCCAATAGGCCTGACAGGGTGGCTGCTGGTGCACTAGGTGGCCGGTACACCAGCCAGACAGCCAAGCTCTCCTCGGAGCCCCACACTAGGCCAACACATTCAATGCCGGGGATCGATGGCGATGGTAGAGCCCTGAAAGGACAATCTTCCCGGATTAATAATGCCACCCCTCCCCCCCCGGCCCACAGTCCGCGACTGGTGGAGGACGGAGAAACCCGGGGGCGCCATCTCTCGTAAGGTAACTGTTGCCCCTTCGCGCACCCAGGTCTCCGTAACACAAGCCAGGTCGACCCCCTGCGAGATAAAGAAATCTCGCAGGGTGGCGGTTTTATTGCCTATAGACCTGGCATTGCACAGCACCAGTGACGGAGGTGAGTAATCCTTGCTCACCCTACCCTCGTCCCTCGGGATGAGGCGCAGATTGGAAGGGGTACGAGCGTATCCATATCTCGATCCCCTTCGCCTATAACATCTGCCCCCACCGCCATACCTCCCTCGCCCCTCCACGGTAGCAATCCCAGGCCTCATGGTAGCCTCCATTGATGGCAATTAATGTTATTCTTTCGCAGCCTAAAACAATAAAACCTTAAAACAATAAAAACTAAAAACAAAAACCCAGAAAACAATAAAACAATACAAATAAAAACTACAAAAATTAAAAATTCATCAAAATCTAACAAATTCCCAAGCCCACCCAAACATCCATCCCACCCCCATATATAAAAAAATCTAAAGGGAAAGGAAAATATTTAATAAAAAAAAACCATGTTAAAAAGAACTCTGCACCCCTCCGGGTCCTCCTGGGCAGTAGCAGCATCAGTTGCAACAGCCATCCTTGTGAGGCCCCACCCTGGGCCAGATAGTAAGTGGCAGGAGCAGTCCTTGTGAGGCCTGTCAGGCCCTCCCTGGGCCAGGTGGTAAGTGGCAAGAAGGAGCAGGGCCCTCAGGCACTCACACAGGGGAGGCAAGCAGTCCTTGTGAGGCTTCAGGCCCCGCCCCAGGCCAGATGGTAAGTGGCAAGAGCAGGGCCCTCAGGCACTCACCACAGGGGAGTCTTCCTGGGCAGCAGAGCAGTCCTTGTGAGGCTTCTGGCCCCGCCCCAGGCCAGATGGTAAGTGGCAAGAGCAGGGCCCTCAGGCACTCACCACAGGGGAGTCTTCCTGGGCAGCAGAGCAGTCCTTGTGAGGCTTTAAAATGTGAGGCTTTAAAATGTGGACATTTTAAAATTCTTTTCCGAAAATGTCACATTTTCCTGTACAGTACTTGTAGCAGCAGGTTACATGTAAGCATTAAAAAGTAAGGTTAAAACCACCTGCCCACAAACCGCCTGGTAGTATGCTTCCAGGGGACTATTTACCTGTGGTTGTTTAGGGCGCTGCAAAGTTGTATTCTTCCAATAATCTCCTTTATAGCTAATTGATATATTGCAATGAGCCTACAGTATTCCAGGGCTGTCCTGTTCAAGGAAGAGTGTGGAGGATTAACTTAGCAATAAATATATTTTTTTATTGTTGCCCAATATAACTCTGCAATCTGGTTTCTGTAAATATTCCAAATAAAAGCTGGTTCTTCCTCCCCACAGCCACCTATTTTTATTGTCCAAGCCACCCAGAAGTATTTGCATTCCTCAAAGCAGACTCCTTTCAAGTAACATTCCAGATGCCATAGTAATGTCATATCTGTTATTGGTAGCTGTGTTAGTCTGTTGTGGTTCAAACAAGAGTGCTATAGTACCTTAAATGCTAATGTTTTTACAGTAGCATAACCTGTGCACCAGTTCAGATGACAAGAGGGTTATTCCATGCGAAATCACCTGATTTTAATACTCGACCGTGATCTCACGACTCATATTTTCTTTTTTAAAAAAATTATGTGTAGATACCTATCGGATAACCTCAAATTATTTTTTAAGATGTTTTTGGTCCAAAATTGGGCACAGGAGAATTTTTTTAAAATGTCGATTTTCACGAGATTTAGGCTAATGCAATTTCTGCATCAGTTTAGAAAAAACCTCCTGTTTCACTTATTTTTCAACCAATTTGGCTCATTTTGGTATCAAAATAAGGTACAAAAATGGTATTAAGTGCCACAGAAAAGGGTCACCGACCATTCAAAGTGATTTTTTGCCATTTTATTCCTGGTAGGTCTGATAAGCCATAGCTCGCAAACCACAACTAACACATATATAATACTTTTTTTTGTAGAATGGGCTAACTATGTACAGTCACACCTCGGGATGAATACGCTTCAGGTTGAGCATTTTTGGGTTGTGCTCCGTAGCGACCCAGAAGTAACTGAACTGGAATAATATTGACTAGTTCTTTGGTTTTATCACCAACAGTGGCTTTAAAAGATTTGTCAGAAACTGAAATCCGCTTCACCAAAAGGGTTCTTTTGTCCAATGGTTTGAAGAAGTGGTTCTTTCTGGTGCCACCTACTGATAATGAATTATAATACCGTCCCTTCAGGAATTCATTTGCACCCACCTCAGCTGATGGTGTGAAAAACACCTGAATTCCCTTTATGTTTTTGGAAGCAAATTCAAATAAATCTTGTGCATTCAAAATTTGTCCCTTGCTCTCCTAGCTCTTGTTCCTCCTACTCCATTGCACATTTTTATCCAGCATACTTGGTTCTCCCCTGCGCCTGACCATTTTATCCTCTGAATAATCCTGCGAGGTAGGACAGGCTGAGAGCAATTTGCTGGCTCAAGGTCATTGACGTTTCAAACCAGGGTCATTTGCCAGACACTCATACCCAACATCAAACTGACATTGCACCACCCTTGCTTCTGGGCCTGTTTATTTTTCCCCGATTGGGAAACACCATTACCTGCAATTTTATTAAAAACCTCACTCCAGTCACAGTAGCACAACCTAGCCTACCCCACAGGGTGGTTGTTGTGGCGGGGGGGGATTGAAAAGCGGTGAAAGAACGCCACCTTGAGCTCCTTGAGTGAAATAAATATTATTATAAATATAATAATAAATAAAATAAAAATAAAATACTACAGTTGGAGACATAATCGTGGTGGTGCCATGCCCCACCTTGCCCCGAGGCAGCACTGAGGCCCTCAGCAAAACGGGGCAGGGGGGCATCGAGGGTCTTGCCCACCGCGCAGGCGCGCGGGCGTAGAAACCGTTGGGATGGTGCGCACGCGCGCTAGTGCGGCTCGCGCCCCGCCGGCGCCCGAGGCCAGCTTCGCTCTCAAGATAGCCGAAGGAAGATGGCTTCGGTTCTGACGTCGCCCAGCCGGTGAATAGGACGCCGCCCTATCATACGTTTCCCTAGGTTCTTAGTCCCTCCCACTCTCCCGCCCTCACGGGCGGAGCAGGCGCACTTGAGGGCAGGAGGGGAACGGTCACCCGGCTCTTTTCGTCCCCTCCCCCTCCGCCTCAGTCCTTTCTCAGATCCGTCAGTCAGGCTGGGCGGGCGGCTCGGAAGGGCGTCGCGAGGCGCGGGGGGCGTCTGAAGGAAACCGAGGCTGCCGAGAGGCAACCCCCCCCCACGCCTCCATCTTCCTCCTCCTCCGGCCGCAGCGATGAAGATCTGGACCTCTGAGCACACCTTCGAGTGAGTAGCGGGTGGCAAGATGCCGGGTTAAAGCGGGGAGGGGTCGGGCGCAGCGGGAACTCGACCTCTGAGGGGGCACCCGAGGAGCATCTCCTTTGGGGCAAGGCGCGGGCGGCTTTGACTTCACTTAGGGGGTGGAGAGGGGCAGGGGCGCGCTGACCTTTAAGGGGTTCCCCCTCCACCCCCTAATTATCCCACACGCACCCCCGAAACAGCTGCCTTGGGGAAGAGGGCGTCTGATCATCTTTTGGGGGGTTAAGGTTCGTACTACTCCACAGAAGTGCATGCGCTTCTTCTCCCTCTCTTGCCCCCATTTCCCCAGCGAATTGATTGTCCCCAGCTCTGTTTTGTTCACCTATGGAAACCTTTCAAATGAGGCATAAAGAAGAAGAAGGGGGGGATCTATTGTCGGTATTCAGGGGCTGCTGACAACCTTTTCCATTGCCAAGGTTGGCTTGAGGGTATAGTAGCAGCAGCACCCATCTCGACCTTCTTGTCTTTCTCTTCTCTCCACCCCCCAAAAAAAATCTCTTAGGGAATTTTTTTTATTTTTAAAAAAGCTGCAACGATGTGGGTTTTAAGAGGAAGAATTGAATGCAGAAGAAAAGTGGACTCCTTCTTGTTTTTCACAGGTACTCCGCTGGATGCTTAATTCAGTGAAGAAGCATTACATCATATTTTGCAGTGCATAGTTGGTATATTTCTTCCCATGTGGCTGCGGCTAAGCAACTGTCCTGAGGATTAGTGCAATTTTCTTGTCCACATTTTCTATGCTGATGGTAGCCTGCCACCTTCTTGGGTCTGCCGTGGCCAAATCCTCTTCTGCAGTGTTCTTAGGGTTTCTTCCGCTCCTTGGTGTAAGGAAATGCAGGCTGGAAAATGGGTGCTGAAGAACTGCATCAGGCGCCTCCCCCGCTCTGCAAGCAGTGAAAGGCCTTCCTTTCATTCTGTGCAGGCAGCACGAGTTTAGCCATGCTCTGTTCCAGCAGTTGCTGTTTGAAAAACATGTTTTTCACCGACTGCTGCAGTTGCTAGGTTTGGCCATGTGTTGGTTTTATTGAGTTTTCTTTTGCTCATTATAAAAGTCCAAGGATCCAAGCAGCATTTGGGGTTGAAATGTATTCAGGGCTCTGTCTTGGTTCTCCCAGAATTTGAATGTATATGATTTTGGAGTTGTATCTTAGGCTTTGTAGTGCTCTTCTTTCTTTTGTGACCAACCTGATCTTTAAGCTGCTTTTGAGACTCTTCATTTTTGCTTATTTTTTATTATGCTTTTTGCACGGTTTACATTATATAGTACTTGAAAGAGAATTCCTTGAGAATTCAATGACAATAGTATGTGGTGAATTGGTTGGCTCAGGTTCTTAGCTAAATCTGAGACTATCTGCAGAGCTTATTCCTATGTAACTAACTGAAAAGTGCTTATCTTCGTTTTTGTTTTTATTTGACAGCCACCCTTGGGAGACAGTTACTACAGCTGCTATGCAGAAATATCCAAATCCCATGAATCCCAGTGTGGTTGGAGTAGATGTTCTGGACCGGCATGTAGATCCCAATGGAAAGTTACATAGCCACAGGTTGCTCAGTACCGAATGGGGGATGCCATCAATTGTAAAATCAGTACGTGTCCATTCAGGATGCAGGACAAATATCTGACTTACTTTGAAATTACATGCATTTGACCTTGGTTTTTATAAAATACAGTGTAATGACCTTCTCTGAAAGTGGTATTTGGGGATCAGGTTAGCTTTGCATTTCACACTTTCACAATACATTATTTGGATTTTCCTGAACTGTTCAGGGTGCAAATTAGTAATTTCTGTTGGGTTTATTTACACCATAATTACATTGTATTTAGACCTGGAAGGAACTGGTGGCTTTGTTGAAAGGTGCTGTCCATTCATTTAGCATTTTATAATAGCAGCTGAAGCATTTGATAAATCTGTGTGTATATTTAATGAATTAATAAAGCGAGAGTCCATCAATCCACTAGCACTCCAAACTGCTGCCTCCTACAGAAGTCAGAACCTCTTTGTGTCATCCACTCCAGCATGTTCTAGTCAGCATATTTCAGGAAGCACTTATCCACTTCATTTGCATTGATTGATAGACTGAGTGTTCCCACTTAATTAAAATAAATAAATTCAGCTGGTTAAATCCTTTTAATATCTGAGTTGGTGGGGGGCGTTTAAGTGAATGGCTCTGTTCGGATGTAACAGAAAGCCCATAGTTTCCTGTTATGAGAAAAGGACTGCATGAGCCTTAGGCTTTTTCAGCTAGTCACGAATAAGGAAAGGGAAGAAGTGGAGAAGACCTTTACAATTACAATAATGTTCAGGTAAAGGCGAAAAACAACACAAGGAGCAGAAATTAGATCGTGATTCAGGCACATGAAATGGAACAAGCCATGTGCACTAAACTGGCAACTACTGAATATACATCTCAAGATCTAACTAGATATCTTTAATTTTTGTCCTGTCTTGTACTCATGTTGGTAATGAAAATAGTTCTGAAATATATAATGCCTGATGTTTCTCTCCTAGCTTATTGGTGCTTGTAGAACAAGGACATATGTACAAGAACACTCCATAGTTGACCCAGTAGAGAAAGTACTGGAGCTCAATTCTACTAATGTAAGTATTAATAAAACTGTAATCTTTACACTTTAGTTCATGCATGCAAAAATTTATGGGAAGTTTTTTGTAGACTTTTATTTGAACATATAAAACGTACTTAGATCTTTTGTGGAGCTGTTCTGACATTTCTTGTTCATAAACTGAATGAACAAGGAAGACACTACTTAGTGCTACACACAAATGTGACTTTTCCCTCAGATGTTTTTGTGCCATGTTATACTGACTTGTACTTATTTTGTGGACTGTCAATATGACAGTCTTTTGTGACTCTGGCAACATTTAGCATCAGGGATTTGTTTCCAGATCCTACTGCATTATATGTGAGTTAGGGGGAATGTAGTAATGTCTACCTTAGAGAAGACTGTTGTAATATCGTGAAAATACTGTGCCCCAGTTGTAGTGGCTTCAGATGCCATAAGTGCACAGCCCTTTACATATCTTACTGAATTTTATAACAGGAAGATTTGCTATATAAATTAATTTTTTTTCTAGAATTTGTTTGAATTTGAATATTCAAGTTAAGTATATATTAGAGAAAGACAAAAAGTTAAGATTTGAAAAAGAAATATCAAAATTCGATAAATATTTAATACAAGAAAAATCAAAAAATATATCTAAACTGTATAATCTGATCTTAGAGTGGGAAACAAAGGATGAATTGGTTAAAGCATCCATGATTAAATGGGTGCAAGATATTGGGAAAAATATTCTGTTTGAACAATGGGAAAAATTGTGGAAAGAAGATACGAAATTCACTATGTGTTATATATTGAAAGAAAATTACCTTAAAATACAACATAGATGGTATTTAACACTGGAAAGAATAGCAAAAATGAATAAAAATTGTAGTGATGTATGCTGGCGATGCAACACTGGAAAAGGTACTATGATACATATATGGTGGAATTGTTTAAACATCAAACAATTTTGGGAAACAATATATAACGAAATGGAAAAAAATGTTTAGATATACATTTAGGAAAACACCAGAAGGATTTCTATTGGGAATAGTACCAGAAAGTCTAAAGGAAGAAGACAAGACATTATATTTGTACGCAACAGTAGCCGCAAGGCTATTGATTGCAAAAAATTGGAAAAGTGGTATTATACCGACAAAAATAGAGTGGCTTGCCAAATTATTGGAGTACTACAATATATCCAAAACAATGGGAGAAATTGGAAGGATCTCAAAAGAGAAGATAGACAGGGATTGGAAGGTGTTTAAAGGATACTTGCAAAACCATATTGAAAAATCAGAACTATTAGAATAAACAAGTTCCGTTTTAAATACTGAAAAACTAAATAAGATGGATAACAATGTGTAATAGAAAAAGAAGCTTGAAATTAAGTTAAAGGTGTGTGAAAGAAAGAAATAGAAGTGGGAAGAAATTGCAATTGAGTAGATTGGATGTCTAACACAAAGGTGGGGTGAGGGGTGGTGGATGGTGATGGGAAAAGGAATTATCTGTGGGACTGAATGTAGGTATGTTTGTATATATTTAAGGATTGTATGAAATGTATGTTGGTATGCTTGTATATTCGCAATATGTGTGTATTAATGCTGAATTATTTTAACAATAAAAACTTTAAAAAATTCTAGATTTCGTTTACAAATCTGGTGTCAGTAGATGAGAGATTAATCTATAAACCACATCCTGAAAAGCCAGAAAAGTAAGTAATTGATTTCTTCAGAGTTTTACTTTAAACCATGGGTAGGGAATCTATGGTCTACAAGCCTAATTAGGCCCAGCACAGGCCCCAGATGGGCCCATGAGGCAATTTTCCCCAAGCCACACCTACCTGCTTCACTCTTAACATCATATGTGATATCAGGTAAGGAACTAGTGCCTACCATTGCACAGTTCAGAATGTTAAAAGTGAGCTCCCATTTTATCCCACTGGCTGGATCTGGTTCCCCATTCTTGCTCTAGACCAGTGGTTCTCAAACCTTTTTCTTTGGGCCACACTTTCAGAATAAAATTTTGCTTGCACCACACTGTTTTTTTAATTGATAAGAAATACATTGGAAAACAAAAAGAAACAACTAACAATGCGTGATTTATAACATAGAAGACAACTACTTTATAATACGGTCATGGGACATCCAGAAAGTATAAAACAATGCAGCTACATAGGAACACGAATCGTTCCCAAAATAGAGTAGTGATTGCCCTTTAATCTTCCTGCCCAACTTGCCATCCTCCTGCCACACCAGTGGGGTACGCTATGAGAACCACTGCACTAGACATTCATTTAAATTTATAGTCTGAGGATTGTGAGTAGGTGACATTCAAAATGACCGAAACAAGCTTTATTTCTACCATGGTTTCTTGTAATGAATGTAATCCCATTTGCTAGGATTGCTGGCGCTGGGTGTTTTCAGTAATGGCATATTAATGTCTCTTTAGGTAGGATAAGAACCTGTTATGTTATCGTGCCACCCCTTGACTGTTCTCCTGTTATTATTGTCTACTGTCTAATGTTAAAGGATATAGGTGCCTTTGCCTAAGTAAGCCTCATTCTCATTTCCTTGTTTCCATTTTTCTCTTGATTGCTATAACTGACGTCAAACAATTACTCACCTTGAAAACTTGCAGAGCTGTGCACGGCAATCTGGTTCCGTGGTTGTGTGTAACTGCTCGATTCCATGGAAAGGAGGAAATGACAAATGGTGCTGTAAGAGTGGTGGTTAAATTTCTTCCACAGATTCCCACTCTTACCATTAATGTGTACAATTGTGGAATATTGGCATTTCAGTATTCTAGAGCAAACTATTGCTTAATCTCCTCATGATGACTTTGTTTTTGTTTGCTCCAGCTCTTATAAAACTATTTGCTCCTTTTTAAAATAGTTGATTAGTTAATAGCAGAGCACCTAACTATACTTTGACGCAGCTGTGCTATTTTGGAATATGTTACTGCAGTAACAAAAATTTGAGAAGTAAGTTGGTAAACCATTATTCTTTTTTTCCTTAGAACCATTTTGACCCAAGAAGCAACGATTTGTGTGAAAGGGGTTAGTGTCAGCAGTTACCTGGAAGGACTAATGGAGAACACAATCTCTTCTAATGCTAAAAAAGTATGTAGTCAGCTTTTATGAGGTGTAAAAAAGGGAGATGGAGATCTTTTAGAATTTGCATGCAATGCAGTGCTGTTGCAGCTGAGTGAGAACTTGCAGAATTCCTAGGTCAAATTGACAGTAAGTGTACTACATAGTTGTAGACAAAGAACCAATCACTTAGGCCCTGATAATGCAGAATGGAAATAATACTAATCTACCTTAGTTGGCTGTAACTACCATGTGGAGATAGAACCAGTAGACGGTGGGGACCATGAAGGCTCCAGCTGCATCTAGATTGAGAAATGTGAGTTGATTGGCTAGTTTAAAGTGTTGGGTTGTCAATGGGTCTAATACATCCATGAATGTTCTAAGCCATATCAGGGACTCTGGTAAAAAAAATAAAAAATCAGGCTTTACAGGTCAAAACCAGTACTTTAAACTGGGCTCAGAAACTAATTGTCAGCAATTAGCTGTAGCACTGTGGGTTAAACCACAGAGCCTAGGGCTTGCTGATCAGAAAGTTGGCGGTTCGAATCCCCGCAACAGGGTGAGCTCCCGTTGCTCCTGCCAACCTAGCAGTTCGAAAGCACATCAAAGTGCAAGCAGATAAATAGGTACCGCTCCGACAGGAAGGTAAACGGCCTTTCCATGCGCTGCTCTGGTTCGCCAGAAGTGGCTTAGTCATGCTGGCCACATGACCCGGAAGCTGTACGCCGGCTCCCTCAGCCAGTAAAGCAAGATGAGCATTGCAACCCCAGAGTCGGTCACGACTGGACCTAATGGTCAGGGGTCCCTTTACCTGTGGGCCAGGGTTGGTATTATGTGCTGAAACCATCTTGCCCAACCTGGCTGCTGAATTCTGCCTCAGTTACAGTTTCCAAACAATCTTCAGAGGCAGCCCCATATATAATGTGTTGTAGTTAACAGTTAAATAGTTAACTGCAGTGTATATAGGTGAATTGCAGACTAAAGAGCTCTTTAGCTGGAGGTGAAAAACTCAAATTCAAAGAGCTTTTTGAGCTCTAGTGTATTTAGTTCATTGCCTCACATAGGAGTTAATTCCCCATCTTTCAAAAACCATTTACTATGTAGCCTAAGTGAGTTCTGCTCAGGGAATGAATCCAAAAGCCATTGGAAACTGCAGGAAGACAATATTAACTCTGCCTTGACCTGATCTGCCTGACTTGTGATAAATACAACCAAAAAATCCTCTACAAACAGGAAAGTCTCTTGAAATTGCATCTAAAACTTAAATTGCACCTGATTAATGCATCCAGGAAGAGTGTTCCAAAGTCTGGTAGCTTCCACAGAAAAGGCCCTATTCTCTAGGTGGAAAGGCACGGAATAGAGCTGCTGTCTAATATTAGAGCAGGCAATCCTTAAACCATGTGTGGTGTGTTTATTACAAGGCCTAGCTGGCACTAAAGCATTAAGTATTAGGCCAGACAATTAACTTTAGGTTAGAATAAAATTGCTCTGCTTGTATTTTATTACTTCATTTATGTTACATACATTTTTGCAATGCAGGCTAGATATATTGCATGTCTCCTCCATTTCTTGACTAGATAGGAAATTAGAACATTTTTAATCAAGATGTGTGTGTTCTCAGGGACGTGAAGCTCTAGAATGGGTGATCAACAAACTGAATGCCGAAATAGAGGAATTCACTTCTTCAGCAAGAGGAAACATGAGGTCTTCTATGGCAGCCGCAGCCTTTATGGAGAAATAAAATATAGCTATATTTGTCTATATCAGGCCTGAACATATGAAGCAAGCTGTTGTAAACTTCCTTCAAGATGGAAATATTTATTCTTCTATCTATTGAAAAGAAAGAAGACCTGTAGATTAGATTTTTCAATTAAAAACCTGGAGAGAAGTTGCATACGTTCATACATGAAGGTAGTAGGCAGGACTCAGTTCCGTTCAACTGTATTACTTTCAGCTGAAATAATCTGAACTTTCAATTCCTGCAAACACAGGAAGTATCTTAAAGTTACAACCTATAATAGGCCTCCAATAGAACAAACTGGAAGGTTAATCTATTGTTAACCCCATCTTTGATAGAATTCAGGTTTTCCTAGACTCTGTTACTTTTGGGACCCAAATTAAGATGAATTATCCTGGGCACAGTAGCTTGGGTAGTTGGCAGAACATTGGTTATTACTTGAAATATGATTGTTTATATTAAAATGCTGCTTTGTATGCTGCTGTCATGAGTGTTACAATTTGCTAACATGAAAAGTGTGGTACATAGCATTTGTTCCCTTACCTTAAAGCTTTGCTCTGTTTAAGAAATGCTTCATAATTTTGAAGGATTAACCAGCTAAAGATTTGTACTAGGCAAATTATGAGTTTGGCAGAAGCTGCATGATATATAACTAAGGGGGTAAATTTGTTCAGAAATCCACTATTTTAGTTTTGTAGATCGACTTCAAAAAGGTACTGTAACAGTTGCAAAATGTAATTTTGTTATATGCTCATTCTTTGGTTTTGCAGCTTCAAGAAACTGGAAGTAATATAAATATGTAAACTCTGAGATAGAAGTATTTGTTCCATTTCAAGTGTACGGTAACATTGTTAAATGAATTGCATAATGATTTATATGCTTGCTCAGCAGGACATCATGGACTATTAACATTTCTTAAATAGTAATTTGTGCTTCTGTCTCCTATAAGGAACAAAATGTGACAGGTTGCTTAATCTTGTCAGTATTCTTTAATTCCATATCTAAAATAATGGTGAGATTGCAATATTCTTCCTGTTCTTCACAGAGGAATATTTCTAGAGGTGAAAGTTGAGAATGGAATACAAAACCCAAACGGAAGGCTTTATAACATGGATATTGTGTGAAATAAAAATAGCAGTGGAAACAGAGTAGTGCTGTTGTAGAGGAGGGCCCATTAAAATTTCTGTATAAGGTACCTTTCATATGAAGGACTGAAGAGGTAGAAGCCTATTATCTCCCTGAAGATACTACACCAAGTAGTAATTGGCATAACTAATGGGTTGCAAGTTCATTTTGCAATCTCTAATTCTGTAGATCTCATTTATATATTGAGAACAGTTACAGAAGTGTGCTTGTGCATGCAATTTTCTATGCCATATGAGCATATGTCAGTAATACAGAACTAGCACTAGTTTTGAGTGCTTATTTAGATAGAAATGTATCCTTGAATCTTCGAATGGGGGAAAGCGGAAGGAAGAAAACCTGTGAATATGCCTAAGGTTACAAATGTTTACTTGCATATTTAAATTTTAAATATTTTTGTACTTTTTCTTTATTGCATTTGTAAAAGCATCAGTTTTTTTTATATATTTGAGAATGTTCTTAACTTAATTAAAACGTTGTCAATGTTTGATATTCAAAACTGTGTTTTAATTTTGGTGCATAGTAACTGTTGTGATAAAAAAAGTCACAGCATTTAAATATTGAGTAATTATTTCAAAGCTTGTATATTTTATCTTTAATTTGCTATGATCGTTTTCATAATTTGAGAGGAATTTTGGGAATGGAGATTAGAATTCTTAGGTGTTAGGCCTGCAAAAGCCTGTGCAAACTTTACTGTCTAGAGCAGATGTTCCTAAACTTTGGTATAACATGCTCTTTCTACTGAAGTATATGCTGAGCGTATGCAATATTCTTCTTAAAAAGTCATCCCCAACCTTCTTCAGCCCTTGGAAAATGCTTATGTGCAGATCATCCCCTCTTTCTTGCATGCTACTTTTTCATTTTAGGGAAGAAAAAAGCACAGCAGCAAAGAGGATGGTGTCAGAGTTGCAGCTGTGCTCAGATTAGTTTCTCTTACATGCCTTGTGATTTCCGAAATCAACAGAAGCTACCTTCTTAAAATTTACCAAAGTGTACATTTCATTAGAGCAATCAGCAATCAGTCATCACTGTAATTCCTGTCCCAGTCTTCTTGTCTCATGAGGAAAATGTTATGTTATGGCAGTGGGGCAGCCACATAGGTATGCTCTATAAGGCAGGGGTTAATTTGGAAAGAAACAGAAGAGGGAAATAGGCAGGGGGCAAGACTGTATGGAGAATTGGCAGCCACACAAGCATCTTCTGTGCTTCCTGTTAACCTGGATACAATAGAAAATTCATGGATGGTTGCTCAGAGATAACAGGTAATTCTCTCTTTATGCTAATAGCTTTAGCATAAGTTTCATTGCAGGTGGGGGGGTGGGGAGAAGAGAACTTTCACCCGTGTCATGGTCCTGATCTGGATCAAAGCCCTTGTGGCTTCTATTTTAAAAAGAAAATTTGCACACCTGCAAAAATGAGGGCACCATGCTAAGCTCGGCCAGTCTAATGGCGGATGGAAAGTGATAGGAGAGAGTTGTCATTCATTGCTGATGAAGCTTTTGCTCTAGCACACAGATGGGGGTGGTGGCCCTTGAGATGTTCTTATGCTATGATTCCTATCGTCTGTAACCATTGGCCATATTGGCTAAGGCTGATGAGATTTCGAGTCCAGCAACGTCTTGGGGGGGGGCACAGGTTCTCCACCTCTGCTCCAACACGAGCACTGCTGACCACAGCCTCATGATATTACCTCTGGTGTTGGCTGACTGGTGACCTCAGGACTCTGCATCCAGGCCAACAATTTGCAGTCCTACTTGAGAGTAAGGGGTTCCATCAAGTAATTCGATGTCCTCATTACAATGACTTCCAAATAAAAGCTGATATCGAAAGACGATGAGAGCAACACCCAATCATCTCTGTATTAGGGACTCTACTTGCCCTACAACATTCCTAGATACACAGTTAATTTTAAAAGGTAAAGTGGGAGCAGGAAGAAAAGATTAAGATGTCACAGGCTGGGATGGAAAACATAGGACCAGGTGATGAAGAGAGGAATCCACTTAGCTGTAGAGCGAGGAGCAATAATGCATTATTGGATGGGGAAAGAGAGGCAGTTATCCGAGACTTCTCCCAAGCAGGTGGTTCCTAGCAATACTTGGCAATTTATTTTCTGCTGTAAGCTCCAAACAAGTGCAATCAACTTCCAATGCTTCAAGGCTCTAGTGATTTTCTGAAATGTATACAATACATCCTGTTCAGTCTATGCCAGCAGAAATGACAGAGCCACCTGCCTTTACCTACTAAGTAAGCACTGCAAGGGGGACCCTGAACTGTTTCCAGCTCAAATTGGTTGCTGGGTTTGCATTTTCCCCTCTTCCCTCCACTCCTTTTGAGTCATGCCTTCTAGATCGTAAACCTGCAGGCAAGGATTGTCTTGTTTTAATTATGTAAGCCACTCTGCAAAGAGTGGTGTACAAATGTTCTTAATAGTAATACTAAATGATGATGATAATTAATAAATAATACAAGCTTCCACTGCTGTCGGTGTCCTAATTTGCAGTACTGCCTGCCCCAATTTAATGCTTCTGTGGAGAACTAACATCCTGGTCTGGCAGAATGACAGCCTGGCATTGGGAAGCTGAGTTCATAAGGTTTGCAGGCTGTTTATGAACTGCATTTTACATGTATTTAAGCCTCAAAAGTATTGCTCTGTGTAACAGAAGATGCCAGAGTGCTTATTCCAGCTGATTTCAATGAGTATTCTACCACTGCTCCATGCTGAGTGCTGTCCTGAAGCCTTTAGAGATTTGCTAGGCGATGACCTGTATTTAAATCAGCATGCAACAATTTCCACTCCAGGAGCTGCGGAAAGATTAGGGTCATTAAGTGGGAAGAAGTACAGAAGAGCTTTAGCAGCCCAGCTGAATATGGCTTGCCTTAGAGGGGAAAGCAAGCAAATCCACAGCTATCCAAGGTATGTACTATTCTTAAACCTCGATATATGCTTTGTATTAATGGATGCAGTTGCATCGCATGCTTCTTCACAGCATGCAATTTTTCAGCAGATAGCTGTGCAGATGTGCTGCTTTGAGACAATTGGATGAAAAGAGCCAATGGAATATTCACCTTGTTAGATCTGAGATTTGGTGATGTGTCTGATTACTGTAATTATTTACCAGCTAGTGTAGTATGTATATAATAAGTGATGCGTTTGGTGGGCGATGCTCGCTCGTCTATCTTACTAAGCACGTGAGCAAGGTGGCTACTTTCCAACAGCCGTTCCAAGGTTATTTCTCACCAGGAAGGAAAAGCCCTTGCAAAGATGGTTTGCCACTTGTACTCTTTCAGGTTGCTGTCGGTATTAGAGCCATGATCCATTCATAAATCTCTTCCACTTAAGTTAATGGGGTCTTAAATGCCTTTTGACTTTTACTGGATTGTGTGTTCTAGAAACGGATTAAAAAATTCACTGGCATGCATCACTTACGATAAATGCAACATCACAGTGTACAGTTTAAGTGCTTTTTTTGTATTGTGTTCCTTTTATCTTTTATCCTCTGTCCCACATTTGACAAGAGGTCAGAGAAATAGTTCCGCAGTCTATCACATGCTTTGCAACGCTGAATGTCTCGGGTCCAATGCTAAACATCTCTAAAGAATATTGAGGAGAAGGTGTGTAAATTACAGGCAATTAGATGAAACAATAGCAGGCACCTAATATACTAAATTGCTTCCAAAATATAAGTTATAATTATTATTATTTAATAAATTTATATACCGTCCTTCATCTGAGAATCATAGGGTAGTTTACAATATAAAAACAAAACAGGAACATAGTAAAGAAGAAAAAAATTAAACCTATACCCCCAACACACACAATTTAAAAGGATTGTTAATTAGCCAAGGTCCTGAGAGCAGAGAAATGTCTTTTCCTGGTGCCTATTATCATTATTATTTATTGAATTTATATAACACCCTATACCTGGAGGCCTAAAGACATATGACAATGGTACTAAGGTGAGTTTCTCTGGGGAGAGCATTCCACAAGTGGGGAGTCACTTCAGAAAAGGCTTGTTCTCCTGTTGCCACCCTCCAGACTTTTCACGGTGGAGGCACATGAAGAAGGGCCTCCGATGATGATTGCGAGGTCCAGGTCGGTTTGTATGGAGAGAGGTGAACCTTGAGGTATTGCAGTCCTGAGCCATTGAAGGCTTTACAGGTCAAAACCAGCACTTTGAATTGGACCTGGAAACTGATTGGCAGCCAGGATTGTTGTTATATGCTCAAACAGAAATAATTGCAAAGCTTTTGCCATCGTATGATATGGCTTGACTTTTGCTGTCGTGACTGCAAAACTATTTTAACACACAAAAGCTAAATCCTTACAGTTGTCAAGGCATCAAGGGATGGAAGGCAACTCTAACCAGCAACAGAAGGATAGCAGGCACCTGTCTGAGTATAAAGAGTGACCTCAGTGGGAGTTCAGTCCATAGTGATTATGTTAAATCGATTATAAATACATCTGGGCACGAGCTGTGCCAGGACAATGCAACGGTGACATCCTAGGACAAGAAGTGTCACGCAGTGTTGCCCTCTGAGACCTACCTTTCTGCTGAACCACACAGATAAAGAAATCCACCTTTAAAGTGGTTTTTAAAATGGGATAGTTTATCCTGTGCCTTATTGCAGTAAAATATATTAATTCTCTTCTCTTCGTTCCTGGGAAGCTTATAGTTTCCCAACAGTTTTTATCAGGAGTTATTCGTTCAATGAGAAGCTTAGTAATAGCAGCTTCTTACTTTTCATAGCATTTATTTACCACTTGATTGCAAGGGGGTGGGGGGAATCTTTAAAGATCTTTACAGAAAGATATGCTTCCCTGAAAGACAGACTGACCACCACTCCCAATCTTTCCCTGCGATGAATAACTGCAGGGGAATACTGTGTGTGTTTAAAACAGACGACACTCTCTCAGTTCACATGGGGTAATGGGAGGCCCAGTAGGATTTACTGTACTTCACTTTGCATGTGCTGAGTCTGTGCAATAGAATATCTCCCAGAATCATCGGTACCCAAGGGAGATGTTTGGGGAGAGCAAGGCTCCTCCTCAAAAAGCAAACTTATGTGGAAAGTGCTTTTTGTAGGCAGTTTTAAAGGGTGGATGATGGTTGTTGTTATTAATTCATTAAATTTGTATACCACCCTTCATCCGAAGATCACAGGGCAGTTCACAACACGCTTCTACAACTTGATTGGGGGGGACCTCAAAAGTGGTTTACCAAAAGAATAAAAGAATGAAATAATCAATAAAAACATTTAAAAACATTTATTTATCAGAGCACTGCCCTTCTAGACCAGGCATAGGCAAACTCAGCCCTCCAGATGTTTTGAGACTACAATTCCCATCATCCCTGACCACTGGTCCTGTTAGCTAGGGATGATGGGAGTTGTAGTCCCAAAACATCTGGAGGGCCGAGTTTGCCTATGCCTGTTCTAGACTCTGGATATGAGACTGATTGAGAAATATTACTCAATTTCCCAACCTGCAACTGTTTGACCATTTTAATAAATTACACTATTCCTTGAAATATGTACAGTGGACGCTTGGGTTGCGAACGTGATCCGTGCAGGAGGCACATTCGCAACCCGCGGATTTCGATTCGGCACTTCTGCACATGCACAAAGCTCAATTTAGCATTTCTGCACATGCACAAGTGCCGAAACCCAGAAGTAACCAGTTCCACTACATCCGGGTTTTGGTGTGTCTGTAACCCGAGAACACGCAATCTGAAGCGTCTGTAACCTGAGGTATGACTGTATATTTATTTATTTGTTAATATGTTTCTATCATACCACAATGTAGTAATTCCATTTCCCCCCTGTTTAAACAGTAGGAGAAATAGGATGTATCCACTTCAATAATAGTAAGATTTTTTTTAAAAAAATAATTGTTCTTGTTTAATTCTTTCCTAGCTAAAGAAAAGTTATCAAACAAGGACAAGGCTGAAACTACACTGAATGTCTTTGGACTGCCACATAATCTTGTGGATTTATCTTGTTCTGTAAATTGGACCTCCTGCCCCCCTGGATCAGTCTGCTTTTGTCTGTTCTGCCTCCCTGGACCAATCCGGCCTTGAGTCTTTGGCCTCCTTGGAATTTGCATCCAAAATTGTCTTTTCAGATTCCCTCGACCTCTCCAGCCCTAGCTCGAGAGAGTCTTGGGATTGCTCAAGCGATACTGCTTCATCCTCCCTGGGCCTCTCTGTTTGTGCCTCCTTGTCTTCTCCAGAGCTCTCAAGTCCCTGTTCTTCACCCCCTCTGGACTCCTCCAGTATCTCATCTATTTCTCTGGACCTCTCCAGCGTTGCATCCTCAGGTTCCTGGGAGCGCTCTAGTCGAAGCTCTTCAATATCGTTGGACATTTCCAGTCTCACCTCTTCTGACTCACCACACTTTTCTAGTCTAAGCTCTACAGTCTCCGTAGACCTATCCAGTTTTTCTTCTTCTGCATCGCTGGACCTTCCCACATCACCAGCCTCCCTGGATCTCTCTAGCCACACATTCTCAGACTCGGATCTCCATTATGTATTTTCTTCTCCCTCTCTGGATATTTCTGATCTTTCCTCTTCATCCTCTTCTGGTTCATTAGACCTCACTAACATCAACACATTAACATCTCAGTACTCCTCTGATTCATCATCTTCTAGTTCCTTAGATGCTTCTGATTTTGTCTTTCCAACATCTCTGGACACTTCAAATATTTTTGTTCAAGACACTCCTTACTGCACCTCCTCCGTATCATTGGAGATTTCAAACTTCACATCTTTAGCTGAGCAGCAGCGATCCAATCTCCCTTTGGATTTGTCCAGCCGTCCTTCGTCTACAACTTTCAGTTGCTGCAATAATCTCAGCTTACCATCAACTCCAGTTTACCCTCTCTAATATTTATGATGCAGAGCTCCACAGATTGTTTGATTGATGTTTGGGGATTTGTAGTATAATTATTTATTTCCATGTCCCTTTTTTCTGAACAAGGACAACATTATTTCAAGCGTTTCATCTCCAGGAAAACTTCAGAACTACAAAATGTACACTGAAATGGGGAAGAATTAATAATAGGGCCACCAACTTTTTAGGGCAAGGCTGACCTTAGGGGAGGGAAAAATTCAACATCTGAATTTTAATACCTTAAGACACAGGATCCCTTTAAAAAGGTTGACAACCCTAAACAACAGTTTGTACAAATGTATGAAGGTGCCTTGATATAGGCACCTTATGCGATTACAATACCTACGGTACTTACTGTTTGGTTTCCTTGTGGCTATTGTTAATGTTAAGGTTCTCAACCTCATGCTTCCTTTTCATCTTGTACAATTTGAGGCTGTAATCCTATACACAATTACCCAGGAGTAAGACCTATTGCATCCAGTGAGCCTTACTTCTGACTAGACAACTTGAAAAACACAATGGAACCCCTATTTATTTCCTGACGTATCACAATCACTTGGAATTAACCAGTGGAATGAGTTAAACTATAATACAGTAGACCATGTTTTCAGGAATCATTGTCCTGTTTTTTTAAACAATGCCAGATACAATTCCCTCTGATTCCAAGTCAAGCCTTTGAGTGCTCGTGCAAGTGTAGCCAAAACCACACTAACCATATACAAGACAGGGTATCAGCAGACTCCTGAGGTTGGCAGGCATACAAAAGATATTGGGATATAAAAAATGAATTGGGGGAAAGAAGCGTCCCAATCAGCTAAATGAGGACTCAGTGTTGAAGAAATGCTGAATGACTAGGGCAGCAGGGAGGGGAAAATCCATCTGGGTGGAAGTGGAAATGGAACAGAGTGTCTGGAAAGAAAGGCACTCTGTGAGGGTAACAGATGTCTCCTAACAACTCTCAACACCTTAACAAACTACAGTCTTCAGGATTTTTAAAGGGAAGCCTTGACTGTTATAGCAGTATAACAGTGCTTTAAATTTTAAATGTATTGTACATATGTGGCCTATTTTTCAATGTTCCAAAGCTATTTTTCAATGTTCCAAGGATTTAAGTGGGAGCTGCCCATTGAGGAAATTCAAGGTTTTACTGTAGCTAGATTTAGACACATGCACTCCCCCTCCACCCTATAAATTGCCAAATGGGGAGCAGGGGAAATCCCCAAATAGAAGGGCAAACCTAAAAATACCCAATGATGATGATATAGGCTGTGTAGACGCCATACATTCAAAGTACATTTAAAGCACACTGCTTTCCCCAAAGAATCCTGGAAATTATCGTTTACCCCTCACATAGACAATTCCCAGTAGCCTTAACAAACTACAATTCCCAGGATTCTTTGTGGAGAGTAATGTGATTTAAATGCATAGTGTGTACACCGTCTTAGCATGCTCTTGCTGGCAGAATACTGGCAGACTGTTAGAAAAAAGGAAACTGGGCAGAGAGGGAATGAAATGGAGAATGGCGAGAACCCTCAACAAAAGCACTCCACTCTGCAATATTATCTGCAGGACCCCACTTCCTTCATCTTTTCTCTCACAAGTCCTGTTTTAAAAGATTTTCTCTGATTTATGAAATATAACTGAATGTTGTTGACTGAATGTGTCATGATGATACAACTAACTGACTGCTTCTGAGGCTCTGAATCTGAAGTCTTGTGTGACCCTGAAAAACAATGTGTACAATACTTTTATGAGTTGGAAAAAATGTTTCAATATTCTGTACCACATATGCCTCATAAAAAAACACAGCTTGGCTTTTAAATTATGCTTGTTTGTATAGATTTTAATGACACATTTGAAGATTTACCCACAGGTAGGGCTGAAAGAGACGGTAAAGATTTGATAGCAAACAGGGCACTGATATAGACAAAGGCATGCCTTAGGAAAACTCCATGCTCCATCTACAGATCACTCAGATCCACCACAATTTATGTGACTGTCATGTTTGCTGCTGTTGTTACACCAGTGTTTGCTGAAGTAAACACATACAATGCGAACAGAAGCTGCAGAAAACACATTAGCTCAGTTGGTTAGTATGGTGCTGATAATGCCAAGGTCGCAGGTTCAATCCCCACATGGGCCAGCTGCATATTCCTGCATTGCATGGGGTTGCACTAGATTCGCTTGGGGTCACTTCCAATTCTATGAAATGGATCAGAGATATGGCTCTTTAACAGAACCATGATGTAGTAAAAGAAAACCTTCAGCTGTTTCAGATTTCAACACACCACATGCAAACCCCTAGAGATGTGAAGGCCTTTAATCAGGCAGAGGCAAACTCCGACCACTGGTCCTCTTAGTTAGGGATGTTGGGAACTGTAATCCCAAATATCTGGAGGGCTGGAGTTTGCCTATGCCTGCGGGATGTGTGTGGCAGGAGAAAGAGGGCTTTCCCCGGGTCCTTTACATCACTGCATCCATCACACTAGGACCACCACAAAGTTAATACTGTACAGGGTTCTAGATTCAGGTAGGTAGCCATGTTGGTCTGATGCAGTTGAAATAAGTTAAAATATTGTCCAGTAGCACCTTAGAGACCAACTAAGTTTGTTCACAAAAGCTTATACCCAGAACAAACTTAGTTGGTCTCTAAGGTGCTACTGGACAATTTTTTTATTTATTAATAAAGGGGTGAAATGGATGCTGCCTCTAGAGGAAGTGATCAGTTGCACCTCTGACTCCAGATGCAAGACCATCTACTTTTAAAACAGAGGTACCCTCAATCTCCAAATCAACACGCTCTCCACTGGCAACAACCACCGCCCTCCGAGGGAGGAGGCTTCCTAGGAACCATCTGAGAATCCCTGCTGCGTAGTAAATCTGCAACCCAGTGGACGTTCAGCATATATGGTGAACACGAGATCTTTGCCGGATCAGGCCAAAGGCCCGTTCTCAGAATTGGCCAGCCAGACGCCTATGAGATGCCTACAAGGGTAAGGTTACCAGATTTTTTCAATGAATCCGGGGCATTGCTGTCAACTTTTCCCTTTTCTTGCGAGGAATCCTATTCGGAATAAGGGAATTTCCCTTTAAAAAAGGGAAACGTTGACAGCTATGATCCGGGGACACTTTTCAACTCCCATGGATTTTGTATGGGGACTGATTTGTAAATCCAGGGACTGATCCCGGGAAACGAGGACATATGGTAACTTTATACAAGGGGAAAGAAAGATTACCTCCTCATGCCACACATCCCAGCAAGCGGAGGGAGGGGGACCAACAGGTGCAGCTTCCACAGCGCTGTGTTATCTGCCTCCCGCGCCAGCAGCCCAAGAGCCCTGATCTTATTGTGTGCCAGGAAGCCTGTTGGATCTCGGACGGATCCGCCGTGTACTAGAACAGGAGACCAAGGAACGGCTACAACCGATCCACCTGCCCAGCTGCAAAAGTGCAGAACCCTCTTAAGTCAGCACGGCGCCGCCACGCAACCAATGGGAGCGCCCGACGTCCCGGCGCCCCGTGCTCTGATTGGGCGCTTCCTCCTCACTGGAAATAGACGGGGATCGAACGGGAGGAGGTGGAGGGGGCGGGGCGTGATGCGAGCACTTGCCTTCGGTTGGCGGACGGGCTCGGGGGGACGGCGTGCGATTGGTCGGGCTGGCTTTTCCGCTTCCGGGTCTTCAGCTTCTTCCGGGTCACACCAAGGCCGGCCTGTCTGAGGGCTTGTGCGGTTGCCGACCTTGCGGCCTGAAGCGGAGCAAGCGAGCGGGTCACGGTCCACCCGCTGGGCAGACATGGTGTCCTACTGGAGGCAGGCCGGGCTCAGGTAGGGTTGGCTGAGGCGAGCCGGGCCTCCTCTTTCCTCCTCTGGTGGCTCCGGGCGGCTGTGCGGTGTTTTCGACTCCATGTTTGCGTTGACTTTTGCGCGTCTCTTTCTCTCTCCTTCCAGCTACATCCGCTATTCCCAGATCTGCGCCCAGGCCGTGAGAGCAGCGCTGAAACCGCAGTTTAAAGCCGAGGCAGAGAAAACGGCGGGAGCGAACGTGAAAATAGTGAGAATAAAAAAGGAATGATGTGCAAGTAAGTAGAGATATTTGGTGTTTTGGGGTTTTTTGCAACGAAGCTGCGGCATCAGGTGGAGGCCTTTCTCAATCCTGATACCCTTTTAATTGGAAGTGTCTGGAGATGAGGCCTTTATGCATGCAAAGCATATTAAAGGTAAAGGGACCCCTGACTATTAGGTCCAGTCGTGACCGACTCTGGGGTTGCAGCGCTCATCTCACTTTATTGGCCGAGGGAGCCGGCATACAGCATGACATGTGGCCAGCATGACTAAGCCGCTGCTGGCGAACCAGAGCAGCGCACGGAAACGCCATTTACCTTTCCACCAGAGCGGTACCTATTTATCTACTTGCACTTTGACGTGCTTTCGAACTGCTAGGTGGGCAGAAGCAGGGACCGAAGAGCTACCACCGACCTTCTGATCGGCAAGTCCTAGGCTCTGTGGTTTAGACCACAGCGCCACCTGCGTCCCTGCAAAGCATATTACTCTACCATTAAGCTCTGGCCCTCTCTTAAAGGGGGCGTATCTTCTTGTAAAAGCACTTGGCTTTTGCAGCCTATGTTCTGAAGAGTGTCCCTTTTAACAAAAGAGGTAAGCTTCAAAATGCAAGCTTGGGAGTATTAGTCTCCCAGTGAAAAACAGACATGTGATGATGTAAGTTATGAATTACGTTGGTTTGTTTTGAGGTCTGTTCTATGTTTTATAAGGTGTTTTTTTTAATGTCCTGCCTTCTTATAAACTAGTAATTGTATTATATTTTTATTTTGTTTCAATTACTGATGGTTCTTTTCATACCCCTGAAGAAAGCTTTTACTGAAACACATTATGAAATTAAACACTTTATTTTGAGGCTTGCCTCTTTCTTTTTTCTTCATATTTGATGCTGCGTATTTTTCCTCTTCTTCCTTTAACAACTTCAAATATCCAGTCCTTTAAGCTCCTATGTGATTTATTCTCTACTAAGTAACTAAATATCACTGAAGGCATGGGACTGGAAGAGACTAAACAGTAGCCAAGGTTCTACAAGTAAGATTCATTGGTTCCCTTATTTGTGGGTGTGGGTTTTCTGGAAAATCCTGAATTTGATCATTTTCATTTGGCCTGGAGATTTTTCTTATGGCCCAGAGAGTGATCTAACTTAGCAAGCTGAGTTTACTTGCTTTAGTAAACAAAGCTATACAAAATCTCCATGCTGATGTTTTCTTCCAATATACCACAAGTATTTGACCTGAAATATTTGAGAGGGGAAATGGTGGTTTAAGTGTTATAGAATTGGAAGAGGCCCTGAGGATCATCTAGTCGAACCCCCTACAATGCAGTAATATACATATGGGGATCAAATCTGCGACCTTGGCATTATCAGCACCATGTTCTAACCAACCGAGCTATACATCTGTAGACATTTTTACTGTAATACTTGTAAATATGTGAAGACAATGCTAGAGATAATTACCCAGAAAGACTTTAATTGAAGCTTTGAACATGTCATGCTTGATTAATACTGTACTTGTAATTGGCATGCATTCATTGTTACTAATGACTTTATAAAAAGGAAAATTTATCCCAGAGAAAAAAAATTACTAGGGGAAAAAATCCACCCTTACCCTAATTCTGGCTTTTCTTTTGTTCAGTCACATTTATGACAGAATGTACTATTTGTTAATTGCTTTGTTTGTATAGCAGCAACTACTAAATTTATTTCCTGATAATTTAAGTACTCTTAATTTGTTCCCTTTACACTAACTTAACAACTTGTGACTACAGCTACAGAATTAGAACCTTCATATAATGGACCTTATAACATTTGAAACCTCATTGCTGGCTATTTAACAAGAAGCCATTTTTTTGTAGTGCCATGTATTACCAATGTGCTGATCAGAAGGTTGGCAGTTGGAATCCGCGTGATAGGGTGAGCTCCTCGTTGCTCTCTCCCAGCTCCTGCCAACCTAGCAGTTTGAAAGCACACCAGTGCAAGTAGATAAATAGGTACCGCTCCAGCAGGAAGGTAAACTGTTTTTGTACACTCTCACTTCCATCATAGTGTTCCATTGTGCCAGAAGCGGTTTAGTCATGCTGGCCACATGACCCGGAAAGCTGTCTGTGGACAAACACTGGCTGCCTCGGCCTGAAAAGCGAGATGAGCACCACACCCCATAGTCAAGTTTGACTGGGCTTAACTGTTCAGGTGTCCTTTACCTTTTACACGTGGTTGAAACAATGCCAGATAAGTCCTTTCATAACTGTGAAACAGGAGTGAGAACTGTTTTGCCAGTTTTAGGCTATTTAGTTTTGCATAGCAGTTCACATATCACTGTAAATACATACCAGAATAGGTGTTAGACCTCAGAAGTTTGAGGAATAATATTAGTTTGGGGGCTCTCAGTTTTAATTGAAAATATATATTGTAATATGACACTTAACTGCTTGTCTTAATTGTCTTACAGGACTTGATTTATAACAGGCAAAATGAAGACTCATGAGTGTGCTTGTACGCAACATAACTGCTTCCTGCTCTGTGAAGGCTCGCGGTATATGTGTAAAATCACTATGCCAATAAACAGAATGTGTTGAACATGTTCATTAATTATTTTGTTGAGCAAGAACAACCAAACACTTTGCGAACTTGTACAGCATTTTTACCTACAGTTGGGTTTTATTAGGTTATAGTGAATTCTCAATGAATTTGGTCTTTAACAACCTAAAGTAACAAAATACAAATCAGTGTCAAAAGCAAAATAAACTAATAATAAAGTGGTTTTTTTCTGGAAAGAATGATTGCCTAAACTTTGAAAATAAATCTGTGAGCCTCCAGGTATGCAGTGCCTTGTGACATTGCCCAGAATTTTATCTTGTGCTGACATAATTAAGGCTGCAGTTCTAACACAGCTGGAAATAAATTCCATTGAACTCATTGGGACTTCTGAGTATGCATGTGTAGAATTTCACTGTAAATGCTCTTTTAAACTGGCTGATTGCTAAATGAACTGCTGATCAAATGTGAATAAAAAGGCATTTGGAACAAGGCAATGCACAAGCTACAGAAGTTACCTCTTTACTAGAGCATCAAGTAGCTTTTCTTTGCTGAAAAACAAGCAGAAGCCTTGAGCACCATCAGCTTCATCCTCAAGTTCCTTCACTGATCATTGTCACTAAGGAACCCCAAATTCAAACCCTGCTCAACACTGAAGTTCACTGCATGGTCTGTTCATAATCTCTGACTAACCTACCTCATAGGCTAGTTGTGAGGACACAATAGTGGAAGGGAAATAGCATGTTTGCCACCCTGAACTCCTTGGAGGTAAAGTGGAATAAAATTTCTCTTTCAACTGACACAAACTTTCCTAGCTAACCAAGTGAACGACTGTTTAAGGCCTGCTCAGTAAACTTAAACACAAGGAATTGATAATTGCATTTTTAGGTTACAAACACAAAAAGTGAAAGGAGTTATTCCCCTTTGCATAGAACGTTGAAATTGGATAAAAATGCAAGTTTCAGCTCACTTTTTACTTGGTATTGCATAGTACTTGCAGTGAACAAATAGATATATAGTAAAATTATATGGTGTGTAAAATGACAGCTGAGTTAAATATTCTCTTTCACACTGGAGAAAATGCTCGCAGCTCTACATCTCCCCACCCCCCATTAGTAAAACCAGTTAAATAAAGAAATTAGACATTTTGCATAAGCATTCAATAGAAATTTGCACAAAAAGCTCAAAACAATCCTCTGTAAATACTCTACAGCCCCAAAGCAATGAGACTGTGAAATAAAGATCCTTCATAATGTGGAGTGACTGAAAGTCTAGCTGGTACCCTCTGAATGTCTCCTGGGAAAGAATAGAATGGGTGGTAGCAAAGCTTTATTCAGTGCTGCTGTTTATGCCATAGGGACTTTCTAAATAAATGTAGGTTCGTTACTAGGAATGATTTCAGAAGAGTTACTGGTAACTGTTTAGTCTTTGCAAAAAGCAAAGCAAGTTCAGTGGCATCTTTAAGGCTAACAGAAAAATTGCAGGAGAATCTTTTACTACAGGGAACTATTGTCTTTCCATGTGTGTTAATACTGCAATTCATTCTAAGGTGCAGTTGGCTTGTTCACATGCTACAGTGAACTCAGGTATAGGCTGACTCTACACATGTACATGTGTTTGTGAGAGACTGCACTTTGTGGTTTGTAACAGCTCAGCCATTGTGAACACAGACCACTCACTGAGTGTGAATATTTGTATGAGTATGCGGCGCCAACTATTTTTGTCTGTGGATTGTTGACTTATTGAATGTGATACACGAACAGCCCTGTTGACTTCCGTATGCGCATGTGTGTTCTCGGTGGAAATGGGATAGCCTATTGCTCCTTGCATTTTCTGGCTTTTCTTCGATACACAAGTTTATATACACTTGCTGCCTGCAGCCATGTCACTCTTACTCAGAGGTAAGTCCCCATGTGTGTTCAGTAGAGCTTACTCCTAACGTAAAAATGCATAGGACTGCAGCCTTCATCAGATTCATAAAATGGTATCTGGAGTGCGCTATAAACGTGTTTCAAATCTTACAGGTATAATAGGATTCTTAGCTAGCAAGGGTACATTTAAGAATAAGCAAAGATATAGCTATTTAAAACCTATTACAATAATAGATGTTCTGTTAATATTTAAGTATAATTAAAATGCATGCAGGCTAACTACTTCTTAAACCACTTATGCACCTAATTCAAATGGATATCTGTTTGCCATTTACAGGGTAAGCCAATCTTGATCCCATGGAAGTAATTCATTCTTTGATTTCAGTGGCAGAATGAAGCCATATTAATCCTACATTAATATTAGTGGTTGGAGTTAGGGTAGACAGACGTGTTTCTTTACACAGTACAGAGCACATTAAATTAACTGATCACAACATGGCAATAGCCAATAGCTTGGGTGGAGAAATTAATAGGAGCTGAGTCTATTGATCAGGCATAGGCAAACTGCCCTCTAGATGTTTTGGGACTACAACTCCCATCATCCCTGACCACTCCTGACCACTAGTCCTGTTAGCTAGGGATGATGGGAGTTGTCCCAAAAAATCTAGAGGGCTGGGTTTGCCTATGCCTGCTATTGATGATTGTAAACAGCCTTTGAGGCTCTTTTTTTTTAGAGTCAAAAGGCAGTAAAGAAATGTTTTATACATAAATATAAATAAGTTTAGTTGGTTAACAAACAAAGAATGCTGGACTACTTGATGTACCTTTCTAGTTTCATCAGAAATCTCATCCCTTTACATACTTCCTCATATTATAGATTGGAGGCCTGACTCTCAGTGAAATTTAAAAACAGCTGTCCAATTAACATAGCTGTAATACCACCTAAAGTGCAAGTCAGCTAAGGAGCTGCTATTTTTGTTCCTTGGAATCAAATACCATTCTGCATTGTGCTGCTGTGGGGCTCAGGACACATCCCTTTGGCTGCCCATTACAAGGTGTGTAAGAATGCTGTTGTACTGAAGTTCACTGGTGTAGAAATATGCCCAGTAAGAACATACGCTGGTCAGAATAATGAAGTATGATAGAAACAGCCATGTAAATTTGAATACCGGTACCTTCCTTGGTAATTAACAAACTCATCTGACAAATGTGCATAAGAGGATGCTCACACAAGAAAGGCAAAAAATACAATCACCCTGATCCTGCAAGATGTATGTGCCGAACATCATCAGGGTACTCATCCAGGCTCCATTAAACTAGCTTGATGTGTCTATGATGCAGACAGAGGTGTGCAACTTCCTCCAGGACCATGAATGGTTGCATCTGACCAGAGGGGAATTGAAACCTTTTGTCTGTCCTTAACTACTTTGCTGCTGTTGGTCACCGTGCCATCCTTTGTAATCTTCCATCAACTGAAGCCCTGGGATATGTCCTTTGAAGAAGCATGCTGGTATAATTTTCCCCACTAGTCTAAAATGTCTTATTTGCATTAGATGCACTAATTCAGAAGAAATACTTAATTTAAACAGATTTCAGCAGGGCTTTTTTTTTCAGCTGGAACTCACCGGAACTCAGTTCCGGCACCTCTCAGGTGGGTGCCATTACCATTATAAGAGAACAAGGTGAGCTCCAGCACCATATTTTCTAGAATATAGCAGTGGCTTTCAGTAGGGGGGTTTTATGAGAGAGAAAGAGAGATTGCAGCCAACAATGTGGCTGTGTATGCTTTGGTTAAATGCACAAAAATGGCTGCTCCTGCATTCAGTAGACTAAAAAGTTATTTTAGAAACATAGGTAAGTCCAGCCACCTCATTGACGGTAATAATCAGCATTCCTTTCAATCATCACTCTTATTTTTAAGAAGCTTCCTTTTCTTCTTCTTCTTCTTCCTGGCTTGCCTCTGCCTCTGCTTCCACCTCCACATATTCTTCTACATCGGCTGTGGCATCTTGATATTGCTGATACTCCGACACCAAGTCATTAGTGTTGCTTTCAGCTTCAGAAAACTCCATCTCATCCATGCCTTCCCCGGTATACCAGTGCAGAAATGCTTTCCTCCTGAACATGGCTGAGAACTGCTCGGACAGCCTCTTGAAGATCTCTTGTATGGCTGTGTTGTTCCCTATGAAGGTGGCCGCCATCTTGAGGCCACGGGGCGGAATGTCGCACACGGCCACCTTGACATTGTTGGGGATCCACTCCACAAACTGGCTACTGTGCTTCGTCTGCACGGCCAGCAGCTGCTCATCCACCTCCCTGGTAGACATCTGGCCTCGGAAGATGCAGGCCACCGTCAAGTAGCGGCCGTGACGCGGGTCACAGGCTGCCATCATGTTCCTTGCATCAAACATTTGTTGGGTGAGCTCTGGGACGGAGAGGGCTCTGTACTGCTGGCTGCCCCGGGCCGTAAGTGGTGCAAAGCCTGGCATGAAGAAATGCAGCCGAGGGAAAGGCACCATGTTGACGGCCAGCTTCCTCAAGTCTGCATTGAGCTGGCCAGGGAAGCGGAGGGAGGTGGTGACGCCACTCATGGTGAGGGACACCAGGTGGTTGAGGTCCCCATAGGCCGGCGAGGGAAGCTTCAGCGTCCTAAAGCATATGTCGTAGAGGGCTTCATTATCGATGCAGAAGGTTTCGTCCGTGTTCTCTATCAGCTGGTGGATGGATAATATAGCGTTGTATGGCTCAACGACAGTGTCCGAAACCTTGGGGGATGGTACTACGCTGAAGGTGTTCATGATCCTGTCAGGGTATTCTTCTTTGATCTTGTTGATCAGAAGGGTGCCCATTCCAGACCCAGTCCCGCCACCAAGGGAATGGGTCAGCTGAAAGCCCTGCAGGCAGTCACAGCCCTCACACTCGTTCCTCACGACGTCCATCACGCTTTCAATCAATTCGGCCCCTTCAGTGTAATGGCCTTTTGCCCAGTTGTTCCCGGCGCCAGAATTTCCTAGAAACAACGGAAAGGGCTGAAAATGCTGCTGAAACACCGAGCACATTTTTAGTTTAAAAGTGGACATGACTAGATCTAAATATAAAGCGAAGGGATAATAGTCTTCAATGGAGCTAAGAGTGGAGGCTGTGGTATTATGTTATTGTTCTGCATAACTTCGCAGATACTCCACTACAAACTTAATCGTGCCAGAATTTTGTTCTGTTTTGTTGTTGTAGTGGGTTATGAAGGCACCCACAAGATGTTAAAGCAAAGATTATGGGATAATGCACACAGCGACTTGCGATCTCGATCACACGCAGTCTGTAGTCCGCTGGCAGTAGGAGTACAATATGGGCATGTCTTTAAGTTAACATCTTACATTAAAAACCTGACAGTACCAAACTATCGAAGGCTTTTCACCAAAGCCAGACTAAATGTCTTTCCTTCAGCAGTGTTGGATGGCAGGTTGAGAGGAGTTCCCTACCAGGACAGACTTTGCTCACGTGCTCAAGACATCGATTCCATAAAACATATTTTGTTGCACTGTGCAAAATATGAGCAAGCCAGGGCTGAACTGATATTACCCTTGCTGGTACCTTTCCCGGGAAAATCAGAGGCTCACTATGTCAGGTTGCTATTGGAAGACCGGACAAATGCTAGAACATTAGCAGTGGCAAAGTTTTTATCGGTGGTTGCAAGAACCAATGATTCCTATATTCTGGACAAAATGCTTGTTTAACCTGGAGGTAGGCTGTATGAATTGTGTATTGCTTTGTAACGATTTGTTGGTGTCTGGACCATAATAAAGATTGATTGATTGATTGTTTTGTTTTGTTTTGTTTGGAAAAGGAGGATCCTCAAACATGTTTGGCTTGTTATACTCTTGTTTCAAACCTTCTGTTTTTGCATTCACTGTCTCTTTTCTTGTGGCAACCATTTTATAATATGCCGTTTTCACATTGCAGCCATTTTGTTGAGACTGGTGCCCGCCCTGTTATCTTAAAATTCTCAATGTGGCCAACAGGCCCCAAGAGGCTGGCGTCCCTCTGCCCTAAATGTGCTGAGAACAGCTTGTGTTTGCAACATGCAGAAAGGCTGACATGTACTGGGCTGCATAATCTCTCTCTTTTTATATAGAGAAAACATGCATAGGATTGGGCTGCTAGATTATATATTTGAGGGGGGGGAATATTCTAGTTTAGAAATCTTCAGGAAATTCAGATCTAGGCTTGCCTTCATGTTATCAAGGGTTTCAAAACTTATGCTAAACATTGACGAAATGTGCAACCGCAAACCCCAAATTGTCTTTCTAGAAGAAGCTTTAGAATGAGTGTGCAAAGTGGTTATTGCTAACTATTTGGAAGCTGAAGCAATCCTTGATTCTTATGTGAACAAGATGTGGTCAATGAAGACATCCCACTTCTCCAGAACCCTTCTGCAATTTAAACATTTTGTTTTTTAAAAAATCCCAAATCTTTTAGGATTTTCCCCTGTAATCATGAGACCTATAAATATTTTATTATAAATACAAGTGGCTTCTTAAGTGTTCTGAAGCAATGAATAGAGAGGCTAGCTCCTCAGAGGCCCCATTTGATAGACAACAACTTTATTTCTTATGAGACCATCATCTATTAAATTATATCCATATTATTAATGCGGCACACATACCATGAATAAAGTTATCTGGTCGAAAGAGTGGGCCTATTTTGCTGGACCTCACGCTGTCCATTGTTCCAGGCTCCAAGTCCACCAAGATAGCACGAGGAACATACTTGTGGGCTACAGCAAAAAAGGGGGGAAGTTCAGGGTCATGACTGAGGCAAGTATCTTCTGCATGTATTTCCTTCACAAATCATTTCTTTGGTGTACATATTTCATTTAGAACACTAGAGCACAGAAGTGAAAAACCTGTGTCCTTGAATATATTGCCAGAGTACAACCCTCATCATCCCTACCATGAGGCAGCTCAGGTGGCAGATGCTGAGATACAGGCAAGGAACAGAACTGTGAGTGCCTCATGGCGTGCCCTGTACCCCCTACACTGGGCTGCTGCCCTCAAGTGCACTAGAAGACACTGTCCTTTCACCAGTATTGGACTTCAGAAGGAAATCTTGCTGTGTTCAATGGTGTTTACTCCTGAGTAAATGTGTCCAGGTTACAACCCCAGATGAATAGAAATGTCATGTAGAGTGCAATCCTGTAAGTATCTACTCAGAAGTATCTACCTAGGAAAATGATGATAGGATTGCAGCACTAACCTCTTTTGCATCTTATAACCAGCCTCATATAACCAACATGCTTAAGGCTATTTAATGCATGAAGGAGTTAATGCCATAGAGTAAACTGTCCTGCTAGGCTTAGCTAGGTCACTCCCCCTCACTTTGGGAGGAAGGTAAATAAGGCAGTTGTTGTATCTCACTCTACCAGAGAAGGTAAATTGTGAGGAGGTCTGAGCTGGGTGCTGCAGCTCAGACCGCATGGCTCTTCAAAGCCACTCTTGAGTTCCTAGTCCAATCATTTAGGAACTTTCACCAGCCTAACTAAGTCAAGTTTCACCGCCTGAACAACTTTTTCTGAATGCTGTATGGAAAAGCACATTTGGAGAGTTGGTCTTTTTCTGTGGTCTTTTTCTGTGGTCTTTTACTATGCTGGGGGAGAGGGGAACTTTGGAAGGAACCTAGAAGGGCATATTTTAAAGGTCTAACAGCCTATATTTCAACGTTTTACTTTTCTAAATCTTTTGTGGTTTTCAATCTTTGCTGGGGTTCTCTCACCAAAGTGTACTTGCCCCAGCTTGGATCTTGGCATCCAGGAATGCTCCTTTGATACCTATTTTATTTTTCCTTGAACAAACCATTTCTCATATGCATGTTTAGAATAGAATCATAGAGTTGGAAGAGACCACAAGGGCCATCGAGTCCAACCCCCTGCCAAGCAGGAAACACCATCAGAGCACTCCTGACATATGGTTGTCAAGCCTCTGCTTAAAGACCTCCAAAGAAGGAGACTCCACCACACTCCTTGGCAGCAAATTCCACTGTCGAACAGCTCTTACTGTCAGGAAGTTCTTCCTAATGTTTAGGTGGAATCTTCTTTCTTGTAGTTTGGATCCATTGCTCCGTGTCCGCTTCTCTGGAGCAGCAGAAAACAACCTTTCTCCCTCCTCTATGTGACATCCTTTTATATATTTGAACATGGCTATCATATCACTCCTTAACCTCCTCTTCTCCAGGCTAAACATGCCCAGCTCCCTTAGCCGTTCCTCATAAGGCATCGTTTCCAGGCCTTTGACCATTTTGGTTGCCCTCCTCTGGACACGTTCCAGTTTGTCAGTGTCCTTCTTGAACTGTGGTGCCCAGAACTGGACACAGTACTCCAGGTGAGGTCTGACCAGAGCAGAATACAGTGGCACTATTACTTCCCTTGATCTAGATGCTATACTCCTATTGATGCAGCCCAGAATTGCATTGGCTTTTTTAGCTGCTGTGTCACACTGTTGGCTCATGTCAAGTTTGTGGTCAACCAAGACTCCTAGATCCTTTTCACATGTACTGCTCTCAAGCCAGGTGTCACCCATCTTGTATTTGTGCCTCTCTTTTTTTTTTTTTTTTTTTTGCCCAAGTGCAGTATTTTTTTTGCCCAAGTGTAGTATCTGATAGTGAATACTGCAGCCTAGCCAACAGTCTTTATAAATGGTTAAGAGACAGTGGCAGTGAGAGATGACAAGGCTTTTTCTATTTTCATCCGCTGCTTTTGCTCTTGTAATCTAATTTCCCCACCCAGTTATCAACAACATATGTACTTACAATATGCTTCATTGAAATAAACATTAATTCTTTCCTGCTGCAGTGGTGAGTCTCCGCGGTAGTTTCCCGTGGTATCAATTCCATGCTCATCGCTTATGACTTCCCAGAACTGAAAGAGGAAGGTAAAAAACAGAGAATAGTAATCACATGCCAATAACAATACTTATGGGACTCTATCATAGCTGTCAACGTTTCCCCTTTTTAAAGGAAAATTCCCTTATTCCGAATAGGATTCCTCGCAAGAAAAGGGAAAAGTTGACAGCTATGGACTCTATCATATTTCCGCAATACTGGTGCCACCTTCGAAAAAGCCTGCCTCTGTGTTACCACAAGAGGATAATAAGCTTGGGAAGGTAAACAGCATTTCCATGCCCTCTGGTATCCCATTGTGCCACATGTGGTTTAATCATGCTGGCCACATGACCCGGAACAGGGGTGCCAACTTTAATAAAATATTGTGGGGGCCGAGGTAAGCCCCGCCCCGCATAATTGATCGCATGATGCAATGCACACACACCATCTGAATGGGAATGCCCATCAACTTTGTGCAGGCCCAGCCCACTCAAATATTTTACTGTGGGGGCTGATGCCCCCATGGCCCCTAGGAGTTGGCTCCTATGACCCGGAAAGCTGTTTGCAAACAAACTTTGGCTCCCTCGGCCTGAAAGCGGACATGAGTGCCACACCCCATAGTAGAATTTGACTAGACTTAACCATCCAGAGGTCCTTTACCTTATCTATTAAGTCCATAAAGTTCTGCACGTAATATGTAACTATTCACCATGCATTCTTTTGAACACCTATAGCATGTCTCCTTTTACTCGCTTTTTCTGAAGTCTAAAATCTCCCTGATGCTCTAGCCCCTTGATCGTCTTGGTAGCCCTTTCCTGAAACTTTTCCTGGCCCAGCACACACATGACATTCTTTCTAGACAGGTGTAAACTCTGGTGTAGCCTGCATGTGCCACAATTGGCAAAAAAAATCCCACCTAATCAAATAAGATGGTCCCATCACCTCCTGGCAAATAGAAGGGGAAGAAATGGAGGAAGTGAGAGATTTTACTTTCTTGGGCTCCATGATCACTGCAGATGGTGACAACAGCCATGAAATTAAAAGACGCCTGCTTCTTGGGAGAAAAGCAATGACAAACCTAGACAGCATCTTAAAAAGCAAAGACATCACCTTGCCAACAAAGGTCCGTATAATTAAAGCTATGGTTTTCCCAGTAGTGATGTATGGAAGTGAGAGCTGGACCAAAAAGAAGGCTGATCGCCGAAGAATGGATGCTTTTGAATTATGGTGCTGGAGGAGACTCTTGAGAGTCCTATGGACTGCAAGAAGATCAAACCTATCCATCCTTAAGGAAATCAGCCCTGAGTGCTCACTGGAAGGACAGATCGTGAAGCTGAGACTCCAGTACTTTGGCCACCTCATGAGAAGAGAAGACTCCCTTGAGAAGACCCTGGTGTTGGGAAAGATGGAGGGCACAAGGAGAAGGGGAAGACAGAGGACGAGATGGTTGGATAGTGTTCTCGAAGCTACCAGCATGAGTTTGACTAAACTGCGGGAGGCAGTGGAAGACATAAGTGCCTGGCGTGTTCTGGTCCATGGGGTCATGAAGAGTCGGACACAACTAAATGACTAAACAACAACAACAACATGGGAAAGGTCTTCCCAGGTGATGGTAGTGTCCCACATTTTCTTCCTACACCAGGATATATCCTTGTAGGGAGGGCATGACACGTGAGCCAATCCTGCAACCCAGAATCCTTATGTGGCAGCAACCAGGCAGACTTTTAACTGGAAGCAACACACAAAACCAGAATAACAGGAGACATCTATCTAGCTTCCCCACTCCCCACATCCAGCCCGGCTGTCTCTTTATCTGGAACAGCAGGCGTCATGCATGCGGGCACACCCTCCTCCTGTGTAGCCACCGGCCTTTTAAATGCCTCTTGTATTTTGTTCACAATCCATTTGTGTTTAGAATGCTTCCATTTACATGCATGTAAATAGCCTCGCTGGGACAGAGCAAAACCTCCCAGCATGTCGTGGTAGACTAGCCCCGTTGTTTGTCCCCTGCACAAACATGGTATACACTCCCTCTGACCGTTTGGAGGTTGCATTTAGCTGTCATGGCTACTAACTACTGAATGAAAGACCCTTCATGTAAATCCTCTGTTTGCTACTCCATTGAGAATTCTTAAGACTGCAGCCTCTGTGTGCAATCCTACGCTGCCATTTCCCACCAGCTGTAGTTACAACAAGGTTCCTCAGGGTATATAATATTTGAAACAAAAGTGCCGCCAGACCTTTGGCTGCTCATCTTACTGACATCTTACATATTTATTTATGTAATTTACATAACAAGGTTTTCTGGACCGCTTCCTGGAAACATTAACAACACAAAGTATTTCTCCAACTCACCTTCCCCACAATGCCCTTCTGCCAAGTAAAATTGTTTGTGGACAACAGAAATATACGTAAACTTTAAAACATCAGGTTCTTTCACAAAGGCTGTTATCCTAAATATATGTACAAGGAAAGGAATGAACACCACTGAATCTTTGTGGATCTTTAGCGTATTAAATTGTGCTGTAAAACCTATGTTTCCTGTTTGAACTCATTGATATGCCTCTAGATGAAATGGCTGGCTATCTGGTGGCTATTTGCAGTATGAGGAGGTGACAGATATATCTTACGTACTTCAGGCTTGATTTTATTTTAACCAAGTTTGCCCAAGGAGAGCATTTCAGTAGCATCCCGATTCAGCTTTGTCGAAATTCACTTTAGATCCAGCTATTAAAGGCAGCACTGCCTTGTCTCTTAGAAATGTTATTAAAAACCAGTTTCCTACCTTCGATCCAATTTGGTTTCCACACTGGCCAATCTGAACGTGCACAATTTCACGCATTTTGAACAGGATTTGGTGGGAAGAGTAGATTCCAGCTTTCCCAGATGTGCTCTGTGGAATAAGTGATCGCTCTCGTACTGTCAGCTGTAGCTGCTCTTATCATTGGCAAAATGCGGCTTGTATAGGCGAATGCCACACAAAAAAACCCAACCACCCCACAGCTCCGCAAGGGAGTTCCTGGAACTCCCACCCTGCAGACTCACAAGAGTTCTGATAGGACATTGACAAGCAACTCCCTTAAAGCCTTCTCTTTAAGTGACAGGTCTGGAACATTTTTCACCCCAAGGGTTGCATTTCATAGAATCACAGAATCGTAGGCTTGGAAGGGACCCTGAGGAACATCTAGTCCAACCCCCTGCAATGCAGGAATATGCAGCTGTCCTAAACAGGGATCAAATCTGGCTCTGGAATATAGATAATGAACCACAGTTTACCTGTTATGTACTGAGTTGAATAGGATCCAAAAGGCAGCAGTCTGATTAGTCCTAGAACAATAGGATTCAGAATGCAGCCGTCTGATTGGTCCTAGAACAATAGGATCCAGAATGCAGCAGTCTGATTGGTCCTAGAACAATAGGATTCAGAATGCAGCAGTCTTATTGGTCTTAGAACAATAGGATCCAGAATGCAGCAGTCTTATTGGTCTTAGAACAATAGGATCCAGAATGCAGCAGTCTGATTGGTCCACAGGAGCCACCTAATCCAGCTCCAGATGGAAGTGAATCCGCAACCTGATTGGCCTACAGGAGAATCCTGGAATTAGCCAATCACGTGGGACCCATTGTATAAATAATGTATATAAGGCAGACATTCTGGGGGAACTTCCATTCCTCCTCACCACTATGAGCTGAATAAAGAGCATGAAATCCACTCTCGACTCCAAGTATATTTCATTATCAATTCTTTTGAGTTTGTTTTGTTGGCTTTTGTTGCTATTGTTATGTTTTTAATGCTTGAGTTGCATTATGGGGCAACACATACACAACCACCCTCCAAAACACAAACCAGGGTAGGAGCGGCCCAAAGGGATAGACTATATCAGAAGATGGGAAACAAAGGATGGTTGGCTGAAACATGAATGAAGATTATCTGGTCCACCTTCCTGCAGTGAAACACGGGCGTCTTACAGAGTAATCTACATTGTAGTGTTTCACAAACAGACATGCTGGGGTGAGGGTGGAGGGAAGCCACAGGTATCAGAACAAGTGATTGACGGTCTTGTTGAATCAAGTACTCATGCAAAGGCAGGCTGGTTGCCCCGTGCTGCAGTTAGGTCAGCAGCAAGTGGTGTTGATGCCCATTTTGGACCGGTAGAATGGAAGGCCAACAGTAGGTGGTGCCAGAGTCAACGATAGGTGGAGGCAGATAATTCTAGTTTTGTCTCCATCTTTCTCCAGGATCTGTGCTGCAGTGGACACCACAACAATGCTGTAGAATGGAGTGCAAGAGGCAGGGGGTGTTTAATTTTAGCGTTGCACAGGGCACTGCTGAAATTTGAGGGCCCAAAGTCCTCCACTGGTGCCACCCCCTGCCCTTTGAGTGGTTATAAGTAAGAAGACAAGCAGATGGGGTTGGGGAGAGGAACACTCTCCAGCTGTGAACACTAAGGTTGCGCACACACTATACCTTTAATGCACATTTGAAGCATGTTCTGTCCCTCAAAGAATTATGGGCGCTGTAGTTAACCCATCACAGAGTTACGATTCCCAGCAACCCTTAGCAAACTGCAGTCCCCAGAATTGTTTGAGGGATAGAATGTGCTTGGAAGGTAAGGTGTGTCCTCAGAGAGAGGGTCTTTGTTGGACCATGGGAGGGAGCGGTAAATGTGCTTCTGAACCTAAGTCATATGAGCAGTTCTGCTATCAGGTGCTTCCTTTTTTAAAACCTTTCTACAAGTTTCACCTTACAGCCTTTGTCTTCCCACACCATTTGAATGTGGTCCTGAAAACAAACTTTCATCAATACCTTGGATGTTGCATCACAGACGCTGTGGAAGCCACAGCAAAATATGTCTCCTTCTGATAGAGGCAAGCGTCTCTGTATCTTTGAGTGCACCAAAGTCTCCAGCAGCCTTTCTCTGTCGGAAGGGTGGAAGGAGACGCCTCTGCACACCAGCTCCACAGCACTGTGTGACAACACAACGGCGAAATTTTTGTTCTTGCCATGGCTTGGTTAGGTGAAGGAGAAGTTAAGCACATTTTTGATGGATATCCCAAATTGGGGCCAAATTCTGATACAAATAGGGAAATGTGTCAATGGCTCAGGCTATAGTTGGGATGGGGCAGGGCAGATAGGTAAAAGCATGGCACTCAGATTAAGCATGAGCTATGCAAAATAAGTGCAGGATTAGCTCCAAGATGCTGAGTGTTGTAAAGGTAAAGGTAAAGGGACCCCTGACCATTAGGTCCAGTCGTGACTGACTCTGGGGTTGTGGCACTCATCTCGCTTTATTGGCCGAAGGAGCCGGCGTACAGCTTCCGGGTCATGTGGCCAGCATGACTAAGCCGCTTCTGGCGAACCAGAGCAGCTCACGGAAACGCCGTTTACCTTCCCGCCTGAGCGGGTAGACCTATTTATCTACTTGCACTTTGACGTGCTTTCGAACTGCTAGGTTGGCAGGAGCAGGGACCGAGCAACGGGAGCTCACCCCGACGCGGGGATTCGAACCGCCAACCTTCTGATCAGCAAGTCCTAGGCTCTGTGGTTCAACCCACAGCACCACTCATGTCCCATTGCTGAGTGTTGTACACCACCCCAATATCCAAGCGGTATGGGACCAGGGGTTCCAGGCTTTAATTAAAACCCAGGGTTTGGTTTCATTGGAATGAAGGTCAGCGAAAGCTGTGATCCCTTTAGAATAGATGGCTTTATTGATACATATATACAACATGAGCACGAGGTCAAGGGGCTCGCAGCATTAACACACCAGAAGAACTTTCTTCCCCATTAGTTGCAGCTTTGGATCAAGCCTGTCTCTGTGTCCCCGGTTTCCAGCCTGCTTCCAGCTCAGCTCACACACAGAACATTGGCTATTGTTCTCCTCCCACCTAGCAGCTAGGTGGGCGGGGTGGAGGAAAGACTCACTCATTAGCCTGGAGGGCACCATCACTTACCTGTAGCACTTGCAAACTAGCTCATTGGTTTGGGATGCTGATGAGGGCACTTAAGGGGCCAGCTAAACCACCCCCTTGTCTTACAAAGAAACTTATCGGACTAGTATAGCAACCTCTTCCAAGTACAGGACCCCAGGAATGGGAAGGGCATCTTCCAGACTGACCCCTGCCAAAACCCACAATCTAAGAAGAAATACACACCCTTGCAGTCACTTCTCTGATAACAGTATGAACTGTCCATGAGCTATTGTTGGTGCAAGCACCGGCTGTGTTCCAGCATTTGAAAGTGCCCCTGCTCCATTTGGAATTCAGAATAATGGCTTGTGTTTGTAATGACTGGTACATCTGGACTGGTTCAACTGGAACATACAGGCTTGTCAGCAGTACAACATAATTCAGTTTGGGTGCTGTGTGGGATCACAAGAATTAAAGGTTTTAATTTTTTATGTTTTTATTTAGTACTCTCACACAAAACACATTCTTTACTCTCCCTTTTTTTTTTAATCCCTATCATTTCTTAGTGGCAACCCCCTTTTGAGTAACACAAATTTTCCATATGTGGACTTTGCCATGTGTTGCCAGCTGATAAGGAACAGGGACTTCACATCATCAAAAAACCACAGTGCGTTTAAGGATATGGCTGAAGAGGTGGTTTCGCTATATTCCCTTACACATATGTACAACTTGAGCGTAGGATGGAGCACCTCACAGCATTCACACCCCAACAGATATTGCCTCCCCTTTAGCTTTCCAGGGAAGCTCCAAGTCTCAGCTTAGGTTCAGCACAGAGCAATACATGCCTCTATGTCTCCAGATTCCAGCATATGCCAAAACTCTCTCTTTCACTATATATTGCCCTCCCGGGCCTTATGTTCTCCATCCCAGGATGACAGAGTGGCTTGGGAAACCCAGCAAGATGAGTGGGGTATAAATAATAAAATTGTTGTTGTTGTTTGGCCAGCAAAGGCGGATTTAAGGCAGAATGCCTGGTTCTGCCACACTGGGTGCCAAGCCTAGACGGAGTTGCAACTATGATGTCATGAATTCAGCAGATTAGAAGGCGAAGGGGGGACGGGTTGCTGAATTTCGACCTTGCACAGGGGAGTGCTGAAATTTGCAAGACCAAAGTCCACCCCTGCAACCAGGTGAGGGGGAAAGGGCCCAGCCATTTGTCTCTATGGCAACAGAATGACCTTTTTGCATAAGGTAACTAGCAAAGATATTAGCTTAGCAGAGGGACCAGTTTGAATGGTTCCCCAGCCTCTTCTAGATTCTAAGCAGGCCTGGAAGGGACCCAGACTATCATGCACTCCAAAACTCCTAGATATGTATGGATATTCCTGAAAGATTCACTCCTGGCTGAACTCTTCGTCCACAACAGGAGTGGGGAACCTTGGATCTCCAGGTGTCGCTGAACTACAACTTCCATCAGCCCTAGAAAGCATGGCCAAGGGCCAGGGATGAGGGATCTAGTTCAGCAACAGCTGGTGCGTCAAGGTTGCCCATACTTGGTTCACATAAATAAAGGTAAAGGTAAAGGGACCCCTGACCATTAGGTCCAGTCGTGGCTGACTCTGGGGTTGCGGCGCTCATCTGGCTTTATTGGCCGAGGGAGCCGGCGTGCAGCTTCTGGGTCATGTGGCCGGCATGACTGAGCCGCTTCTGGCGAACCAGAGCAGCGCACGGAAACGCCGTTTACTTTCCCACCGGAGTGGTACCTATTTATCTACTTGCACTTTGACGTGCTTTCGAACTGCTAGGTTGACAGGAGCAGGGGCCGAGCAATGGGAGCTCACCCCGTCACGGGGATTCGAACCGCTGACTTTCTGATCGGCAAGTCCTAGGCTCTGTGGTTTAACCCACAGCGCCACCTGCATCCCGTTCACATAAATATCCTGGTTCTAAATACAGAAGTGAATCAGATTGACAGTTGAGTTTTACATCAATACCATCAACAACCCAGTGTCCTTTATCTGCCGGCAAGAGTCTAGGGGAGCCCAGTCCACTTCTTATCCCATAATAAATGTGTTAAGTCTTTTAAGGTGCCACAAGCAGCAGACTAAGGGTTCCCCCATCTGGAAATGGCAACATCCGTGCTGTTACAGCAGGAGCAACCACGAACTCTTAGTGGGACAGTTATTAATTTTCCTTTATAAATAACTTCTTATTCAGCAGCGACATCGCAAAAAAGAGCACACCAAAAGAGAAGAGCAAAACAGGAAAAGGGAGAAAGAAGGAAGGAAGGAAGGAAGGGGGAAAGGAAGAAAACAATATGAAATAAAATGAAGTAATAGCCCCTGTTCCCGACACGTTGATTACAAAATTCAAGGTAAAGTAGTAAACATCCGGATCAAGTGCTGTGGTTATCGTGGGGTTGTTTTAGACCTTGAAGCCCTCCGGCCCTTTAAACAGTCACGTGCATTTCTTCACATGACTGCCGGCACAACCGCTTTGCATGCAGACTGTCCCAGGATCAGTCTACAGACAGGGGTGAGTAGGACTTCCTGTCTGAAATCCACTGCCAGTCAGTGTTGACAAGCCTGACTAGATATATGGCAGCTGCGTAACTGCTGATCCCTACTCCGATTTCCAAAAAACCCCCAAACGTGTGTCATGGGCGTAGCAGCATCCCGGACATTTGACCGGTCTTCCGCCCGGACACTGCTGCCGCCGCAATATTCCGTATACAATATGTCTGGAGAATTCTGGACGTATGACAACCTTGCCACTATCCTGTGTCTGGCTCTGTCTGGCAGACTCGGAATGAAATATCTCAACAACAGTTGTTTTAACTTACAGAATATGTCAAAATCTTCCTACAATTTCTGCAGTTTTAGTTAAGTGTGTTTGTCTGTTCACTTGATTGAGGAGGGGGGTCAGCTGGCTACGCCCATGGTGTGGGGCCCTCCTCCCTTGACCCACAGTCCTCTGGGCTTCCCCTCCAGCTAAAACCGGACCCAGAAAAGCTCCCAGCTCTGCCATTTCCAGACGTTACGTGCACGGGGAGATCAAGGCGGGAGGGGTCGCAGACCCTCCCTCGAAGTACGCGTAGTCAGGCGTCTAGCGCACAGAAAGGAACCAACCGCGGGCGCGCGCAGCCTGCATACGTGAGAACGACGGGGCCCTTTGCGCGTCCACGTCGGGCGTGCGCAAGCTCCGTCCAGTGCTCCGTCCCTCCCAGGGCTTTCTCGTCGAAAGTCCCGTTTCTCTGCCTTGGGCTCTAAGCTGGAGGGTGTGGCTTCCCGCGGGCGGAGGACAGGGCGACTCCTGCGCCCACCATGCCCCCTGCGGGGACTCTCCAGGGGGAAGCGGGGCAGCTGCTTCTCCCGGGCGGCTAGTCCCGCTCTCCGCCCTCCACGCTCCCTTTCTCCCTCCCACCCCGTCGGGGGAGTCGCCCGAAGGCTGCCCTCCCGCAGGGGCTGGCCTGCTGCCTCCGCCTCCTCCTCTGATTTGCGCAGCCTTGCCTCAAAAACTTCCCCTTTCGAAATTGCCGGCGCAGATTGAGACCCGGAGACCGCAGGGACAGCAGCGAGCTGCAGCAGCTGCCTCCTCTAGGCTCCTCTCTCCCCAGAAGGACCCAGGAGTCCGGCGACGATGATCCCGCCTGGGCGCCTCTTCCTCCTGGCCCTCGCCGCGGGCGTCCTCCTGGGCGCGGCGTCCGCAGCCGGCGTCTACTTCAAGGAGGGGCAGAGCTGCCACAAGCCGATGGCGAAGAGACCTCCGGGGATCAGGTAAGGCGCCAAGCGCCCAGTCGTCTTCCGAACCCAGATCTCCATCCTGCCGGCTTGGAGAGGCGCTGGCCAGATTTGGAGACGCTGTTGCGGCGCTTGAGGGCGCAACAGGACGCCAAACGCGCCTTGGAGCGCCCTTCTTTCGTCTGGCCTTAAATAAAGAATTGCGGGGTGGTGGTTTCCCAGCTGTCTCTGATCCTGCAGGCAGCATATCGCTGTCACGTGTAGAGCCAAGCAAATAGCCTCCATGAATTTGTCCTATTTCCTTTCCACGGAGGTCCTGCGGTCTCCTGGTTCTGCAGCCTGTCTGTGGCTTTAACAGACAGGAGATGTGGTTTAGGGCAGTACTTCCCAATTTGTCGTCCGCAGACCCCAGGCAGTCCACGTAACCCACTCAGGGGCATAGCTGTCAACTTTTCCCTTTTCTTGCGAGGAATCCTATTCGGAATAAGGGAATTTCCCTTTAAAAAAGGGAAACGTTGACAGCTATGCTCAGGGGCTCTGCGGCATCATTCACATAAGAAAAACTACAATAGCGATATCCAAATTTTCAAAAGTAGGGGGTCCATGTCTTGGGGAGCCAGTGTGGTGTAGTGGTTAAGAGCGGTAGACTCGTAATCTGATGAACCGGGTTCGCATCTCCGCTCCTCCACATGCAGCTGCTGGGTGACCTTGGGCCAGTCACACTTCTCTGAAGTCTCTCAGCCCCACTCACCTCACAGAGTGTTTGTTGTGGGGGAGGAAGGGAAAGGAGAAGGTTAGCCGCTTTGAGACTACTTCGGGTAGTTATAAAGCGGGATATCAAATCCAATCTCTTCTTCTTCTTCTTGGCTTTTGAAAATCAATGGATCTGCCATACTTAGCTAATTGGGAACCACTGGTGTAGGGGTTAAGTGTGTCCAACTAGTACTTGGGAGACCAGGGTTCAAGTCTCCACACAGCTATGAATCTTGCTGGGTGACCTTGGTCCAGGCACAGCCTCTAGCAGAGCTGCCTCACAGGGTTGTTGTGAGGATAAAACGGAGAGAGGGAGAGCCATGGGGCCACCTTGAGCTGTTTGGAGGAAAAGTGGGAAATAAATTAAAATTAAAATGCCTGGGCAGGCTACACAATAATGCACGTTTGGGGTGGGGGCTTGCTTTCAATTTGGTGGGTCTCTTCTTAGAGCCCTAACTTTGGGGAAGGACCATAGATTATCTGCTTTGCAGACAGAGGGTCCCGGGTTCCAATCCCCGGCATCTCAAGGTAGGGCTGGGGAACTGAGTCCTGCCTGAACCTCTGGAGAGCTGCTGCCAGTCTGTGCAGACAGGGCTAGATGGCCCGACAGCCTCCCATGTTCCAGCTGCAAAACCTGGGAGTTGTGTCTTAAATTCCCCCCTGCAGCTCACACGTCACTGCTCCAGGGTTTACTTCTTAATGCTGTTGCTCCCATAAGGAGATGGCAAGAGGCTGCATTAAGTGCTCCAGACTGGTTAGCGTGTCTCTTGAGGAAGTTTGCCGTATGACTGCCCAGCAAAAAGTTGGAGGGAATCATGACAAAGCAGTGAAGGATTTTCCTGACACCTCTTCTCAGATAAAGGGGAGGAAAACAGTCACTTGCTTTTTTCTGTCCTCTCCCCATTCTCCAACAGAACCTACCCTCGTCCCCATGAAAACATGGACATCTCAAAACTACCCAAGAGCTGGGATTGGAGAAACATAAATGGAGTCAACTATGTGAGCACCACACGCAACCAGCACATTCCACAGTACTGTGGGTCGTGTTGGGCTCATGGCAGCACCAGCGCCTTTGCAGGTATGGAGATGTGTGGGATGGTTGGCAGTGCATCTGGTGGGCATCCTTTATCCATTCCCACATCCAGTACAGAGAGGGTGCTTTCACGTGACCATCTATCATGGTGTTTGGAGCAATCAAGTATTGTGCAACATCCACGTGATGTTGCTGTCATCGGAAAGCCAGCCCATATTAAACCCCCATCCCACTTATTTAATCCAGGTTTAATGGTTAATTGCTAACCTAGTTAATGGTTTGCCATGCATTCCCCCTTCTGAGATGTTTGTCTCCTCCTCAATAGTGTGCGGAAAAAACAAACCATAATCACTGGCGCAATGCTGTGTCTCAACCAGGAACTGTGGTTTGTTCTGCTTCTGCAAACCACAATGAGGCAGTCAAAAATGCGCCCCCCCCCCATAGATCAGCCTTCCCCAGCTTTGTACCTTCCAAATATTTTCCACTGTTTTCGACTATGCCTCCAATCAGCATATCAGACGATGATGAGGGATGATGGGTGTTGTAGTCCAAAACTCATGCAGGACACCCAAGTTGGGGAAGGGAGATGAAGCAGAAAAAGCTGGGAAGGGGAATTGAATGGAATATTCTGGGGGGCAGCCATAGCTGACTGGCTGGAACTTTGATAAACATTCCAGGCTGCAACGTTTTGTCGCAGGGCTCAGTTGTTCTGTTGGAGCCGTCAACTTAAAATGTTCTCTGAACTATAGAATGCTGCAGGTCCCTATATATACAGGGTATATCTGGGCCCCCCAATGTGCACCTTCAGAGTAGGTCCCCCCCCCGTGCCAGTCCCCCTCCCCCCGCCGAAAGAGTATTCTGCGTTGCCCACAGCAAGCGGCAAAAATTTCCTTATGTGCCCGCAGGCCCAAAAAGCTTGTCTTACTCATGATGGCGTTATGTCTGGTAGTGGTTAAATACTGGAGATCTCTGGACACAAACCTCTTAGATCTTCAGTTTGTATATGTTTGGGGCTTAATATTAATGGAGAAATTGACTAGCGAGGTGCATGAAAGAAGATGACACAAGACATTTAAGGGTTTTTCCAACACCAGGTTTAATATTGTTACATGCGCTTCAAAAAAGAAAAAAGGGAACACGCTTACAAAACCACCAGAAACTCATGGGGAAGTGTGGAATGATGTTTATTTCTTTATTTTTTTTTAAAAATGTAACCAAGCGACCTTTGTTTCTTTTGTAATTTGTATCAACGGGTCATGTTTGAGTTTTGCTACAGTGGGAGTGGGAGGAACCAAACGTTGCTAATGTGTTTATTCTTTAAATTCGATAAAAGGTACGGTAGTTGATTTATTTTTTTTTGAAAAAAGCTGTCTTCCACCAATTGCTGGTTTGTCATCCCCCAGATCGCATCAACATAAAGAGGAAGGCTGCTTGGCCCTCTGCGTACCTGTCGGTCCAGCATGTTCTCGACTGCGCCGATGCTGGCAGCTGTCACGGGGGAGACCACAATGCAGTATGGAAGTATGCTAATGAGCACGGCATCCCAGATGAGACCTGCAACAACTACCAAGCTAAAGATCAAAGTGAGTTTATCTTGCCTGCTTCTCTAGCTCAGTAGTTCTCAAACTTTTATCTCTGGGCCACACTTTCAGAATAAAAATTTGTTTGCGCCACGTCGAATTTTAAAAATTGATACAGTGGAACCTTGGTTCCCGATATTTATCTGTTCCGGGAGTCTGTTCGACTAACAAAATGGTTTGGGAACCGCGGCGTGGCTTCCGATTGGCTGTAGGAGCTTCCTTCAGCCAATCAGAAGCTGCATAAGCAGAGCCGGACATTTGGCTTCCAAAGAACTTTCAAGAGGCAGAATGTTTGGCTCCCAAGGCGCTCGGGAGCCAAGGTTCCACTGTATGCTAGAAAACAAAACAAAAAACTCCTAGCAGTGCTTGATTTATAACTTTATAACATGGTTCTGGGATCATGGGACATCCAGAAAGTATAAAACAATACAGCTACATAAGAACATGAATCATTCCCAAAATATAATTACAGACGAGCCTCTTACATATGTACCTTAATGAAAGGTGTGCACTTGTTTTGCCAGGTCATCTCATTTATCTTAGGTCTGGCTTGAAGCAAGCAAACTTTCATATCCTTATCAACACAGATAAGTCATTCTCTTTCCTGATCTTTCATATTTGTCAGAATTGAATGTCCCTGTTCACAACAATATGTCGTGTAAAACTGTAGAAGACTAGTCAATTTTGAAAAGATATCTATCCATATTCTGCAAATTAAATATATATTCTGATACTTTACTATACTATACTATACTATACTGCACTGAAATGTTCAAAAATTTGAGTGTCCTTGAATCTTACTGCCACACCCTTTGAGAATCACTGGTCTGTCTAATCTATAATATTTATAACCTGCCTGTCAGCTGAGATTGCAAGATGAGGGTTATGATTAAAACCCACACTAAGGTACAAAATAACTGGGGATGTGTCCTTATGGAGGAAGGAAGCCTCTTCTGTCTCCTTGTGAATACTCAAGAGTAGACCCATTGAAATTAATAGATCTTAGTGGGTCTCCTCTTAATAGAACTCACCTTTGGGTACAGCCCTCTGTTTACAAGAAGACACACACAAGACCACAAGGATAAAAATAAATTTCAGCATTTGTGCTTCCATCACCAAAGCTAATCACATGAGAAAGAGGAGGAAGGCAGGGAGAAGAAAATGCATTTAATAAAAGTAGGAGGAGGAGAGGAAGAAAGAGAGAGGGACAGTCTGTGGTGCAATCACACTTCATCAGAGGGAAACAAAGCCTGGAGAGAGATGGATTGCTTAGTACCATATTCTCCTTTTTTAAAAGCAGATTTCTCTCAGCAGTTACAATGTGCTTGTATTCAAGCAGATAGCCTGTGCAGCAAGGCAGTTTATGGCCTTCCCTTCCTATCCTTGTTCTTCTATTGAGTAAATGCAATTGCCCCTTCCCCCATCTCTAGTAGTATTCATTCACTTATTGTATTTCTTGGTGGCTTTTCTTACAGAGTATCCCAAAGCGACTTGCACGTGAAAACCATTAGCACTTAAAAAGAACAAAGGGTCTGGGTAGAGATAAGGTTTAGCAAAGAACCTGGGAAGGTCTCACAGATAGGAAAGGTTCAGGTAGGTAGCCGTGTTGGTATGACGCAGGAGAAATATATATATAAAATTAAGAAAGAAAGAAAGAAAGAAAGAAAGAAAGATGCTTGCTCCTTGACAATTTCTTTATTTTTTTTAGATAGGAAAGGGATCAGGAGAACAAAGAGTCTGCCCCTGTTTTCTGCTATCAATCCTGGCCCCTCCCAAAGTGCAAGCTGTAATTATTTCAGCCTATTCCCTTCCCTGCTTCTCTGTCCTTTCCAACCTTGGACTCCTTCCTCTTTAGTCAGTAGACCCAAAGAAGCTCCACACTCAAAAATATTGGGTAAGACTAATTCTAGCTATACGGTGGAATGTCCCTATCTTCAAAAGTGTTTCTCTCTTTCAACACCCCCCTCCCCCCAAAAAACCCCACCAGCTATCTCCTCCAATCTCTTCTAGTCTGCAATTTGGTCAAAAAGCGCAGCATCAAAAGGCGCGCCTGTTTGGGTTTTGTTTTTTTACACATTTCCCCTTTTCTCGCAAGCAGTGTGTTAAGGGGATATGGTGAAACCTAGAGCGGTATTCAGCTAATGCAAACTGTTGGTGCACAGATTTCTGCTTGTGAAATAAGACTTCCTTCCCTCTCCTCCATTGCGCTTACCCTGTGCCCTCCCCAAATCTGCTCCAGGACATTGGGGGGACAACTCCTAGTACAGATTTTTGGGGGGTGTGGTGGCGGGGAGGAGAGGGGGAGCATGCTCCATTGTGCAAGGAGAACTCATTGCGGTGATGGAACGTTTGCTGAGCACTACGTTCGAGTCCACCCTCCATTTCATTGTTTATAACCACTGGATGAAAGGCAAGTTTCTTTCAGTTAAATGTACCTGTTCATTTTCCAGAATGCAAGAAGTTTAACCAGTGTGGCACATGCATCACTTTTGGCCAATGCCATGCACTAAAGAATTACACCTTGTGGAAAGTTGGAGATTATGGAAGTGTCAGTGGGCGAGAGAAAATCATGGCAGAAGTCTATGCGAATGGACCCGTCAGGTACAGAAGCTAAACGTTTGTAGCCAGTGTCTGGGTAGTAACACATGAAAGCATGCAAGTAATTGCAGTTATTTCAAATAGCCTATTGCAGTGGTGGGAGAAAGACCAGTGGCTCTGTTTACCTGGTTTTGGAATTTGCCACGTTTATGTTACACTTTATTAAGCCAGTGCCATTTGACAATTGAGAACTTTTGTAACGCTTCAGAAGAGACCGGCACATCTACCCCATACATTTAAAGCACGGGACTTGCCCCCAAAGAATTCTGGGAACTGTAGTTCATTAAGGGTGCTGTGAATTGTTGCCCTGCGAAGAGTAAACTACCACTCCTAAGATTCTTTGGAGGAAGCTATGTGCTTTAAATGTATGGGGTGGATTTGATTTGTTCCATTGATACAGTGATTTGTCAAGTGATTGGACCAAGTAATTTGTCCATTGATTCAGTACATTGTCCAATTGATTTAGTGGCCTTAGGAATGCCTCAATTTGTTGATTATGTGGCAGCAGGTGACTAGCTAACAGGACAATAAGTTTTGTCCTCGTAGAAGGAAGCTGACTTTGGGGTGCACCGGGTAGCAGCTTTGATATTACTCACAAAGCTAGTTTGTTTCACTGGCAAAAGGAAAGGGTGAAGCTTCAAGAAAAAGCCTTGGCAGTTATGGCTCCAACCTACCAAGGGGCAAGTTAAAGTAACCTCTGCTCCTTGCCGCAGCAGCTTTCTATTTAATAGTATTATTAGTAATAATTTTATTACTTATATCCTGCCCATCTGGCTGGGTTTTGCTCACGACATAAAGCTTGAAGCTCTTGTGTCAGGTTTTGACTTTTGCGGTGCTATCTAGAGTGGACGTTGAAAGTTTCAACTTATCAATAGCATCTTAAGGCTGCTTTAATGTCATTGTTCTGTATTCTTTAAAACAGCTGTGGGATCATGGCGACTTCGAAGCTGGAAGCATACACTGGAGGAATTTATAAAGAATACGATGCCCATCCCATGATAAACCACATAATCTCCATTGCTGGCTGGGGCGTAGAAAATGGAACTGAATTCTGGATCGTCCGGAACTCTTGGGGAGAGCCATGGGTAGGAAGGACAGAGCAGCCATAAATGAGACACTGTGTGTGTGTGTGTGTGTGTGTGTGTGTGTGTACGTACACAACATCCAGAGGGCCAAATATTCACCACTCCTGCTCTAATAGGAAGGAATTCAGCCCTTCATATTTGATTACAGCTTTCTGGCAGGCCCCAAGAGCTGCACGACTCTGTGTAGGTGCAAACCCTACATGTACAAAGATCAGGAATGTGTTTTGCAACTACTGTATAACTACTTGGAGTTTGGTCCAGAAATCTGCACCCGCTCCTACGTGTGAGAATCTTCTTCTGAATGCCACAGGATCACTTGCTGGAGTGTTTGGGTGCAAGACCACCAGAGCTGATAAAAACCCCAATGGATTGTGTCCATTTAGGGATCAGGAAATGGTGTGATGCCTGGCAAGCCAGAGGCATTAGAAGGGTGTTGGTGTTTTAGCAATAGACCAGGCCATTTCGGGGGGGTGGATTTTGGGACTTAAGCCCACCTTTTCCTTCCTTCTCTCTGGCAGGTAAATAGTTGTGTGTCTGTCATGCAACATCCAAATATCCCACTGCACCAGGGATCGAAAAGGTGTGGCTTTCCAAAGATTGTTGGATCACAACTCCCATCATCCTTGATCACTGGGGCTGATGGGCATCCCAACAACACCCAGAGAGCCACAGGTTGCCTAATCCTGCATCACCCCTTCCTGCATGCTCTGGGGCAGATCCAAGACAATTGCCCTTATTCCTTCCAACTTGTACACAGTCAGTATTTGTTGGGTGAGGGTTTCCAGGGTGGCGGCAGCAGCAGCAGAAGAGTCACTTGAGCCCATGACTAATGCAGTTTCCCATCTTGCAGGGTGAGAAGGGCTGGCTCAGAATTGTTACGAGTGCCTACAAAGGAGGCAGCGGAGGGCACTATAACCTGGCTGTGGAAGAGGACTGTGCTTATGGAGACGTCATACTTTCTTGAATTCTGCAATGGATCACAGACCCCTTATTTGCACTCCTGATTTTGAAACGAAAGGTATCTGCCAGCAAGATTTCCTTCCTCGTGAAAGGGAAAGATCTATCTATATATTTGGCAACGCATGCTAACGGTGAAGTATTTGCAAAGATCAGGCTGCTTGTTTGCATATAACTTCTGCAGCAAAGGAACCTCTGTTGATTGCACACACGGAGAGAGAAACGGCTTATATTTCTTTTTTGCTTGGAAGCTTTCCTCGGTTACGATGATGTAGGTGAAAAGGACTTTGTGGTGTATGTGACGTATGGATTCCCATTTGGCTAAAGTGGGCTGAGTCTGTGTGTTAAGCAAAATGCTGGACCTGCAAAATACCTTAATGGTGTTTCCATGCAGCCAGTGCCTAGTTTAAATCACATTGCCTCGATTTCTGGACGCAGAGTTTGGGAAGAGCTGAAGGGGGGAGAGCATAGCAGGGAAGGGGGCAGAGCCTGTCCTTACTCGTTGCCTTCAATGCAGGCTTACTTGGCGCCCTTCCTTGCTGCGCATTGCAAGAGTTGCCTCTGTTGCTCCAGCCACTTTTGACTCTGGCCCCAACCATCACTTGTGGCCTCTGGAAGGCTGCGTATGACCGTATAGCCCTTGATTTCCAGCTCCTCTCACTGATACTTAATTCTGTTCCCTGGAGAACCTCAGAATGAGGCTAATATCCCTGATCCTTGTGTTCAGGCTCTGCAAGCATGGCACATCAGACTGTGTGTCGCATTGGCATACCTGGAGATGGAGATGCACAGCCCAGGGAAATCTATGCATTCAGTTTAAACACAGTCCACTATACGGGTTGGTTGCTATTGTGCATCCAGTATCACAGTTCAGTTCAAAGCCCCATTAAAACCAACGGGACACAACTTGAGCCTCAGTGCCCATCGAGTCACAGCTAAGTATTGGTGAATACAAGTTAGTGCTTTCCTTTTTTGGGGGGGTGGGGAGAAATTGTGCAGCAGTTGGGAGCAGACCAGTTGCAGAATTATATGCGAGATAATATAGGATTTTTGGCTACTGAACTGTTTACTGTGTGTGAGATACATGTTTTTAAATAGGAAATCTGCTTTTTCCACATTTGGGGATAATTCCTTCAGGAATGCTCACTACTGGGGGGGGGGATTGCTCAACAACAATCCTGTGAGGGAGACGAGGCTGAGAAAAATGTGACCAGCCTCAAGTCGCCCAGTGAGCTTCATGCGTGAGTGGGGATTTGAACCTGGCTTGTCCCAACACCCTCTAATTTGGAAGGTGGCAACATGATGCCTCTTGCAGCGCCCACAAAAGATCTCAGAAAATATTCCTTTAAAACCCCCTCGATGAGAGCCTGTTTGCTCTTGTCGCTCATCTCTTGTTTGCACTAGCTCAGTCTTTGCGACATTGAACATGCCCCCTTAAACATGCCCACATTTCATGGGGTCCTAGGACTGGACACCCGTCCTCCCTCCCTTCTGTCCTGAAAAGTGCAAAGGACACCCTGAGTGAGTGTGGCGATGGCTAATGTAAAGGTAAAGGTAAAGGTAACCCTGACCATTAGGTCCAGTCGCGGACGACTCTGAGGTTGTGTGCTCATCTCGCTCTATAGGCTGAGGGAGCCAGCGTTTGTCTGCAGACAGCTTCTGGGTCATGTGGCCAGCATGACTAAGCCGCTTCTGGCGAACCAGAGCAGTGCACGGAAACGCCATTTACCTACCTGACGGAGCGGTACCTATTTATCTACTTGCACTTAGACGTGCTTTCGAACTGCTAGGTTGGCAGGAGCAGGGACAGAGCAACGGGAGCTCACCCCATCGTGGGAATTCAAACTGCCGACCTTCTGATCAGCAAGTCCAAGAGACTCTGTGGTTTAGACCACAGTGCCACCCACGTCCCATGATGGCTAATGTAGGTGCCTTTAAAAAAAATAAATTGATTGGGGATGGTGAAAGGCCTGCACCATGGCTCCCCTTCCTGCACTTTTTGAAGGGGTGGCCACTTTTGTGTCATGCCATGCCCCACGGGCACCCATGGCACTTTATCAAGATTCCAAATGTGCCCCCAGGCCCAAAGAAGTTGCTGCCCCCGTCTAACCTTTCCCTCTTCTGTGTACAAGGTGCTCTACAGCCTTTCCCTATTCTGTGAGTTGCTGCAGCCGTGCCATTGTAGCCATATGCACCTCCAAAGGTAGATGCCAGTGAATAAGAGGCCGGTGCTCTTGTTTTAAGTGACAAACTGAGGGACAGTGTTTTTCTGTTGAAACATCCCAGAGATGGCAATGGAGGGGAGATAGCCAGAGGCCTGTGCTACTGATATAAAAATATAGTCCACGGTCTTCTTTTTTCAGTGTGGTATTTTTTTATTTTTTTACAAATTGTAACTAATAACAAAATTTGTACACTCATGACGATGTTGAAAATTAAAAAGGGCACGTTTTGCACCCTCACGTGTGCACCATACATGTCAGTATCAGACATCCTCAGGCACTAGGAGGAATCTTCCTGCAAGTCTGTAATTATATTATATTATATTATATTAAGTTGTGTAACATACATAACCCATCAAAAAAACAAAAGAAAAAAGGGTATTACCAAGACCAACATAGTCAGAAACGAAAATGCAAGACGCAGACACCACAGAATTTTTTTCTGATACATGCAGCAATTGAAAAACCAACCTTTTACAAAGCTATATACTGGCAAACACAGTAGGGACTTTCCCTTTGTTCTCTGAAATATTTGCATAAGCAAGAAAGTTCCGCCAGTCTCTCACAAACACCTCTCTGTGTATTTCCTCTAGTTAGACTTAATCTGCATTTAAGTTCCTCTCCCACATCCTTCAATTAGCCTCTTCAAGATCCATCCCCAAAGTGGCAATAAGTCATATGTGCAGCTACCAATAAATATCATACCTCATCATGGGACTGAAACTGCCTTGGTTGCGCTGGTTGATGATCTCCGGCGGGCTAGGGACAAAGATGAACTCTGGAAGGTGGCAACACATGAACTGGCCTTTTCCGTGGTGGCTCCCCATTGCTTATCTTTAGGCACCAGGCAAAGATGTTCCCAATTCACCAGGCCTTGGGCCGATCAAACCATTTACACCTGGCTCTCCAAATGAACCATAACATGAAAATGCATTCTTTTCGGCATAATATATACCCTTTAGTGTAGTAAACCAGATATGAACACACAGCAAACAACGGTAGTTGGCAGCATGGGCAAAAATATTCCTGCATTGCAGGGGATTGGACTAGATGACCCTTGGAAACCCTTCCAACTCTACAATTCTATCTACTAAGGAAACATGAGGGCATTTGTCAATTATCGCCCACACAAACTCTGGGTGCCTGACACAGATGGGTTCTGTGCTGCAAGGGCACTGGAGCATTTGCAGAAGAATGCTTTGGTTCACTGCTTGGCCCAGGGTGGATTGATAAATTTAGCACTGTTTTTAATACTCCGGAAATACATAAATGATTATGAAACTAAATCACCAAGCCTCCAGCAGCATTTTTTATTTATTTATTTTGCTGCATAGGCGGCATATATTTAAAAGAAACACGCACATGATGGGAGCCACACCTTATCCGTCACCGGGAAGCAATTCGTGGCCCCTTTAACGACAGTTCTCAGGATTACTGTACCGGGGCGTGTGCGCGCCCTTTAAAAGCATGGTGCGTAGGCGGCTGTGTCTTGTTTTCTATTGCTTCGCCTCCCAGTCACTTGCCAGGATCAAAGATGCCCACTGTCGGGTGTTTAGATCCAGAGGGACGTGCGGGTAAATTAACATGCAGCAAGCCGTGCTGCAAAAAACAAAGCCAAACCCAGACCTCAAGGCCCGGCCTTCCTGGAGTCAGTTTTTCAAAGGCAGCAGTGCGCACCGCACTATGCAATGTGCCCATGCCTCGAAACCATGGTCTGTGTGTTCTGCACTGGAGAGGCGCTTGGGCATTCCGGGTTTGTGTGTGTTTGTTTTTTAAGCTTGCCAAGTTGTAGAGTTGGGAGGGACCCCGCGGGTCATCTAGCCCAACCCCCTGCAACCCGCGGGCATGAATGAGCTGATGCCAGCCGTGATTTGATGGGGCGTCTGGCGGTGATGAAAGCCCCGAGATGCACAGGTGAACCTCCCGAGGGCGGCGGCGTTTTAACTCTTCCTGCCTCCCTCGACGGCCGCTCTTATCAGATGGCCAACCCCTCGTTTCGTAACCCTGGGCGAACCAGTCGCCCTTCCCGCGCCGGGGCGGCGCCGAAGCGGGTTATAAGGCGCGAACTTCGCCGCAGCTCCTCCACCCAACCGGCCCCGCGCGTTTCCGGCTCCCACCGCCATCCGCAGCAGCCGTCTGGCCGGCCGGGGCGCAGCTTTCGCAAAGAGCCGCCGTCGAGCCGGGACCATGGCCGGGCGCTGCCTCCGCCTGGCGCTTCTCCTCCTGCTGCCGCTCCTCGACGCCAAGGCCGGGCAGAGTTGCTACAAGCCGAGGATTCCCAGGCCCTACGCCGTCCGGTAAGAGCGCACTCGTCCCTGGGAGTGGCGGGAGCATGGATGCGCATCAGGAGGGGAGGTGGCCTGAGCATGCGAAAAGTGCATGGCCTTCGCTAAGCGTCCAGAATTGGGGGAGCTGCTTCTCTCCCCCGGCGATTCCCTACAGCCGTCCGCTGCAGCCCGAGATCTCCGACGGCTCTCCTTTGGGCTGCGCCAAACGAACCGGGCGGCGGCCGGATTGTTCTGGGGAGACCCCGAGAGCCCTGCGGGGATTTGTCGCGTTCTCCCCGGGGATTTTCCTCCTCCTCCTCCTCCTCCTCCTTCTGCAGGCGTGGTTTCCCGGACGCCGCTTGAAAAATAACCGGCCGGCAGCAGGCGAGCTGCAACCGCGGCAGGAGCAGATCTCGGCGCCGCCCAGCAGCGCGGAGGGTCGTCCAAAGACGGCCCAAGGTCCGTGCAAGTTGGTGGCACAGGCAGAAGCGGCGTGTTTGGACTCGGAGAGGGAAAAGCTGGGCCGAGATTTTCCTGCTTGCCCCACAAGCACGGCCTTGGTGTGCGAGGCTACCTCGCAGGGCTGTTTGGAGGATGAAATTAAATTCTTGCAAGCCACCCTGAGCTGCTGAAGGAGGGTGCAGAGCTGAAATAGCACCCTATTTCCAGGGAGGAAAGGCATGGCTTTGGTGGGTAGCATGTTTGGTTTTTTTAGCCTGGTGTTGCTTAGTGGAGGAGCACATGCAGAAAGTCTGTTTTCTCTAGGCAGGGCTCAGAAAGATCCCTGGGTGAAACTTCAAACCCAGATGAAGCAATGATCTCACTGTGTAAGGTAACTTTATAGAAAGCTGGTGTGCTGAGTCAGACCATTGGGCCATCAGGGTTGCCTGCACTGGCTGGCAGCAGCAGCTCTCCAGGGGTTCAGACTGAGGTCTCTCCCAACCCTGGCTGGAAATGCCAGAGTGGGACCTGCATGTTCTTCCTCTGAGCCAGGGCCCCTGTGTTTGGAATATGGGAGACACTGGCTCATATGCCCAGTCAGCTGGCCAGAGACATTATGCTGCCTGAGGCCAATAATATACTCACCCAAGCACTGGCCACTCCATTGACAGAGGCCTACTGGACTGGGAGTGGGGGCAGTGTATCCTCCCCCCCACTTGAGGGCAGCAGATCAGAGACTCACGCCTCCTGCAGAGAGCCAGGGCAGGGGGTTCAGGAGGAAATGCCAGGGGGCTGCCACTGCCCTCCCCGCTCCAGCATCTCCTTCCCAAGATGGCCACCTCACTTTGCCCAAGGGCTTTTTGCTGCGGCAACCCACATGTCCGAATTCACTTGGTGTGGTGATCCCATTGATTATTTTTGTTCCACAAGTGGGGGGCTCAGCTTTGGGCTTGGTGGATTTTAACTGCCAAGGTAGCTAAGTACCTTGATTTGAGACATCCAAGCATATTACGGCTGAGCATATTACAGTGATCTTGGCTCGACTTCGCTGGCTGTCCATTACTGTAGTTTCTGGACCCAATTTAAAGTGCTGGTTTTGACCTATAAAGCCTTAAAGGGCTCAGGACTGCAATGCCTGGAGGACCGCCTCTCCCCATATAAACCCCATATGACTCTGCTTTCATCCTCTGAGGCCCTTCTATGCGTGCCTTCATATGAAGTCTGGAGGGTGGCAACACGAGAAAGGGCCTTCTCTGTAGTGGCTCCCTCTTTGTGGAATGCTCTCCCCAGGGAAATTCACCTGGTGCCTTCATTATATATATTTTTTGGCACCAGGCGAAAATGTTCCTCTTCGAATAGGCCTTGGGCTGATCAATATCCTACAGCTTTTAAAATGCATTTTTTGGGAAGGAGGGTGGGTACTGTTTTGCTGTTTTGTCTTACTTATTTACTTGTTTTTATCCCATATTTTATTCTGTAAACTGCCCTGAGATCTTATGATGAAGAGCAGTATATAAATCTAATGAAGAAACCAACAAAAATAAATAAATTCACCTAGCATCTATGAATGTGACAAACCATCACCAGATCTCCATCATAGGCCAGTTCCCAAGGGTTAAAATGTAAGGCTTCGGCCTTTGCAATGCTCAGTTGCAAGTGTCATTAGAATACGCCAACAAAACAAAAGTTGTAAGAGGTATTAATCATACCAGTGAAGGATCAAAAACAGTAATTATTTTGGGTTTACTTATCAAGCCTCTTGCATCGACTTCACAATCCACTCGTAGCTTGCAGCCTACAGCTGTGGTTCTCAGAGGGTGTGGCAGGAGAGGATTCACCGACGGTCAAAGACACATCTAAACATTTCAGTATAGCACGGTAGATTATAGCATCTAAATTATTATTTGTGGATATGCAACCAGAAACAGTATGCATGTGTCTCTTTGATAGTATTGGCTGCTCTCCTACAGATCCCTATGGGATATTGTTGTGAACAGCGAAGATCAGGAAGGATGTGTTGATGAGGAGAGGTTTGTTTTTGGTCTCAAATTAGACCTAATATAAATGGGATTACCTTTGCAAAAGCAAGCTCACGCCTCTCCTTGAGTTTGTATGCATACTTAAGGAACATATGCAAGAGGCTCCTTTATAATTATATTTTGGGAGTGAGTCATATTCCTATGGAGTTGCTTCTTGGAAGCAACAGAGCACACCGTCTCCACCAAGGAGGAGACAGGGGACTCCCCTGAGAAGGAGGCTAGTTCACCAACACAGGAGCCAGATATATGGAGAAACGTGACTCAAAGAAGTAGGAGGCCCAGGGTTCGCTCTGATTGTTTAGAAATACACAATCGCTTTGAGGTCCTCTCCCCTAGCATGGAAGACGAAGAGCAGACTCCATTTGAGGATCTCTCCCTCATTACAGTCGATCAGGTATATGAAGACGAGCAGCAAAGTCAGTCCTCAGGGAATGTGCAGGCGACCTTGGAACAGACAGCTCACGGAAGAACCCCGACCAAACCTAAGAGGAGGCGTGTAGTGGTGATAGGGGATTCCCTACTGAGGGGAACAGAAGCAGTGATCTGTGGGCCTGACAAGATGTCTCGGGAAGTGTGCTGTCTCCCCAGGGCTAAGATCCAAGATGTAACTGAACGACTGCAAGGAATCATAAAACCCACTGACAAATACCCCTTCCTCTTGGTTCATGTGGGAACCAATGTCACTGCAAGCAATAGCCTCCAGAAGATCAAAAGACACTAGAAGGCTCTGGGCAGGAAATTGAAGCAATTAAATGCACAAATTGTCATCTCATCTGTCCTCGCAGTTGAACGACATGGCCCAGGGAGAGAGGGAATAATAGTGGAAGTGAACAGCTGGCTTCGCAAATGGTGTAAACAGGAACGGTTTGGATTCTTAGATCACGGACTGCAGTTTCTTGAAGATGGACTTCTGGCAAGCGATGGGCTGCACCTCACAACGGTTGGGAGGAATGTTTTTGCCAAAAATCTCAGAAACCTCATCAGGAGGGCTTTAAACTGACTAATGTGGGGGAGGGAGACAGTGCTCCTGAAGGTAGGAGTCTATCAATTGATGAGGATGATCATCCAAATGTCATAGACCAAATGGAGCAAACAGCACGCAGACCTAGTGGTGGGAGGAAAAAATCCTTAAATAAGAGTCACGGGGGAATGATTAATGGACTTCAGTGTCTGTACACTAATGCGCAAAGCATGGGAAATAAACAAGATGAGCTTGAGCTCTTGGTACAGCAAACTAAATATGACATAATAGGCATCACTGAAACCTGGTGGGATAAGTCCCGATTGGAATGTAACAATGGAGGATACAATCTATTTCAGAGAAACAGACCAGACAAGAAAGGAGGAGCAGTGGCGTTATATGTCAGGGATGTGTATACCTGTGAAGAGATCCAAGATTTAGAACCTCAAAGCCAAAGTGAGAGCATTTGGGTCAAAATTAAGGGAGAGAAGAATAACAGTGACCTCATTGTGGGAGTTTACTATAGATCCCCAAGCCAAACGGAGGACATAGATGATGCCTTCCTGGAACAGATGGCCAAGCATGCAAAAGGAAGGGAGATAGTAGTAATGGGGGACTTCAATTACCCGGATATTTGTTGGATGTCAAACTCAGCCAAGAGCATAAGGTCAAACAGATTCCTCACTGGCCTTGCAGACAACTTCATTGTCCAGAAAGTGGGAGAAGCAACAAGAGGAACAGCCATTTTAGATCTGGTCCTAACCAATGTTGATGACCTGGTTAGTGGGGTAGAAGTGGAAGGATCATTAGGCGCGAGTGATCATGCTCTTCTGAAGTTTACTATACAGCGGAAAGGAGCAGCCAAGCATACTAGGACTCAATTTCTTGACTTTAAGAAAGCCGACTTCATAAAACTTAGGGAAGTGCTGGGTGAGATTCCATGGACAGTAATACTAAAAGGAAAGGGAGTTCATGATGGCTGGGAGTTTGTTAAGAGGGAGATAGTAAAAGCACAACTTCAGGCAATACCAATGAGACGGAAACATGGAAGGTGCCTAAAGAAGCCAGGGTGGCTATCTAAAGAACTTTTAACTGAGTTAAGATTAAAAAGGATGTGTACAAAAAATGGAAAAGGGGGTAAACCACCAAAGAGGAATTCAAACAAATAGCCAGCACGTGTAGACACAAAGTCAGAAAAGCTAAAGCACAGAATGAACTCAGGCTTGCTAGAGAGGTTAAAAGCAACAAAAAAGGCTTTTATGGGTATGTTCGTAGCAAAAGGAAGAACAAAGAAACAGTGGGGTCACTCAGAGGAGAAGATGGTGAAATGCAAACAGGGGACACAGAAAGGGCTGAACTCCTCAATGCCTTCTTTGCCTCAGTCTTCTCCGATAAAGAAAACAATGCCCGACCTGAAGAATTTGGAGCAAATGATTCAGCAAAGGAAACACAGCCCAGAATAACTAAGGAGATAGTACAAGAATACTTGGCTAGTTTAGATGTATTCAAGTCTCCAGGGCCAGATGAACTGCATCCAAGAGTATTAAAAGAACTGGCAGATGTGATCTCAGAACCACTGGCAGTCATCTTTGAGAATTCCTGGAGAACAGGCGAAGTCCCGGCAGACTGGAGGAGGGCAAATGTTGTCCCTATTTTCAAAAAGGGAAAAGAGAGGACCCAAATAATTACCGCCCAGTCAGTCTGACATCAATACCAGGGAAGATTCTGGAGCAGATCATTAAGCAAACAGTCTGTGAGCACCTAGAAAGGAATGCTGTGATCACCAATAGTCAGCATGGATTTCTGAAAAATAAGTCATGTCAGACTAACCTGATCTCGTTTTTGACAGAATTACAAGCCTGCTAGATGAAGGGAACGCAGTGGATGTAGCCTACCTTGATTTCAGCAAGGCATTTGACAAGGTGCCCCATGATATTCTTGTAAAGAAGCTGGTAAAATGCAGTCTTGACTATGCTACCACTCAGTGGATTTGTAACTGGCTGACTGACCGAACCCAAAGGGTGCTCATCAATGGTTCCTCTTCATCATGGAGAAGAGTGACTAGTGGGGTGCCACAGGGTTCTGTCTTGGCCCGGTCTTATTCAACATCTTTATCAACGACTTGGATGATGGACTCAAGGGCATCCTGATCAAATTTGCAGATGACACCAAACTGGGAGGGGTGGCTAACACCCCAGAGGACAGGATCACACTTCAAAACGACCTTGACAGATTAGAGAACTGGGCAAAAACAAGATGAATTTTAACAGGGAGAAATGTAAAGTATTGCACTTGGGCAAAAAAAATGAGAGGCACAAATACAAGATGGGTGACACCTGGCTTGAGAGCAGTACATGTGAAAAGGATCTAGGAGTCTTGGTTGACCACAAACTTGGCATGAGCCAACAGTGTGACGCGGCAGCTAAAAAGCCAATGCAATTCTGGGCTGCATCAATAGGAGTATAGCATCTAGATCAAGGGAAGTAATAGTGCCACTGTATTCTGCTCTGGTCAGACCTCACCTGGAGTACTGTGTCCAGTTCTGGGCACCACAGTTCAAGAAGGACACTGACCAACTGGAACGTGTCCAGAGGAGGGCAACCAAAATGGTCAAAGGCCTGGAAACGATGCCTTATGAGGAACGGCTAAGGGAGCTGGGCATGTTTAGCCTGGAGAAGAGGAGGTTAAGGGGTGATATGATAGCCATGTTCAAATATATAAAAGGATGTCACATAGAGGAGGGAGAAATGTTGTTTTCTGCTGCTCCAGAGAAGCGGACACGGAGCAATGGATCCAAACTACAGGAAAGAAGATTCCACCTAAACATTAGGAAGAACTTCCTGACAGTAAGAGCTGTTTGACAGTGGAATTTGCTGCCAAGGAGTGTGGTGGAGTCTCCTTCTTTGGAGGTCTTTAAGCAGAGGCTTGACAACCATATGTCAGGAGTGCTCTGATGGTGTTTCCTGCTTGGCAGGGGGTTGGACTCGATGGCCCTTGTGGTCTCTTCCAACTCTATGATTCTATGATTCTATCTCATAAAGTAGTTGTGCTCTGTTATAAATCAAGCACTGCTAGGTGTTATTTCGTTTTCGTTTTCCAGTCCTGTCAATAAAAAAATTTCGGTGTGGTGTGAGCAAATTTTTATTCCAAAAGTGTGACCCAGAGAAAAACATTTTGAGAACCACTGACCTGCAGGTTGGAAAATGCTGGCCTACGGGAAGGGGCAGCCCTCCCTATGAAGCGCAGTATTGAGCAGCAGAAGCATTTATGAGTGCAGAAATACAGTGGTACCTCGGGTTAAGCACTTAGTTCGTTCCAGAGGTCCGTTCTTAACCTGAAACTGTTCTTAACCTGAAGCACCACTTTATCTAATGGGGCCTCCTGCTGCCGCTGTGCCACTGGAGCACAATTTCTCTTCTCATCCTGAAGCAAAGTTCTTAACCTGAAGCATTATTTCTGGGTTGGCGGAGTCTGTAACCTGAAGTGTATGTAACCTGTAGCATATGTAATCTGAGGTACCACTGTAGAGGCGTACTTTTCAGAGAGATGGCATTGGAGCCTCTGCTCCAGACTCTCCAGTGTGCTTGTGGGGTGATGGGGGACAGGATTATTTCCCCCCTTTCAACACACCCTTATGGCAAGGGTGGGGCTTTCTAAATCAGCTTGCATGTTTTGTGAGTCTATCTAAAGGGCTGTCACGTGAAAGGTGGAGCAAGCTTGTTTTCTCCTGCCGCAGATAATGGCATCCAAACCAAATTGCTTCAAGTTACAAAAAGGGAGATTCTGACTAAATATCAGGAAGAACTCTTCCTTGGAGGTTTCCTTCCTCGGAGGTTTTGAAGCAGAGGTTGGACGGCCATCTGTCATGGATGCCTTTAGCTGAGATTCCTGCATTGCAGGGGGTTGGACTAGATGACCCTTAGGTCCCTTCCAACTCTACGATTCTGTGGGAGAAGGAGTCCCTCCAGATTTAGTCCTGTGAGTTATAAGGAGTGGCAGGGGGACCTGCAACGAAGTGGTGCAGTGTGAAAAAATGTCACCTTGAGGATGCCAGCCAGCCAGCAATGCCCTTTTTCAGAATACACTCTGGTGTGGATGGGCTGCATAAAGATCCACATTCAGAGAATGAGCTTCCTGTGGGTTTATACTAAGACTGAATTCTAGTGTCTGCAGATCCCTTCCTTTTATTCGCGTTTGCAAGTACAGTGGTACCTCGGGTTAAGTACTTAATTCGTTCCGGAGGTCCGTTCTTAACCTGAAACTGTTCTTAACCTGAAGTACCACTTTAGCTAATGGGGCCTACTGCTGCTGCCGCGCCGCCGGAGCACAATTTCTGTTCTCATCCTGAAGCAAAGTTCTTAACCCGAGGTAATATTTCTGGGTTAGCAGAGTCTGTAACCTGAAGCGTATGTAACCTGAGGTACCACTGTACAGTGGTGCTTCGGGTTACAAACGCTTTGGGTTTCAAACTCTGCTAACCCGGAAGTAGTACCTCGGGTTGAGAACTTTACCTCAGGATGAGAACAGAAATCGCATGCCAGCGGCAGCAGGAGGCCCCATTAGTGAAAGCATACCTCAGGTTAAGAACGGTTTCAGGTTAAGAACGGACCTCCAGAACGAATTAAGTTCGTAACCTGAGGTACCACTGTACTGTGGTTCCTTTTAAGTGTGTTTTTTTCTGTGGTAATTTTGCAACAAGAACCAGAAAGCATGTCAAGGCCCACTTCAAGAGCTGCTGTGGTCACCTGAGTGCTCTGAAGAAATCTCAGCCTTGTGGCAATCACATGATCGCCTGGGAGGAATTTTAAGGTCATTTGGCCTGGAGGAGTCATGTGATTGCCAAGCGAGAGAGGAGGCTGAACAAAGCCTGGTTGATTTGCTGATTAGATTGTTGCTCCAGGTTCACATCCCCCAACTCACAAACGAGGCTCACACAAAGAATATTGGGAGCTGTAGTTTTTTTAAAGGGTGCTGTGAATTGTCGCTCTGTGAGAGGCAATCTACAGTTCTCAGGATTTAGGGGAGGCCATGTTTACGCAGCCTCTCAGCCCATCTTACCTTGTGAGGTTGTTGTTGATGACAAGAGCGAGGAGCAATATACCGTATTTTTTGCTCTATAAGACTCACTTTTTCCCTCCTAAAAAGTAAGGGGAAATGTGTGTGTGTCTTATGGAGCGAATGCAGGCTGCGCAGCTATCCCAGAAGCCAGAACAGCAAGATGGACCACTGCTTTCGCTGCGCAGCAATCCCTCTTGCTGTTCTGGCTTCTGGGATTCAGAATATTTTTTTTCTTGTTTTCCTCCTCCAAAAACTAGATGTGTCTTATGGTCTGGTGTGTCTTATAGAGCAAAAAATACGGTATGTTGCCTTGATTTTCTCTGTAGGATATTTTCAGAAGAGGTAGAGTTTTTCAGCTTTTTCTCCCCAGGCGTAGGTTAATTCACTTGCTTTCCCCCCTTCCAAACAGAACCTACCCTCGTCCTTATGAATATCTGGACATCTCAAAACTGCCCAAGAGCTGGGACTGGAGGAATATAAAAGGAGTCAACTATGTGAGTGCCACACGCAACCAGCACATCCCACAGTATTGCGGATCCTGCTGGGCTCATGGCAGCACCAGCGCTTTAGCAGGTACGGAGGTCTAAGCTATTATTGCTTCGTAGGACTTGCTTCTCTGTCACTCTTGGCTCATTTCCCCATGACTGGTCAACAGATACTCTGTTTTGCATTAGACCATTGCTTCTTGAGATCTGTCCTTTTGGTGGAAGTACATAAAGAACAAAGGAGATTCCCATTATTGGCTTAGACCATTTGCCCATCGAGTCCAGTATTGCTGGCTCTGACAGAGGGGGAAGCCCTAGCTCCGTGGTACAGCACTGTTTTTTGCAATGTTACTTACATTGGTTGAAAAGTCAACTTTGGGGTTAACCCCTTTCCATGGAGGCGCGGGTTACAGCAACAGCCAAGGTGACATTTTTCCACCTTCGCTGCATCAAGCAGTTGGTCCCTTACCTTTCCTGCCCTGACCTGGCCACAGTGATCCATGCGACAGTCACCTCCAGGCTTGACTACTGTAATTCACTCTACGCGGGGCTGCCCTTGAAGCTGTCCCAGAAACTCCAGTGGGTGCAGAATGGTGCAGCGAGGCTCACAGAGTCTCTGCCATGGGAGCATATTCACCCAGTGCTTTTCCTGCTGCACTGACTCCCGGTGGAGTACAGGGTCAGATTTAAGGTGCTGCTTTTGACCTTTAAAGCCCTTCACGGCCTAGGACCCTCGTACCTACTGGATCACCTCTCCTGGTATGCCCCATGGAGAGCCTCAAGGTCCATAAATAGCAACACCCTAGTGGTCCCGGGCCCTAAGGAAGTTAGATTAGCCTCAACCAGAGCCAGGGCCTTCCCTACACTGGCTCCGGCCTGGTGGAATGCTCTGTCTCATGAGACCAGGGCCCTGCAGGATCTGATTTCTTTCCGCAGGGCCTGTAAGACAGAGTTGTTCTGCCTGGCCTTTGGCTTGGAGTCAATTTGATTCCCTCCCCCTCTTCCCCCCCTTTCTCCTGTGATGATGCTACATTTTAATGTTTTAATGTTGTATTTTAATCTTGCTTTTTAAGTTGCATTTCAATCAACTTGTTTTTTGTTGGTTGTTAGCCGCCCTGAGCCCTGTCTTGGCTGGGGAGGGTGGGGTATAAATAAAATTTATTATTATTATTATTATTATTATTATTTATTATTAAAATGTAACTTAAACAGTCACATAGAATTGTAGAGTTGGAAGGGACCATGAGGGTCGTCTAGCCCAACCCCCTGCAATGCAGGAGTTTCCGACTAAACATCAGGATGAACTGTGTGACAGTAAGAACTCTTCAACAGTGGAATAGACTCCCACGAGAGGTGGTGGACTCTCCTTCCATGGAGGTTTTTATGCAGAGGTTGGATGGCCAACCCTCATGGATGCTTTAGCTGAGATTCCTGCATTGCAGGGGGTTAGACTAGAGGACCCCTGGGGTCCCTTCCAACTGTACATTCTGTGAATCTTTTACCCAACCTGGGGCTCAAACCCACAACCCTGAGATTAAGAGTCTCATGCTTTGCCAACTGAGTTATACAAGAGTTTGTTGCTTCCTTGTTTAATCCCAGCCTCCCCTCCCCTTTCTCTCCTCTGTTCAGGTTTAGATTGTAATCTCTATGGGGCAGCGGCCTGCCTTCTTGTAATCTGTTTTGTGATGTGCACATTGATGGCACTATACAAAAAGATAAACTGTGTTAGGATTGGGTCTCCCAATTTTCTTTTAAAAAAATTACTTTAACAGCAAGCCTATGGAGGGACGGGTTCTGAACTGAGTCTGAGCAGCAATGGTGGAGGAGAGGTCTATTCTCCCCCAGCCCCTCTGTTTCCCCAAGCTTTCACCCACCTGAAGCTGCTTTTTAACCTGCTAGGCATTTAACCTCTTCCTTTCTGTGATTCAATCCTAAAGCCCACCCCTTGAATACTTCAAAGTTAAACTCTTAAGAGAGCCAATGAGGGATTCCTCCCATGTATTATGTGGTCTGTGACATGGAATGGTGAATTATGTGTTTCTCTTCATTTTCCAGATCGCATCAATATCAAGAGGAAAGGCATTTGGCCTTCTGCCTATCTCTCAGTCCAGAATGTGATTGACTGTGCCGACGCTGGCGGCTGCAGCGGAGGGGATGACTTGCAGGTCTGGAGTTATGCTCATGAGCACGGCATCCCCGACGAGACCTGCAACAACTACCAAGCTAAAGACCAAGGTGTGTGAGATCCTTCCTGCGTGAATCTGGCTGTAAAAGAGGGAAAACAACAGCATTCTTTTTACACCAGCCTTGCTAAATAAGTCCAGATTTTACTAGCCTGCCACCCACTGCAATCCAAAGTGGAAAACTAGAGCTTGTCTTTGCCCTTGAAAACAGGGGTTTTTTTTATATCCCTTTCCTCCACTTTGCTGGTTTTTAATGGTAATGTGTGCCTTAAATGTGATTTTTACATTTATTTATTTTGGTTGTTAAATATTCCAGAGTGACTTGTGTTACTTGGAAACTAGGATAGAAAAAGATGCAAATAACTAGGCTGCACCAGCTCTGCTGCAGCAAAATTTTATCTCGTACTTTTAGCTGCAAGATCCCTGATGTCAAATAAAGGTGCTTGTTTTTGCAGACTGTGATACGTTTAACCAGTGTGGAACGTGTGATACTTTTGGAAAATGTCATATGATAAAGAACTACACCCGCTGGAAAGTTGCTGATCATGGTACTGTTAGTGGACGGGAAAAAATGATGGCGGAAATCTATGCAAGTGGTCCTATCAGGTAAAGCACTACAAGGTTGCATAATAAGCATGGCCTGTGGTCAAGGATGATGGGAGTTGTAGTTCATCAACAAATGGAGGGCTACAGATTTCCCCACCTCTTCTTTAAAAAACAAAAACCAGTGAAACAGCCTTGCAATACTGTAAAGCAAATTGGTTAGCAACTTATTCTTTGTTTTAGCCCACACAAGGTGCCAGCCCACATAAGTCTGCTTGCAAAGCGTAAAAACACAACTCAAAGCAAAACAGGAGAAGTTATATGGCAACAGAACAAAGTAATTTAAAAACACAGACCAGTTTCACTTTTATTTCTTTAATGAAGTAAAAATGGCAGTCTAGATTCTAGCAGGCGCTGTGGAAAACCCCCTTTCTAAAATAGCTCTCTTAACTGAAGTTAGGCCTAAATTAGGGAAGAAAAACTGCCTGAAATAAATCTGTTTTAAAAATCTACTTAAGAATTTGCTTAGGAGCCATCTAAGCCTCCCACCCGTGGTGGGAAGGAACTTCTGTAGTATGAAAATAATGTAATTCAGCCCCCCCAACTGGTGCCCTCTAGATGTTTTGGATTATAATTCCTTTCACCCCACTGGCTGGAGCTAATGAAAGTTGCCATCCAAAACACCTGATGGGTATTGAGGTTGGAGAAGGCTGATGTAATAAGCAAAAGTGATGTTTTTTTAGTGACCCAGTTTGGTTGAACCTCCTATTCCAGTATACTATGGACGTATTCCCATGTTCAGAATAGCTTCCAAAATTACAATTTAATGCTTGGAAGAATCTTACCAAATGAATAAGACTTCAGTCCTGTTTGCATTTACCTGGGAGTAGGCCCCATTGAACTTTGCGGGACTTGCATCTGAACAGACATTACACACTGCGTTGTAAACTTCACTCTGTTTAACGTGGCCCATTAAACGTGTTTAATGTGTGCCTTTTGGCAGATTTCTGTTTACGAGCTAACTCGGCTTCTACAGTTGCAATTAGACTAGCAACAACTTCCCCATGTCTTCTTTGTGACTGGTCTTTTAAAAACCAAATGTTTTTTCTTAAACTGCAATGACCTCTAGTCTGTCTAAAAGTCTCTAGCAGACCCTGACACCGCCTTTTGAGAGTCCCTCCCCATGGTGTTAGCAAGGCCCACTGAACTCAATAGGATTGACACTGGAGTATATATGTATAGGATTGTACTGTTTATCCTATGAAAGCGCCAATTTGTCTCACGCCTGACGCCCAAGCCAATCTTTGCTCAGACCGTGCACCATATTCCTCAACATTTTCCTGGAAGCCACATTGTTTATTTTAAAAAACCAGACTGAAAACCGTTGACCCTCGCCAGGTTTTTACCCAAAGTGGCTATTCAAAAGCTGTTGGTTTGCATTAGCATTTTTAATTGGATGTAATTTAATTTATACAGCTGTGGGATCATGGCCAGCCCGAAGCTGCACAATTACACCGGAGGACTTTATGCTGAACATCATCTGCTGCCGTCTATAAACCATGTTGTTTCTGTTGCTGGCTGGGGTGTCGAGAACGGAACCGAGTATTGGGTTGTCCGGAACTCTTGGGGCGAGCCATGGGTAAGCAGGAGATGAAGACCGCAAGCAACATCTCTCCACAAAGAGAGGTTGGAGAGTCCTACGGACAGGGCCTTCTCAGTGGTGGCTACCCTGATGCAGTGCAGTTGTAAACGGTGAAGGATGGCTTTGATCCCCTAAGTCAAGGATGAGAAACCTTGTGCCCGGGGGCCAAATGAAACCCTTCTGTCTGGCCCTCAGAAAGGTTCCCAGGACTCCCAAGCCACACACCCTCTTCCTCAGGCCGCACCCTTCAACAGCCCTGCTTTGTACTCTTGCCTGACTCAAATCCCTGGGATAGCTCAGTTAATAAAGCATGAGACTTTAAACCCCAGGGTTGTGGGTTCAAATTTGACGTTGAGCAAAAAGATTCCTACATTGCAGGGGGTTGGGACTAGATGACCCTTGTGGGTCCCTTCCTACTCCACATTTCTGTGAAATGTCCGCTCGAACTCTGACAATGCTTCTTCCTTGCTTGGAGGATAGAGGGGAGCGGGAGAGGAAACGAGCCTCCTGCTACACAAAAGCAAAATTTACATCCATTGCTCCGCCCACTTTTGCATCTAGCCATGCCCACCAGTAGCTCATGGCCCTTGAAAGGTTTGCTAGAGAGGAATGTGGCCCTTGGCCAAAAAACAATAACATTCCCTGTCCTAAGTAATAAAGAATAAGAATGTGGAAGGACATTGGACAGAGCAAGTCTCTCACCTTCCATTATATATCGTTGTTGTGGCGCCCCCAGGGCTCTGTGCCCAGTGCAACCGAACCGCTTGTGTTCCCTAAATCAGAGCTTTTCAACCTTTATGGGTTCGCAGCTCCCTTGACCAACTGCCGTCTTTCTATGGCACCCCTGTGGAGCTCAGGAGCCCAGTTCTGCCATCCCTTGCCTGCAGAGCTGGCAGCCTCTCCACCCTTTTTTGAACACCCTTGTGGAGTGTTCCCTCAGCCTCCTCTCTTCTCCCCTCTCTTTGGGAGTCCTCTGGGCAGCCACTGCCGCTGCCCCTCGTCTCTTAAGCTGCTCCAAAGAAAGATGTCGCCCCACAGGGGCCTGGGAAGCTCATAGCTGGGGCTGCTGCAACAAACAGCCATGCAAGGCTTTGGGAGGCAGAGACGCAAGAGGGCATCAGAGGAGGGAGGGGAGGGAAGAGGGACAGAGGCCAGGGTTGCCCACAGACCCCTGACCATCATTCAAGCAGACCTTCTCTACTTGGAGATGCTGGGGATTGAATCTGGGACCTTTTAGATGCAAAGCAGATACTTTGCCAATGAGTAGTCAGTCAAAATAGATTCTTCTGATTTTTAAAAGTTGATGAGGACAATAGCTTGGATTCCTTCTGTTCTGCTCATGGATCAGGGATTTCCTGCCTTGCCACTTCCAAGCTGCAATTCCTTCTACACCCTGTATCTACAGCTGAGCATGGGGAGATCCTCTGGACCGATATACAGGAAAACCGGGAACTCCCCCTGCCACTTTGCATGAGAAGAACTGCTTTTGTTTTCACACAGGGCACTACTGGATTCAAGCTGATAATTGCAATAATCTCTCTAGCAAGGATACAGGCCAGTGTTCTCCTGAGCTCTGGAGCAGGAAATAGGGTGTGATTTGCAGGAGTGTATGCCCAAGTTAGCAATAACCAATACCCAACCAACCAGATCAGTGTGTTTTGTGGCTGAAGATGGCAGGGGCCCGTGATCCAGAAACCTGTGATTTCTGCTGCTTGTTAAGATCCCTTCTTGTCCTCCAGTATGTGCACGACAGATCTGGAAAGACAATCTGTTTCTGCCCATGCAGTTACCTGTAGGTGTTTCTGACATGTGTTGTGCAATGAGCATTTTCAGGGCAGCACCATAAGGTGAAAAGTTGGCTGAACATGAAGTTGTCCTGATACACCTGTGTACTGATGCAAATTTATCTCTTTCCAGGGCGAGAAGGGCTGGCTTAGAATCGTAACAAGTGCATATAAAGGGGGAAAAGGAGCATCCTACAACCTTGGCGTTGAAGAACAATGTGCTTACGGAGACCCAATTCTTCCTTAACTCTGCTGGAGGAGGATCTGGAAACACATGTTCAGAAGGCAAGGACTGTCCCAGCCCACTGCTTCGCAAAGGGATGAGTTAATACTCTGCAGTGTCCATTAATCACGGAATGGTGAACCTTTATTCTTTCTTGAACTAAACCTTTCTCTTAAAAGAATTCAATGTTGTTTATGAAATGACCCAAAGAATGACATGCACTGATTGCACTGAGAGAAGCAAAGCAAACAGCTTTTATTACTTTTGCATATGGAAATTAGTTAATTTTTATCGTAATTATTTTATAGCTTTCTGGGTAGGGAGAGACTTTTTTGTTTTTGAAAAAATGTTAATACTGGGGAGCAGAGCTCTTAAATAACTTGAAATTAAATTCCGTATGAAATTATGCAGGTCGTAAATTTATCACTGTACAGGCATAGTGAAGAGGATAAGATGATTTGAATCAGAAAAGCTTGGGAACCTGAGTGCTTCCTTGCTTTCTATAGGGCTAAGCTTTCTTGCTGAAAGTCTTAAAGAGCTGTTCAGTAACAATGATGGTATTACAGAACCAGCTGTTACGTGACAAGCTATTGATGGTCCTCCTTTCAGTCTTGCCCCAAAGTGGGCAACCTGTTGCCCCCCCCCAATCCCAGATCATTCAGGCTGATGGAAATTATGGTCCCCCATCCCTGGACAAGCTCAGGATTTGAACACATCCATCTACAAGCTGCTGAACTGGCTGGTAAGCATTAAGGAGCAGCTTCCTCTAGCAGTATCAGCTCATATTTTGAACACATGGCATTCTTGTTATTACCCCACACTAACCTATCTCCTCTCCCCTGGAGCTGGGTGCGGCTTTTAAGGCTGCTTAGTGCAGGGTCACAGCTTCTTATCTTGCCTTCTGCAGCCTCCATTCTCTTTCTCATAAGCTGCGGATCAGATCAGAATCCACTAGTTGACTATGGAGGGTTGTGCTAAAACTAGCAGCAGCAGTAGGCCAGCACTCCTTGTGAGATTACAGCTGAGCATTGCCTCCACCCCATTCTGTTCCCCATGGCTTCTGGCACTCACTGTTTCAAGTAAGGGTAAAACAGCGGCTGCAAGCTATTTCTGCACAAGCTCCCCAGGGCGTATGGGGAAGGCAGGCTGTGTGATTTTGTCAACCTATGACCAAGCTCAGCAATGCCACCAGCCAATCACAGCCTGTTTTTGCTCCATACTGGGATTGGCACTAACAAGGGTTGCCAAGTGCCTTGTAAGCTAGAATTTGCAGCTAATGCGGGCTGAGTTTGGTGGCTCATAAGCTAAACAGCCTTGAGCTTTGGGTATTCAGATCCCTTCTGGATTGTAGCACACAACCTGTGAGGGAGATTGTCTAGTTCAGTAGCTAAGTTTCCATGATTACACTTTGCACAGTATTTATTTATATTTAAAATATTCCTTAACCACCCTTCATCAAAAGATTCCAGGGCAGTGCACAGAAGTGTGAATGAAATTGATTTATATGCAACATATCAGTACAATACCATTTAAAACCAACAAGCAAAACCCACAAAGCTTTAGAAAGATAAAACATTTTGCCAGGGCATCTACCATGTCTGTGACCGCAATATCTTTAAAGAAACTCACACATTATTTAATAAAAAATGAATTTAATAAAAAATATAACTTAACCTACTTTGTGTCATTTTCCCTCTTACAGGTACAAGAAAAAATAGTGCTGTTTTGATTTTGATGCACTCAGATAACTTTAACAAGACCTATTTTTACACAGTAATGAAACTTAGCGGTTAAGGTTGAGATTTCCCCTCCAATAAGGCCAGTGATTCTTCACCAGGGTCTGGCAGTAGTATGTAAACACTGTGACACACAAGTAAGCTCTGCCAAGATTGTGTATCACTTATATATGAAGAAAGGGCTTCATAAGTGGTTTCTGGAATGCAGTAGGAACCAGCAATACTGCAGCTACCTGGCAACTAACAGCTAATGGTTCATTCATAAGTGCCTGCCATTAAGTGGCTGAACACTACCATGACTTTCAGTACAAGACGCACACAAAGATATTTATAACTTGGGGGAGACAAGTAATTTTGTCAATCATCCCATGCAGATGTTTACAGCAGGGGTGGGGAACCTGTGGCCCTTCAGATCTGGACTCCAACTCCCATCAGCCCCAGCCAGCAAGGCCAATGGTAACAGATGATGGGGTTTTTAGTCCAGCATCCTCTGGCAGTCAGCAGGTTCCCCATCCCTCGTTTACCTGATTGTCAGGGATCAAACTGTGTGTGAGAGGTATTTACATGCTACCCTTCTAAGCACAACTATCGCTTGTGCATAAGGGTGTGGGAAGGAATCATTCCCTGCTGGAAATTATTAACACAAGATTTAGCCCTATATGCTGCAAGACATCAACCACACACTGGAAGAATGCATTCCCCCCCAGGGAACTAAGGCTAGGAGCACTAGTGCTAGCTTTCCCCTGACATACATTCAATTCTGCTACACAAACAGCACAGGTCCTATACTTGGAGTCGTAAGCAACTGTACTCTGTCCTTCCTGATGCTCCAAGGTTTGGGGGCCGGGAAACCAATTAATTTCAGCTAAACTCTGTCCTAGTTTCAACATTTTGGAATCCCAGCAGTGTGAAACTCCTGGTCCACCTAAAACAGCAACCAACAAACTGCTCTTTCTCCCAGTTCTTTGATGCAATTTGCATTAGGTCGCTCTGCAGTTCATCCACAGCAACTGTAACTGGGTGTCTCTGCTGGTTCAGTTTACCATGATGAAGTTCGATTTACAGTGAGCTTTAAAGAAAACAGAGGAAACAAGACATGATGACCTGCATGGCTCATTTTTTTTATCAATTCACACAGAAAACAGATACTGATTCATTCATTTATACGCCAATCTCTCCTTGCAAAACAGCCCTTCAGTCCCCATGCATGAACACTCAGCATCTCTGCTATCCACTCAATACACTGATAAAGCAGGAGATCCTCATGTGTTACCAAAACTTAAGCCACAAAACATTACCTGGGCTTTAGGATGCCATGAGGCACTTCGGTGCTCAAGTTCCTCAATGTTGATTGCTAGCCCATCTATGGTTTGCATTACAGCAGGCTACAGATGCTTAAATTTCTGCTGGCCAGTGACATTTGTTCTACACTGGTGAGCAGGCCAAGGCCCTGGAAAGGTAGATCACTGCAACACTCATGAGAAGCTTTGTTCAGAAATCCTCAGCTAAATCAACTTGTTAGCTCTGGTGAGGGCTGAATAAACTGAATGGAAACTCAAAAGCATGGGAAACAATTTACCTATGAACTCCGTGACGGGGTCATGCTCGCCTTCGGTCTTAATTGTTCCTGCAATGCTGTCGTTCTCCAGGATCGGAAGAAAAAGCTGCACAAAGTCAGAGGTATACGGAGGAGCAATGACATCCAGCACCTGGGGAGATAACCGAGATAGCAGAAGGTTGTGGCTTACACTGTTTTAACATTTAGAAATAGACATAGTGGTTGATACACTGTCTCCTGATCTCAGAGAGTAGTTTGTCATTTAACTTGGAAACTTATAAACATGCTTCTGCAATTCTGAACACAGAGAACATCCACCTACAGACACAGAGTTGCATGCAGCGAAGTGCTGACTAATGTCTCACTGTTGCAACAGGACTTCTGCCAATCTGTTCTGGGGTTCCCCCAACCTCCCATGGAAGATTTTGGGTAGGGTGCAGGGCGTCTGTGGGGGGGGGGGGGCAGATAGTGCAATGATGTCTGCTTGCATGGGCAGGATGTGCTAGTTGGATCCCATCCACAGCATACAATATAGCCGTTGATGTTTCAGGAAAGGTAGAGATAAGCAAAACGAGGACAGCATAATTCCTTCAGTTTCTGGCAACCGTGCCTTCTATCCAACACAGCATGAAGTAACTGTCCCATCAGCACAAGGATTTACCCTTGTGCAACAGAACCTCCAATCTCCCCCCACATCAAAAACAAAAAACAGCCCCCCCCCCGCAGGGTTGGTGGAAAACCCAGAACAGATTTAGTGGGCAGGTGAGGGAGAAGAAGAAGAAGAGTTTGGATTTGATATCCTGCCTTTCACTCCCCTTCAGGAGTCTCAAGGCGGCTAACATTCTCCTTTCCCCTCCTCCCCCACAACAAACACTCTGTGAGGTGAGTGGGGCTGAGAGACTTCAAAGAAGTGTGACTGGCCCAAGGTCACCCAGCAGCTGCATGTGGAGGAGCGGAGACGCGAACCCGGCTCCCCAGATTACGAGACTACCACTCTTAACCACTACACCACACTGGCTCTCAGAAGAATGTTCCATTGTACAAGTGTAAATCTTTGAACTGATAGGACAGTTGCTTCGTGTTATACTGGACATAAGCCCATAAGTCTAGCAACAATCAATAGATTCCAAATCATTTCTGTATGTTTAAGTTCTATTTGTCCCATCTACAATATCAGAACAAAACTGTCCTGAGAGCCATGTGATATTCGAAGCCTTGCTCCAAGTGCCTTGCCTTCAGAGGTTACTTGGGTGGTGACCACCAACAGCCTTTTCTGTGATGGCACTCTGGCTATATTCCCTTCTCAGAAATATAAGTTTGGCTACGTTATCATTTAGGTGCTTTTCTGGCCTTTTAGTGGATGACTTGACTATAGGCTTGGATCTTTTGTTTTTACTTGGTTGAAAGGCTTATTAAGGACAAATGTGGGATACCCGTGTTGCAAATAAAATAGCCAAAAGGCCACAACATAGTCTTAAGACTCCCATTTTAATGAGCAAGTGCAAAGTAATCTGCATAAGCACAGCTTTGCAGGTTCCACATAGTCACTGACCTCCGTCACAAAGTATCTGATCAGGGAAATGTCCGTGTCTAGCTTCTCGAGACACTTCCGTATGTAGCCAACCACTGGAAGGACGTATCCTCGACTGAGCAAGTGAACCATCCTGTCCAGAAGGGTTTTTTTAAGTTCCAGCTGAAAGGACAAACAAGGCAGGACGTTTATCTTTGAA